ACTGCTGGTGTTGACCTAGCGGATGAAGTTACCGATTCAATCTCCAGCGTATCCGACCTAGAAATGTGCCTTGCTGATCCACTATTTCCAACAGCTAGGACCCAGTCTACATCAGCTCCGTGAACATGGTTCCCTGTGCGACTTTGTGCTGAAGATGGTATGGGCATCGCATATTCCACTAATCCTTCATGGTTCAGTTTGGGGAGTTGGCGTCTTGCTAATCGAGCCTGGACTGCTGCCATCACCCCCTCCCCTTCAGCACTCAGTTCCACCCCATCCACTGCATGGACCAGGGGTTGCAGACGACCCTGTCCCATGGCTTGGGCTATCACAGATAAGCATTCCAATGTTGCCTGTCTCACTTGCCTCTTGTTGTCACAAAGGGCTGGTGCTACTACTTGGCAAATTCTGGGAAGATCAAAGTCATAGCTAGGGAAAGTGAGGAGAGCTGCTATAATAATGTTCACAGTGTCAAGTCTTACTCTGGAATTTTTATGATGGATGTTATCAAATATCACAGTTAGTACAGGTTTGGGCTGATAGCTTTGCATCATTTTAATTGCAACTCTCATCACAGCCTGACGAACAACAATTTTATTATCACCCATGCGCTTTGCCAAAGTTGAAGACAATGGTTTCAGGTACTGCTTCACATTTTGTCCCAACTTTTCAACTAATATATTAAGAATTTCTAACGTCACTGTTGTAATTTTAAAGTTTGAGTCATCAAGCAAATTGCTTAAAAAACTTATGAAAGGCATCATATGTGGCAAAAGATTGCTTGTCACATCATTCGATTGCAAGTCCTTCACCAGGTTCTTTAGCTCCTCTACCCCTTGAGCACGCAGTTTGAAATTTTCCTGATCACCAATCTGCTTCATAACATGACTAGGGATGATGCCAAACTCAAATGAGTCCACATACTGAGCTCGACTTGTGTTTGGGGGTCCATTCATGATTTGGGGACCTTGATCAACAACCTTCGGAGACTTTGAAAATGGAGGTTTTGAATTGCGGGGAGTACTTGCAGTTGAGCTGTAACCTTCAGAATAATCCACTTCCATGCCAGTTAGTTGACAATAATACCGCCTTAGAGGAGTTGACAATTTCTGAATGTAAACACCAAACTCCCTCTCTCCCACAAGACTCTTGATTTTATCCATTGTGGTTAATGCACACTCACGAATATTGTCCTCCACTGAGTTATCCAGGAGCTTCTTTGCCAATGACTGTGTGATTTCAAAGAAATTTTCTCTCTGGAACTCTGGAGTGAACAGCATTGGCAATGAAATGACAGTCTCCTTTCGAACACGAGGATCACCATTTTCCAAACCATGTTGAACAATAGCTTTAAGCAACACCTGTACATTATTTGTGTATTTCATATACACATGTAATGTCTGTATCACAGCTCTCCTCACAGTGATTTTACTCTCTCCTATGTTTGGAATCAGTTTGCCAAGTATGACATTCATGCAAGTATCTAGGTCATCTCCAAACTGGGGTATTACTTCATTGATAAGCTGGATGCATTTCAGTCTGACGTCCCAATTTGTGTCGGATAAAGCAAGTGATAGTCCATTGAAAATCGCTTTTGGGTCATTGTAGGGAAGTCTGCCACCATTTCTCCGGACTGTAATAAGCAGTTGCTCGAGTATTTCAACTCGTCTTTTGAAGCTCTCTTCTCTAAGCTGGTTGAGAACTTCATTCTGTTCCATAGTCCAGACCCCTGGTTGGTTCGATTCTAAATAAGAGGCATTATTAAATTCATGGACCGGGAATTTGGTAACGTGTGCCTTGGCGACTTTGCCAGCCATCTAACCTGTAACACTTCAAATTTGTATCGTTAATGAAGTCAATGAACACGTCTGCTTCTTTCAAGACACTGTAGTGTCCATCATATCCCATGCAAAAGACATTATCTCTTCCAATCCCTTCGTAATGCACTGACAGAAGTCATTTTATCCTTCACATTCTTAGATAGCAGTCCAAGATGGCCGAGTTCTTCACAACAACACAAACTAATGGAATCACGTGATTAGAATAACTTGCCCGTATGACAATGTTAAACAGTAACATAGGTGCGGATCAATATATTTCACATACTATGTAAAGTTTAAAAAAAACGTGTCTGCAGGGGCATGCATGTATTATGTTTACGATATCAATATATGTTTTCTTTGTTTTCTTAATCGATTGTATTATAATTTCTCAAATAATTATACCTATAATTACCCAATTAAAATATAGCTAATCAAGTGTTAATTGAATATATACATTCAGGACATCTAATTAATTAATTAATTAATGCATGCATCGACATGATTTTTTTTTACTCTATTTAAAATCAGTTCATACTCAATCTCTTTATTTTCGGTTTAGAGAGTTTTGGATGATTTTTTTCCCACGGGGCGAGGGTGTGTACATGCGGGGAAGGTGGGGGGGGGGGGTAGCCTGTTTAAAATTTCTTTATTGCATAATACACCCATAAGGGTCAAGCAATACAATCCATCATAAAAAAGAGAGAGAGAACAATGAATGTTTATAAACAATTTAAGCAATTTACTCAATATGTTACACCGATGTGGACCTTTTATTTCTTAATTTATAAAAGTGCAAACGGCCGGTATAACTTCAAGTGTTGAACTAAGTATATATATCAAGTTTCTGTATGGGTGATTTGAGATAGAATGAGGAACAATTATCTATAGAATAGTTGTTATAAGTATATTCCTTGCTTGTATATATTACAATTATATTTTAACAATCTTCTGTTTGATGAAAATAGAAATATTACGGTGGGAAGAGATTGGAGGGCTTTTGCACCCACTATACAACTGCTATACAACGTTTCGACATTCAAAATATTTTCCACATCAACTTCTGTCCCCACCGTTAGAAAATTACTACTTTTTATGGCATAATATGCATACTGCTGTATATAAGTGTTAAGAGAGAGAGAGGGGGGGGTAAACAAATTAAAAATCATTTCATTTTATTGGTTTGCCAAAAACTATTCCATGAATTTCAGTTTACAAAACTTCACGATTTCCATTTTGTTTGTTTTTCCTTTTGATATTCCTACTCCATCAAGACAAAACCCAAAACAACGACTGAGGTAAATTAGTATGAAAACGAATTGTATGCAAACGACAGTGCATTTCTCTTGTATTTATCTCTTATGTTTATCTTTTTAGGTCACCTGAGTCACTGAGATGACCTATTGATATATATGATATATTTATATGATATATATTATATGATATATATATTGATATATGTTTTTTTGTCTGTCGTCGTGCGTCGTCCGTCATTCGAAAATTTTGAGCTTCTTCTTTGGAACCGCTGAACCAATTTCAACCAATTTAGGCATACAGCATCAACGAGTGAAGGGGAACAAAATTTGTGAATATCATGGTCCCTCCTCCCCAACCCCCAAAGGGAGGGGGGGGGACTAAAACCATAAAAAAATAATGCAATCTTTAAAAATCTTCTTCTTTTCTCTTGGACATCAAGCAGTTGAACTGTTGCCATGATTGTAATAAGAAGTGAGTTCTCAAACAAAATCGTGAAATTCATGGTTCCAGGGTAAGGGGTTCTGGAGTTAGGGCTCTAATGATCATATAATAAAAATGCATAAATTCTTCAAAAATCTTCTACCCCTTTATATTTGGCAGGCAAACTAGGTGCATGTCGGGTTTTGATGAGCAAAGGTGACTCTTCCAAAATTGAGAAATTGGTTGCCCCAGGGTCAGGGGTTCGGGGGGGGGGAGGGGGGGGGGCTCTGTTGATAATATTGTGAAAATGCATTATTTCATTGAAAATCTTCTTCTCTGCTTCTGAGTATTAAGAAAACAAACTGATTGCATGGTTATGATAAGCACTGGTGCCTCCTCCAAAATTGTGAATTTCGTGGCCCCAGGGTCAGCGGATATTTAAATAGTGAAAATGCATAAATTCTCCGAAAATCCTCTTTGCTCCTGCGTATTTTTGAGATAAACTAAGTGCATGGTTATAATAAGCAAGGGAACCTCTTCCAAAATTGTGAAATTCGAGGCCCCAGGATCAGCAGCTCTTATGAAGGAGGGGGGAGGGGACTCCATTGATTATAAAGTGGAAATGCATTATTTCTTTGAAAATCTTCTTCTCTGCCCCTGGGTATTAAGCAAACAAAACTAAGTGCAAATTTATGATGAGCAAGGGAGCCTCTTCCAAAATGTTGTATTTCATGTCCCCTTGGTTAGGGATGTTGGTGTTAGGGTGGGGCTGTGTTGAATCTTTAGTGAAAATGCATTATTTTTTGAAAATCTTCTGCTCTGCTCCTGGGCAAACAGTGTACAAAGTTGTAATAAGCAAGGATATTTTCACGGCATTTGTGAAATTCTGTACCACTTGGTCAAGTGTTCTGGTGCTGGGCAGGGCTCTGTTGATTTGTATTCTTTTGAGAGAAGTTATTTCCCTTTGCTATTCACCTATGATGATTTTAAAAATACTGTAAATGTCATTGAAAGGTCAATTAAATAAGAGAATTATACAAGATTTTTTATTAATATATAATACAAAAAGGACTGTCATTATTTTAATGGTCACATAGACTTTTAAATAAAAGATAAATAAAAATGACACAAAAATACCTTATATTTGTATGTATTAAATGTTCTTCAAAGACCAAGAGTAGCCATTGTGAAAGGAAATGAGATGGGTCCAATAATAGTTTAGTTTGCATAGTGATAGTGACAAATGGGGGCAAGTACAGGCAAGTAGATAGATATACTTAAAGATTTGTTACTGAGCACTTAAGTAATTATTTTCTTGATTCCTGATCATCCTCTTTCTCTTGGGAAACATAACTTCATCTATCAGTTTATTTCATTTTAGTTATACTTCTATGGATCCTTTACAGTGTTGTGTTATACTTGAGTGACTGTCAAGGCCCTTAGACCTCCTGTTCAAAATTTTAAGACCATTTTGATACTCATCAAGAAGAAAAAGAGAAAATGTTACAACTTAACTGCATTTTACTGAAAACAAAAAATATCAGTTGAACCCACAGAAACTGTTTAGCCTGTTGTTTAACCTTTCCCACCAAATGTCGCCTAAAACAGCAGGAGGATTTACTGTATGTTCTATGTTTCTCTGACCAGATATTGATGCTTGCTGATTGGAGTCTTTTACTCTAAAATAGGAAGTGAAAATATCCCTACACACAGGGCACTTGTCTAATTTATTTACACATTCACTACACACACATCCATGCCGACAAGGAAGGAGAACAATGGTCATTTCTACGTCCTGACACACACAGCAAGTGTCAAAAACAATATGGCTGCTCAGTCTTCCTTCACTATTAACCCCAGTGCACTGTTGAAATTCAGAATCACTGTAATAACTTCTTGTTTCTGTCTCTGTACTGGAGTTTTCAGTGGATACAAAGAAAGGCTACAAAAAAAAAAAAATTATAAAATGATTAGAAATTCTCATTGACAAAATATGCTTCTTTTTATTCATAATATGCAGTGACTGTCATGCCTTTGAATGGTTGAAGTATATCCTAATATTACATTATATTTAAAGGTTATGTACTTTTGCCATGTTTTAAAATAGAACACAATTTGAGCAAAAAAATACCCACTATAAGAGTGCCATTTTTTTCCCCATACTAGATCTTTACAGAAACTATTTTTTTTAGATTTGAAACCCATTATAACATCTTTTGATCATCAGACTATTTTTGATTACAAGTACATATTTTTTTAAATTTGTTCCATGAGGTGGCATGGAAATAATGACTATAATATCCAATCATGATCAAACATATTTATACATGAAAGACATTTATGATCAGCACAGCCCTTTAGATCACTTTACTCCAACTGACAAACTAGGGGTATATTTAAAAAAATATACACGAGCATTCCCAGTTTGTCATTCAGTTGAAAGCAATCTAAAGGTCTGTGATCAGAAGCCAAATTAGAACAACCAACAAAAATGGCTCCCAGAAATTAAATCATTTCACTGCAGTGTGCCTACTGAGTAATCATTGTATAAATCCTGTAAAACAATATATTTGAAATAAATGATAAACTATGTGAAATAAAAAAAAAAATTAATAACAAGAGGCCCAGGGGCCACATCACTCACCTGAGCACTATGGCTAGGAAAAAGCAGAAATCAGTTCAGTTTTGAAAGGTTGAAAAGTTTAAATATAAAAGTGGTTCGGGGGTGGGGGTTGATTTGAACTAACTTGAATCTATACTTCATAGGGATGCTTTTGAATTAATATGACAAATAATGGCTTTGCAGCTCTTTAAGAAGAACATTTTTATTGATATATCCTTTGTATAACTATGATCCTCTGTTATGTCCCCTCTATTCTCCTGGGGGGTCATGAATTGAACAAATTTGAATCTACATTACCTGAGGATGCTTCTATTTAAATATGACCAATCATGGCTTTGCTGTTCTTGAGAAGAAGATTTTTTAAGATTTTTCCTATGTATTCCTATGCAAAACTTTGATCACCCATTGTGGCCCAAACCTATCCCTGGGGGTCATGATTTGAACAAATTTGAATCTACACAATCTAAGAATGCTTCCATATAAATATGACCAATTATGGCTTTGCTTTTTTTGAAAAATAGATTTTAAAAGATTTTTAATATGTTTTCCTATGTAAAACTTTGATCGCCAATTGTGGCCCCATCCGACCCCTGGGGACCATGATTTGTACAAACTTGAATCTACACTACCTGAGGATGCTTCCACATAAGTTTCATATTTTCAAGCACAGTGGTTCTTGAGAAGAAGATTTTTTAATGATGCCATTAATTTTTCATGAATTCATGATTATCTCCCCTTGGAACAAGGCGTGGCCCTTCATTTGAACAAACTTGAATCCCCTTAACCTGAGGATATTTTGTGGCAAGTTTGGTTGAAATTGGCCTAGTGGTTATGGAGGAGAAGTTGAAAATGTGAAAAGTTTACAGATGGACAGACAGCTAGACAGACGGACTACAGACAAAATGTGATCAGAAAAGCTCACTTGAGCCTTCGGCTCAGGTGAGCTAAAAACATGAAATTATCAAGTTTATTCAGTTTACAATGTTAGTTATAAATGACTTTATACAGGAACTTACATTGAGAGTAGTAATTTTGTTATCATTGGTGATCAGAAACTGGTGTAAAACTTGAGAATCTAGCTGAACTTGTGGGTCTTTAATGTGCAAGACAGACAGCATAATGACCTAAAATGATTAAGATAAGACAGTGAGTATATAAGTGTCCATGAAACATGAATGCTCTTTCTATTACACAGTGTTTTCCCTTTATTTCAAAGTAAAAGGTTAGAGATCAATTGTAACAGGCTAGGGGTTGAGGTTAATGAAAAAAATCCCTGTGGACCTTACGACAATTATTTTTTGAATGTTTGAATTCTAAGCAGCATTTTAATCAATTGAAGCCGTCAATTTGGCCGGTAACCGATTCTTAGGGAAAACACTGATTACATGCCTCCAAAGGACATAATTCAGGTGAATTTTATCTAAAGTTGATCTTTTCATTTTTTTTTTTTTTTAAATTCTGTTTGCTTGTTGGATATCCCTTTATTCTTCTTTAAAGCTAGATCCATGGCATAGAATATTGAAGCTAAGACCAAAGGGTCTTAACTCTAGTAAACATTTTGAAAATAAGCCAAAATCAAATTTCCCCTTCATTTTTGTTCTTCCAACTTGCATGTCTACAAAACGTCTATTTCCATCACAGCATGCTACCGGTAATCTTGTGACTTTAACTAAATTGAAACAGATGAAAAGATGGATTCAACACTACATATTTCACCCCATTTTCAGTATTCCCCATTTTCATTGTTCATTTGAGATTTGCCCATACACAATGAACATCATTCTTTTAAATAAGACTCAAATCATCTGTGTTTTATCTGATGCCATTCCTTTGACTAAATATGATTCAACTTTTAATACAACTACCGGTAACCATTTCAGTAACTTTATGCTTTTAGCCTTTTAATACAACTAACCATTTCAGTAAATTAATGCTCAATTTTCCATTTTGAAAGCACTAGATCAGAGGTTGAGCAAACATTGATCTTTTTACCCAAACTGACTTTTCAACCATCACAGACTTAAATGAATAAAGATTCAGCATACAGGTCTTTCAATAAGACATCAAATTAAAGTCCCAAGACAGGTACTTATTGGAATGATGAAGAGGCTGCAGTGTCTTTGCTTAGGCTCCTTTGACTGTATAGGTTACAGTTGGGATTTTCATATAATTCAGTCATAAAAATCTAGTCTGATGACAGATAATCGAGTTTATAATAGTACATAGCTAGTTGATTAAGAATACCTGTAAACCAAAACAGTTTACAGAGGTTTTATCAAAGAACGAGGGCGCTTTTGATTGGCGTTCGGCAGGAATCTGGGCGCACTTGAAAAGTGAAAATTTCATTGATCTGTCACACGAAATTTTAGCATTCTTTTGATATATCGGGTTCCTGTGAAATAGGAAAGGGAAATATTTTCTTGATATTGTATTTTGATTTCCTAAAAAAGAACTTGAAAATTGGCTAGATGGATCATTTGGTACAAAATGTTACATTTTGAAACACGTTTTCCTAAAAATTTGCTATCTCTGGGTCATCTCTCCATGATTTTGAAACGTTATTTGTGTGCATTTTAATTCAAAGAAACTAACAAACATTTGTAAAAAAAATGGAGAGAAGACCCAGAGACAATAAAAAATGTACTTTTTCCAAAAAAAATTCCAATGTGTAAATGCGGTGCTTCATTGTCACTTTAAAAACCACAAAGTTTGTGGAGCGGTGATAGCTCAGTAGTATGCGTTACCCGTCCAGTGCACTAATAAAGAAATATTTTTGGTTTGATCCTTGCATGGATCGTTAATATTTTTTTAGTACAAACAATCAATTCTTTTGTCAGTTTAATTTTATGTACTAATTTATTTTCAAATAGATAAATTCTGGTTCTGTTGCACCAGTTGCATTTAACTATACCCTATAGGTGTTTATTGTTTATGTGAAGCGTAACTAAATTTTACATGTAGTATTTATTAAGATAAGCGGACTGATATATCAAATTCGACAAAGTATTTCAAACATGTAAAATGTAACATTTTTCCCATGTGCGTAACTTTGTAAAGTGTGCCCAGCTGTGGTCAGCCGACCAAATCGTAGACATTTAAACTATAAATGTTTCGTACGCCTTATTCCTGCAGATCACACGCCAAACACGCCCATCTTCTTTCTACCTTTCTAGCTGGTACAAGTATATTACACTTCTAGCTTTCTCATATATAAATCTGTTTATATTTGATGTAAAATATAACTTCAACCTATCAAAATGGTATTTACTACACATAATTAGCTAAAAAGATGTACATGTATTAATTCACAGTAGTGTCATAATCTCACAAGGTTGCTATATGATAGTACATCATTTATAACAAACCCTTACTTACTATCTGTAACTCCCCTGCCACAGGCTCCTCTAGAGTACAAGCTACAACAACTGGATAGGTGCTTCTAGGAGGGGCTTTACCATGCTGTTTGATTCTGTCTGGTATTTCTGTGTGCCATTCCAAGTTCTCACATTTCTGGGACCTGATAAATAAAGACAAGCACTGGTAACCAACTGGCATATGTTAAAACACATAAAGACACTAGAAATAGTACTGTAAATTGCTTTTTATTCATGAGAACTTTATTTTCACTTAAGTAAGCGAGACTGTCTGCTAGCGAATATTTCATTTTATTATACCTCTGTGAATTTTTTCTATATAAAAATATGACGAATAAACATGCTATTTTCTCCAAACAGCCCCTACCATGGAATAGTTTTTGTGCTATTTGCCCATGGTGAAATAGTCATTAAACTATTCACCAGCAGCATTCTGTTTCCCTCGCTTTTTATCTCGGAACTCTTCTGGTTATCCAGATTGTGATGCAACACAAATAAAGACTGCTTCGGTATAATAAAACACCTATTTACTGACTATTCGGACAATAGCAAGTTTATCGTCCCCCTCGACAGCAACTATTTCCCTTGGCTGCACCTCGGGAAATAGTTGCTGTCTTGGGGAACAATAAACTTGCTATTGTCCTCATAGCCAGTAAATAGGTGTATACTAGTGTACAATTCTACTTTTAAAGACTATATAGAGTGATAACCAGAATATTTAAATATTTTGTTTCACTTATAGTTACAAAAACAAAACAAAAAACAACAAAAACAACAAAAACAATCTTGTGAAAGTTATGTGACCAACAGTAACCCTTTAGATACTTAGTTCTTCAAACTTAGTGTCTACAGAAAGTTACAAAGAAATACATCAATGAAAATACTTTTTTTTTATTCCTGAGCAGCACATGTACCTCTGTGAATAATGTGAGACATCAACTTTCTTGTCACCAAGAAAGAGTTCTTTTTGAATTCTGTTATAAAGAACCTCCCATGGGTGCTGGAGTTCCTTGTAAAATTCATCTATTTCTGCTTCCCAAAAGAGGCTTACAAAACCAGGTTTTAGTAATGACAACTGAAGATTTAACCCATCTACAAAAGGGGGGATATAGTGTGAAAATGATGATAAAATCTGATGGAATATTAATTCCAAGAAATTTCACAAAGTCCTGCATTAATAATAAAAACATGTTAATAAAACCTTACAAGGCAAAGTATTACCTGATATGCTACTCCTGTTTTCATTTGACAAAGAAATATGGAATGGATTAAAAACTTCTCTCATGGAAACTTCTTGTGTTGATTTCACATGATGAACTGCATTTATGTTTTGTAGGAAGATTTCTTCCCAATTCAACCTTAAATAGATATCAAAGTAACCAGATTCAGTTTTTTCTCAGTAAAAAAATAATTCTGGGTGCATCTTAAATTCTTTACTTACCCAGAGATAAAAATAACAAAGATTAGCAACTGACAGTTTTCTTTGCTAAAATAGATGGCGGTCTTAAAATTACTCTTTATTGTTTATTTCATAAAAAAAATTAATACATAAATAAACATTTTACTATATATGGGTGTATAATTTGTAAAGTTTTAAAATTATACAATGAGTAATAAAAGCAAAGTAGCCAATTAAAGAGGTTAATGATTGACAGCTGGTAAAATCTCGTTGAGATATATGGCTGACCTCTGGTAACCTGTTGCTATTTCAGATATCCATTTTATAAAGTTATCTATTTATACTGAACTTATTAATAAACTTATGAAAATATAACTTTCTGGATAATTTGTTGAGACGAATACGAAGGATTAAGGATGAGTATCGCCAAAAAAAATGCTTAACAATTTTCCTAAAAATTATCATTGACAATATTGTGATATTTTTACATGAAATTTTTATTTTCATTACTTCTTATAATAAACAAATCTACATATTTTTCTTACAAGCATAATTAACATTACCTTACTTTTTACATTCTTATTTATATAATTTTTGTATTTTTTTGTTTTTATGCCCCAGGATCGAAAGATCCCGGGGGTATATTGTTTTTGTCCTGTCTGTCTGTTTGTCTGTCTGTCTGTTGTCAACTTTAACCTTGCCCATAACTTTTGATTGGTTGGAGCTATGACTTTCATATTTCACATGTGTATTCCTTGTGACAAGACCTTTCTTTGGGTACCATCATATTTGACCTTTTGACCTTGGAGTTTGACCCACTTTTGCAAAATTTTATGACACTTTAACCTTGGCCATAACTTCTGAACAGTTGGTGCTTGGGGTTTCAAACTTCACATGTGTATTCTTTGTGACAAGGCCTTCCTTTTGGATACCAACAACTTTGACCTTTTGATCTTGACCTTAGAGTTTGACCTACTTTTGAAAAACTTTAACCTTGGCCATAACTTTTGAACAGTTGGTGCTTGGGGTTTCAAACTTCACATGTGTATTCCTTGTGACAAGACCTTCCTCTGGATATCAACCTCTTTGACCCTTTGACCTTGACCTAGGAGTTTGACCTACTTTTGAAAAACTTTAACCTTGGCTATAACTTTTGAACGGTTAGAGCTAGTGCTTTCATACTTCACATATGTAATAATTGTGACAAGACCTTCCTTTGAATACCAACCACTTTGACCTTTTGACCTTGACCTAGGAGTTTGACCTACTTTTGAAAAACTTTAACCTTAGCCATAACTTTTGAATGGTTGATGCTAGGGCTTTCAAACTTCACATATATAATCCTTGTGACAAGACCTTCCTTTGGATACCAACCACTTTGACCCTTTGACCTTGAAATAGGAGTTTGACCTACTTTTGAAAAACTTTAACCTTGGCCATAACTTTTGAATGGTTGGTGCTAGGGCTTTCACACTTCACAGATGTAATCCTTGTGACAAGACCTTTCTTTGGATACCAACAACTTTGACCTTGACCTTGATGTTTTACTTATTTTTAAAAAAACTTTAACCTTGGCCATAACTTTTGAACAGTTGCAGCTAGGGCTTTCAAATTTAACATTTTTTATCTTTTGGCCTGGATTTTGACTTGCATTTGAGAAACTTTAACCTTCACCATAAGCTGCCATACGGGGGCATCAGTGTTTCACAAACACATCTTGTTTAATAATAATTATGGAACAGAATTGATTAGCTGACAAGCCCAACTTTCAAAAAATTAACTGGCAAATTTAGAGAAATTGCGTCCCTTCATTAAAAAAAAGAAGAGGGTGGAAGAACTGAAAAAAATTTGCAGACAGAGAAAAATGGTCAACTTTGACCTTTAATCTTTTGCCCTTAAAGTCAATAATGGTCTTTTTCAGATTAAAGAAATTCATGAACTTTATTTTCATTGTAAAAGCTTATAGAGGACTTACGTTATCATCTGATAACTATGTCTGCAATATATAAATTTTCTGACCTTGGGCTTTGTCCTTTTGACCTCAAATTCAATATGAGTCTTTTTAATGTCATATTGACTAATGGTATAAAATCTTATTGCAAAACCTCAAAGAGAACTAGAGTTATCAATAGGAAACCATTTTACAAGAACATAATGGTAGCTGGAGATCATTTGAATAAAAATCAATTATCATTTTAAATAAATTTCATCAACGTGAGAAATCTTTTCTAATTTATTATTCAAATTCGCCCCCCCCCCCCCCCCCTAAAAAAATACATATAGCAAAGTTTTAATCTTCTTCGTCTTTTGTGAATAAAACATTGAAGTATATTTTCATGACAATAATATACATGTATACAACTTAATTATATACATGTATAAATAAATTACAATACGGATTTAGCTTGAAATAATTTTATATTACGTGCTATGTGTACATATAAAAACATACTATATCACCATAATACAATAATTTGATGAAATCCCGAAAAAATTAACCCAAGTCCCGAACCGTCTTTACCCAAGTCCCGAACCATCTTGTCAGTAGTCCCGAAACGTCGTATTAGTGAATGCGGGTGGTTACGTTCCGATTACTTGTTCAACCCGCGTGGTTTCGACACGAATCCATGTTCGACCCGAGTGGTTTCGTTCCAAAGCAATTAATTGCTTCGGAACGAAATTAATTAACACTTTCAACAGTTTTACATTTTATTTTTTCGTCTACATTTTTTTTGTATCGACCACGTATATTTGTGTATCATAATTTGGAGAAATCTACATTAATGTTTAGATAGTGCATATGTGATCACGGTACATTTGAAGAAGTATTTGATTAATTTTTATGGGAAACTGTTCAAATATAATTCATTACTAAACAAATTCAACATCCATGCTCCGCGATAGTACAAAAAATATTAGGAAACCTTCTAACTGCATGTTGACTACACATACGGAAACAACTACCTATTGACACGCACATCTCTGAAGCCATACCATATACAGCTACCGAATATCCATTTATTTACCGCACAGTGTATACCCCTGTACTCAGGTATTCACATATAGGGATATATATTAGAGTAGGTCGAAACCACTTGGGTCGTAACCACGCGGGTCGAACACGGAATCGGAACGTAACCACCCGACACCGTATTAGTCAGGTCCCGAAACATCGTGCATCCGTATCAGAAACCACTTGGGCAAAAAAAAACCTCATGCAATAGCTAGCGTTTCCATAGAACGTTTGTCATTTCACTAAAGTTGATCTTTACTACCTTTTGAGAACTATCACAAATGTGAATACAATCAATATGCAAAGAAATATTTGTTCTCCGGTTGTACTTGTTATATCGTTTTCCAACTCCGACGCCATTGTTTAATGTTTACAATCTACCGGAAATTTCGTCATGCGTATTTTGCAACGACGATTTTCATTGGCTCCGGACAATTACTCTCTTTGCACTGATTGGAAAATTTTCAGAAAAGAAGGAAGCTCATTGGCCAATAACAACGAAGGAAGTCGGTTAGTCGAAGAAAGTAGATGAGAGATGACAACTTGTTTTATTACAGACGACATACGGAGATGAAACTGGACATTAAATGCCATATTATAGAGAAATTGCGTATGATGCGCAAGAACAATGTTTTGTGCGACTTGGAGGTGTTTTCTAGCGACGGTATTAAACAGCGTGTTCATAGTTGTGTGTGGGTTGCAGCGTTTGAAGATTGCCGAACTCTTCTGTCAACTAAATATAAAGGATGTGAGAATAAGACGTCAAAAATAGAATTGCCAAACGTCAGTGGGGATGTACTGTCAACAATCGTAGATTTCATATATGGCGAAGAAATAAATTCAATTCCAGTCGGACTTGATGGTGCATTAAAACAGCTTGGATTTCAGGGTTTTAGGTTTTATCTTGACAGCGGTTTATTCAATTATTCATGTAACCAAGAAAGTTCATTTTCAAGTGTAGAACGGCCAACTGAACAAAAAGACACAAACTCAGACCTCTCTGCTTCACCCCAAATTACAAGTTCAATCAATGAGGTAAAGGTGGAAACCGAAATAATTGAAGAAAATCCATCTCTCTGCTCAGATACTCAAATCCAAGCAATTCCAGTCAGTGTTAAACTTGAACCTGTGGAAATCTCAGAACCTTTTAGTCCTGATAATGAAAATGAAGAACTATTGAATAATATTAAAATTTATTCAAAACAAGAAGATGATGATCAAACAGTCACAGTGTGTGTTGAATATGAATGCTCTGATAAAGAGGAGGATAAGGATGTGTCTTCGGAAGACATACAGGCTACTTCTCAACCCTGTTTAAGAACTGAAGATGAAACAATAACTCTAAGAAACGAACATGAAACAATCAAGTCCACAACAAAAGCTTCACAGGGCAATTCCCCTAGTTGTTTGATGCCAAACCCAGTGCATCCTTCTAAATCATCCTCTGTAAGTGTTGCTAATAACTCAGGATCTAGTCACCCATCTAAAAAGCCCCTTATTTTGCCTAAATTTTCTAACAGTCAAGGGGATGTTGTTACTGTTGCCACTTTCCTTAGTTTTGCTGAGTTGCAGAAAAAAGGAAAAAGTTGGAAGGTACAAGAAAGTCTTCTTCCTATTCCTATGTCAGGGAACTCTACAGAAGCTTTTAATAAACTTCCTATATTTCCACAAAATTCACAAGTAAAATCTGTTGGTGAAAAAAGAGGACGTGGTAGACCAAAAGCTTGTGATACTGAATATGACAAAATGCCGAAAGTGAAAAAGACTTCTCCTGTGCAGGCAAGAAAATATGGGTCTTCAGCAATGGCTAAAAGTAAAGGAAAAGTGAACACAGTAACTTTAGCATCAACAAGTACTAATGTGAATGTAAAAGCCTGTATTACAGAACCAGCTCAGAAGGGAAATTCATCAAGTTTCACTTCAACTTATACCATTCCTGCACAACATCCAGTTCTACCTTTAACCTATATTGCAAAGCACAGCCCAGTCACAAGCACACCACAAGCTTTGATATCTACTGAACAGTCTAAAATAGCAGCGCCAACAAGCTTACCATCTAGTTCAGCAATAGTAACAATCAGTCCAGAACAGCAGACATTTAGAGCTTTGCATACAATGATTCCATGTGTAGATTTTTATGACTCTATAAACCTTGGCTGTATTGGTTCAGTAGCACCCAAAATAAACCCTAGCATCTTTGTACAACCAACTCATACTGCAAGTAAAACATTTCCAATTAAAAGTATGGCTAACCAAGTTTCAAAGCAAGCAGTGCAAGGTGGAACTATTTTAAGTATTCCATCAAATAGTTCATGCATCAATCATGGTAATCCATTCATTCCAATGGTTTCGACAGTACCACAAGTAACCTCAAAACCACAGTCCAGTGTTTTGAAGACTGTGGAGAGTAAACAGAAACGAATGAGTAAAAGCATTTCTGCACCAACTCTTCCACAGAGTATGCCATCAGTGGATGCCCAAAGCAGTGTTGTGAAGTACAGAGAAATCAAACCAAAGATAAAAGAACCAGAAATCCAGACAACTAATGGAGATGTTCAAGAAACTGTTGAGAAACCAATGAGAAAACCTAGGAAGAATAATAGATCTTTACAAATTAATAAGACTCTATTGAATGAATCAATAGAAAAATACATTTTAGACAACGTAAGGAAAACCAAAAGATATAGCACACCAAATTCTCTAAAAATTAAAATGAATTCTCTTCAGAAACAAAGATTTCTGAAAAGGAAGAAAACAACAGACATGATTGCTGAACTGTACAAGAAATCTGGTCGTGAAGAAATCCTGAATGCAATAGATAAATCCATTTTATCTTGTAAAGGACTGGAGAAAAGTAAAAAACCGGACACAAAATGAATTAAAAAAATTAAATTTTAAAAGTGAATCCTATCGTACAAAATTGAATTAGATATTAATAGGGCTATATATGAATCAAGTTTGAATCAAGAACCATTTTATTGTTTTAATTTAGATACAGTACATAAATGTTACATGAGTCTAAAGAAACATATTAGGCCAAATTAAAAAAATATGTGTGGTTCCGGTTACCCGACCGTCCCTATTTTATACCCCCGACCCTAAACTTTTTTTGGGCAATTTTCATATTTTTTCCAGAATTTTCCCCAATTTCCATCAATGGCTCCGGTTTAAGTTTTAGTTTCAGCAATGACGGCCCCCTTGCACAACATAGTGCAAGTGTTTATTAGTGTTAAATCCAAAGCAAGCTAGCATGTAGGTGTACCCTACCAATATTGACTAGTATATTATCACCTACCAATATTGACTAGTATATTATCACACCACATCTAAATGTCATTTGCAAAGTAGTGATAAGTATTATTTAGAAAAATTAAGAAAATCATTTTGTTCAAAAAAAAAAAAAAAAAAAAAAAAAAAAAAATTCATACCTACATACCCTCATTTTTTTGGAGGTGTAACCGGAACCACACATATTTTTTTGTTTGGCCTTATCAAAACTCACCAGTTTTGGTCATGCATTGAAACATCATAGTATAAGAAAGGTTTTGAACAATAGCCATGTCAGATATGTTTAGACATCAGATATTCTAAGAAGGAAACTTCCAGAATGGCTATACTTGTCGTGGTATGAAACTAATTTCTATGACATCAATTTCAAGCTAATTCCTATGATACCTTCACTATTTCTGTAGACAGTGATTAGCACATGCTCACAATGTGTGTTAAGTAACAAAATATTGTTTTCCAATTCTAAGGTTCTGAATTTTCTAAAATAACTGACTAATAAGAAGAAAAAAGTTATGCCAAACCCCCCCCCCCCCCCTCCATTGACATATATGCATCTATAATGCTACTCAGGTATAAATATATTTCACAAGATTTATTGACTTTTTGTACACACATGTAGAACCGAGTCATCAGATTTCATGTGTCCTGCCAGATTAAATAATCCATGAATAATAGGGATCTGTCCCTATATGTGCTTTTATTTTATTTCTTTTTTTACACAAATTATTTTGGTTTTACAAGTAAAGTTTATTGTTTTGGTTTTACAAATAAAGTTGATGAAAAGATTTGATTGAGAGAGTATTTTTAAAAAATAGTTTTTAGTTTTAAGTCTGATTCAGTATTTACTGTTTCTGTTGGTCAGTTATAGCAATACATAGGTAACAAATGCAAGGTTTAAGGTTTTCATGTTAAAAACAAGAGGCCCTTGGGCTTTGAGGGTCACCTGAGTATTATTCCTCAGGGGACATGAAATGTACAATTTTGGTAGAGGGCTAGCTGCTAATTAAAACTAGAGGTACTGTGAGCATTGAGCTCACAAAATGATACCCCCACCCTGATACAAGTATAATGACAAAGTCCATTTTTTGACAAGGGAAACCCCAAATATATGTCCGATCAGAAACATAAAATAGGAGGTGCACAATGGCACTATGTAATAAAGATTCTTTGAAAGTTTCATAAAAATTTTATTCAGTGGTATGGGGGTGTCCGATGGGTATCCCTAAGTGTTACGGACGGAAGGATAGACACCCCCATCACTATATCATTACTTGCTATATTTCCATGAGTAGAGATGGAGATTTTCAAATATGTAATTTCAAAAAATGGCCAACTCCTCAGCCCACCTTTGGGCCTGAACCAAGGGACCATGATTTTTTCATTGAAGAGTTAAATACTGGGTCGGTGTTGTGGATGTCTAGCAGGAAATTTTTTTGCATAATTTCAAAGAGTAGTCGTACATATGTAGTAATAAATTTTATTTATGGTGGAATTATATTCATTTAAGCCCATTTTTCTGTTCAATGTATATAATCTGACTATAAGTAAAAATTACTACTACTACTACTCTTTGAAACTGTGCAAAAAATTTTCCTGCTAGACATCCATAAACAGGACCATCAGTTTTAGTGTTAAAAACAAATTGTATTTCTAATTGCTTCCTTAACTGTGGTATGGTGTTGAATACAAAGAGGGGGTGGGGGTCACTTTGACCTTATAGTATGCTATACACATACTTATATTGGGTGTTGTAAGTTCAATTTTGTTACCTATCTTGATTTGTCAATGAAATAAGCTTTAAGGAAGATTGACCCTTTGCTCACTAATTAAAAACAGTTTTCTCCATTGTAAACAGGATTCTGTCATTTTATGTCGCATCATAATACATCATGTAAAGTGCAAAATTTTGTAATTAGTAGAGTGTTAAACTTGCCAAGTAATCTCTTATTTACCACAGAATTTGTCTGTATATATACAACAAATTTCTAACAAAGTATGGAGCTTGAAATGAAATTTTAATAATTAACGAAGATGAAAAATTTAGAAATGAAATGGTGATTTAATATTTTTTTTTTTTTGAAATGTCCTTATAGCAAAGGATCATTCTTTTTGTGCCTCCTTGAAAAGGGGTCATATTGCTTTCCACCTGTTGATTGGTACATCAGTCAGTCAGTAGACCATGTGTTGTCTGCTCAATATCTTAAGAACCCTTTCCTTGACTGATATCAAATTTGGTACACTGGTACCCACAGAAGAGTAGATGATACCTTTTGATTTTGAGGTCAAAAAGTCAAAGATCAAGGATCAAAGTACTCAACACAGAGAGATTTTGTCCATTCAATATCTTAAGAACCATTTGGTTGACAGACATTGGTTCTCCTTAAGGAGTGAATGACCCCGATTGATTTTGAGATTACAAGGCAAAAGGTCAAGGGTCAAACTGAACAAAGAAAAATATCGACCACTCAGTATCTTGAGAACCCTTTCCTTGACAGACATCAAAATTGGTACTCTTATTCTCTTTAAGGGGTGAATGACCAATGTAGATTTGAGTCACAAGGTCTAAGGTCAAGGGTCACACTGGAATATATTGACCACTCAATATCTTGAGAATCCTTTGCTTGACAGACTTCAAACTATAGGTACACTTGTTTCCTTTAAGGAGTACATGTAGATGACCTTTATCAATTTGAGGTCACCAGGTCAATATCTTGAGAACCCTTTGCTTGATAGACATGAAACTAGGTATGCTGGTTTCCTCTGATGAGTGGATGACAACTTAAGATCAAGGTCAAACCTACTCTAGACATAGGAAGATACTGACCACTCAATATCTTGATAACTCTTTGCTTGACAAACATCAAACTTGGTACATTGCTTCTCCTAAAGGAGTAGATGACCCCTTTTGATTTTGAGGTCACAAGATCAAAGGTCAAACTGGACAAGGGAAGATATTAACCAATTAAATATTTTGAGAACCCTTTCCTTGACAAACATCAAACTTGGTAAACTGGTTCTCCATATGGAGTAAATGAACCCTACTGCTTATAAGGTCACAAGGTCATGGAAGACACTCAATATCTTCAGAACCCTTTGCTTATAAACTTATACACTGGTGTTCCCTTAAAAGTAGATAACCCCTTTTGAGTTTGAGGTTACAAGGTCAAAGGTCAAGGTCAAAACCTATTCTAGACAAAGAAAGATATTGACCACTCAATATCTTGAGAACCCTTTGCTTGACAGACATCAAACTAGGTACATTGGCTCTCCTTAAGGAAAGATGGCCCTTATTGATTTTGAGGTCACAAGGTCAAGGGTCAAGGTCTAACTACTCTAGACATAGTAAGATATTGTCTGCTCAATATTTTAAGAACACTTTGCTTGGCAGACATCAATTTGGTACATTGGTCCCCCTTAAGGAGTAGATGACCCTTTAGGCCTTATTGCTTATGAAGTCAGAGATCAAAGGCAAGGGTGAAATTAGACATAGCAAGATACTAAACACTCAATAACTTAAGAACTATTTGCTTGACAAACATGAAACTTGGTACAATGGTTTCCTGTAGGAAGTAGAAGACCTCTGTTGATTTTGTGGTAACAAGGTCATAAGAATATATCGTCGGCTTAGTATCTTGAGAATTATTTACATTACACCTATTATAGACATCAAATTTGCTACACACATACCATCTGAGGAGTAAATTGCCTCTAATTTAACCCTAATGATATTGAGGTGTGATTGAGATTAAACTTAGTATGTTTGCCCTGAATTGTAGATGACTAAATGTTTTCACTATCATTATAGACATTCTATAATCAGTAATTTCAAATGGTTGCAAATTCCAATCAAAAGTGATACACCCCCTGCAGTGTACATAGACCCCCCCCCCCCCCCAACACACACACACAAACACCCCACTAAATTTAAAGTTGTTCCCATTTTAATATTGCCACATGGAGGTATATATGTTTCTCAAACAGTTCTTGTTTAATACATTGAGATATATATACATGTACAGAGAGAGAGAATTGATCAAGGAACTCTCATCCATTACCAGAGTTCAAGCCTAGATACCCAAGATGGCACAGGTTGTTTTTGAAAGCAAGTCCAGGATGTACTTAAATGATTAAATACTTGGATATGTTATATCTAAGTTCTAGTGAAAATTTAAAAAAATATTTATGAAAAAAGGACATTTTTTATTTGGAGATCACTTCACTACAAAAAACACCAAATAGTCAATCCATCAATACATTGTGATATTAGTAAAAACTTGCACATCCAATGATACATGGTATCAACAAACAGCAAATAATATAGGGCTGGGCAATAATACCGACATTTCGGTATATTGCAGTACGATGACAAAAAAAAAATCGTATTGCAATATGTTTTTGTAGTATCAATATACCAGCAAAATGCTTGGACTTGGGATTTCTGTAATAATACATAATTAAAACATCTAATAAAGCATTAGTTGGCAGAAACACTCGTGATCATGCCCAACAGTAAAGCTGTTGTATGGATATATTTCAGTGCATAACTATAATTAAATCAACAAGAACTTTTTCACTTTAGTTATTTATCATACTTATGTACATTCTGCACATAAATGGAAGTTAATATAAGAAAATGCCATTTTAATTTTCGTTAAAAATATTGCAATACATATCACAATACAGTCAAAAATATTGCAATATATTGCAATATGAAACATGAAGCCAATACCCAGCCCTAAAATAATAGATATCTTTTTGATTCATGGCATCAAAAAAGAGTTAAAAGTTAATTGTAAAAAGTGCTCCATTTGTCAAGAACCAGAGTTGTCTCCCTCTTCTGGAGCTATTGAGAGTGACTGGACAGATGGCGCTACAAAGGCTGTCTTCTTCTTTTTTGGCTCTACTAGATTGTCTGGAGATTCCAAAGGTATTGTTACTGGGCCATCATTCTGTATGTGTACCTGCATGTAGGCTCCAAATTTACCGTCTGTAATATGCATTTTTATAGCAGCTTTATTAACAGGAAAGTAAAAACTGAAATCTCATAGCCATCATCAAATTAATTCTAATAAATTACATTAATAACTGAGTGATGTAACAATGAGTAAAATTATAAATTTAAATAAATTTTTATTTTATTCTATTTTATCATTGGTACTTTGATATTTGCTATATGAGAAAAATGAGGAGTAAAAGTGACATAGAAAAAAAACCCCGCATATCTGTTGACGGCAATAACACATTTATAGTTTGGGAAAAAAGCTTTGTTATCAGAATAACTTAAAGTTTTTGGTGTCATGAGAACAAAAGATGAAAAAAGAATGTACAGTTTTAAATATCATTAACTCTAACCCCCCCCCCCCCCCCCCCCCCACACACACACACACACACTACAAACACAATGAGCCTGATAGGTGGTGCCAAAATCATTAAATTATTGCAGTCTTTAAGAAAATCTCCTCTACTCCTGGACACTTGGCAAGCTAACTGTTTGCATGATTATAATGACCAGATCTCCCCTATTATGATATAAATTCCTGACTCCTGATTTCAGACCACTGGGGTGGGGCTTAGTTTGTCATATATTGAAAATATTTGATATCAGCAGTCAAATTGTTTACATAGTTAAAAAAAACAATGAGTCTTTTACCAAAGTTATGGAATTCATGGGGTAATTTCTAACATTTTTCAGAGATGTCTGGTCATCTTACAAAAAACATTGATATGCTGATTTATACATGTAACAGAAGTCTCTGATTCAAATATAGGTCCTACTGGTCTGACTAGATAAAATTTTGCAACCTAGAACATTAGAATTTAATATTTTTTGGCCTTTGACAAGAAGAACTAAATTAAAAGTAAAAAAAATTATAGATCTAGCAGAACAATATGCTGAGCTTGTACAAGTATGCTGTCTATGACATAAAGGAAGCTTACCCGGTGAGTATTAGAGGGTATATAAAAATAATCATGATAACCAGATTTAAAAACATGTATACCCTATTATGTCTACTTTGTTACTCTATTTGACTAAATTTCCATAACATTTTTTTATGTATTATAGTTATTTTTTTTTATATTTCTACAAACATATTCAAACAAAGTAATACTGGTTGTTACCATATTGATTGGCTATAGACAGTTCTTTAAACAAGTGATACCTCGTAAATATCCACATGAAGTATGAATCTACCTTTTACTTTATCTGGATTATATGAATTCCTCATTATCTGTAGAAAGTCTTGATATGCTTTTTCAGAAGTATCTGGACCCATAGCTTCATGGAAGTCAGGTTTGTTTCCTTTGAGAATTGCAGAAAGTGTAAACTGAAAAAATATAAAGATTGAGATGTAGAGACATACTGTTATATGTATAGTGTACATTTATTATGGAATCATTCTTTGTAGTTTAAACCCTATAAGAGAAAACATGAAAAATTAACACTGACCTTAATTTGTTTTGGAGTCACTCTAGTCACTCAATGTGAAATATTAAATGAACATAAATTCCTGAGGAAAAAAATATACCTTACTTCTTCAGTCTCAGCTTATTGTAAAAATGATTGAAATGCTCTCAAAGAGATTTACCTTTGTATGAAGTTGTTTAAAGTTATCCTTCACAGAATTCAATAAGATCAAATAAGAGCAAAATGAAGAAGAAAAAAAGAGTTCAAGGTCAGGGGGGAGGTCATGGTCAGAAAATTATGACACAGTTAAATTACTTTCACCAATTTGTTTCAGTAAATGAAGTTAGATGAAAATATCTTGAACATTTTCTTTGAAAACAAAGGTTTAACATAAAATGAGGAAAAGTAAGGTCATGGGAAAGGTCAAGGTTAAAAAATTAAGACATAGTTGAGTTACTCTTACCAATATGTATTTTTGTATGAAAAATAAAAAAAATTTCTTGAATTCTTTCTTTGAAAATGACCTAAAGGTAAAGTGTGATGGACAAACAGACAAATGGACAGAAGAGAATGGAGGATAGAAGGGCAGAAGACAGACATTACAAAACTACATTCCTGGCAACATACAAGGTTGGAGGGGGGGGGGGGGGGGTGAAACAATCTTAACTCCATTAAACCAAATTGTCATTAAGTAAAAAATTGGGCAATTAAGACTGAATTTCAGGTTTTCCTAAAAATTGGGGGGGGGGGGGGGGGGGCTATGCCTCGACTATTTTGACTAGACTTCAAGATCCCTATCAAAGTACATTGTATCACCAAAACTAGAATGTTCCTAAGGGCACATATATGGTCTACAGGTATTTAACAGTTATGAACATTATAATAGATTTTAGGTACATGTATATGGATTGAATAAATCTATATTAAATGATGGAAAACTCAGTAGGAATAAAATACTATTAGCTAATTAGCTTACAGCAATGAGCAGTTGATGCTTTTCTTACAGACTTTTCAAAAAGTGTTTGACTTCGAGCAATACTCCATGTGATATTAATTATGTTCAAATAAATATTTTCATTAAGCTTCATAATGATGTATAGTGGTTTACAATTTCTACCTTCTTCTGTGAGAATGTGACTCCTCTCAAACAACATTATTGACAGACTATTGACAAAGTGATTGCCATGTGTCTACAATGGTCTCCATGTGACACAGAAATAATAGGAATGTTGTGTTTAAAAAAAAGTACCTGACTGACACACAGCACCTCCAGTTGTTTATCAATCACACTCTTATTCCATCTCTTCCCATCTTCCCCATCAAACAAACGAATGTTCAAAATCTTTCTTGCCCTGATAAAGCATATAAAACAATTAAAAATGTGTACTTTAAATAGTTGTATATTTTATAATATCAATACATGTCGAAGCAAAATCAATATTTGAATTAGATACCAATACACAAAATTATGTATCTTTACATAATCTAGACTTGCAATTCAATTTTATTCAAATCAGACAAAACCTGTACAAGTGATTTGAATGTATATGTGTGGCTTATTTTATTTTTCTAAAGAACTGCATATACACTGACTTCTAGCTGATTTTCTTTGTAATGACACTTAATTTAGTTTAAAAAAATTTATATTTAAATATGCTATTTTCATTTTAAAAGTAGTTTTAAGACATACTAAATATGTAATACATGTATTAAGCATGCATTACATATATTCCAGTTCCTTTGTTGAATCATTTCTGCCTATGCCAACCAAGACACATAGCCCCTGCCCAATGGAACTAATTGTTTCTTCACCAACTGAAACAAGAAGACAAAACTAGAATACAGACATCCAAATAACAAAATATAGAGCTTATAGTAGTTCAATATTATTGGTAGTTAGTCATCACTTTTGTGTTAAACATTTGAAAAAAAGTAACTGCTGGACAAATTTCTTAAAAGATATTTTACATGCAAAATAGGGTAAAATAATACTTCCAAGAAAAGTTTTAACTTTTCATCTGATCACTCAATTCTGTTATTTAATTATCTAAAATAAAACACCCCAAAGAAGAAGATTGGTGTTTTGAAAATTTTCCAAATGCTTCTTTTTAAAGAGAAATTCTTTACTGTGATAAACAAGATGAGTAAATGATTTAATAGAGCTCATGAAATGTTTATACTTATTACTGTAACCTTTTGTACTTCATCAATAGATTATTATCAAGGAACATGTTTATATCTATCAAATAAAAAAAAAATTAAGAAACTACTGTTAAAGTACCGGTAGTTGCAGATCAGGTCATTCTTCAGTAACAGGTGATATAAAATATTTTGTTTACTTTTCATATAGTTTTCTAAACCAAGTTCAAATTTATGTGGTAAACATATTATCAAACAAGAATAAAAATTATTTTGTTTTTCTTCCATGTATGCACGTCAAAGCTGCAGACAACAGATTTGTAATATATTTCAATGATTTAAGAAAACATTTGGGATATTATATCCCAAACAGGCTATTATATCCAATTTGGGCGACTGGTCCCAAACCGTTAAAATGCAAGCACATCCTCAAGTAGTTAAAATTCAATTTTTTTTCAAACCATGCACCCTTGGGATGGGTGGAACTACAATAAGGAATCAACATTTTACATGGGAATATATATATATATATATATATATATATATATATATATATATATATATATATATATTCATATATATATTCCCATGTATAAGTTGGGAAAAATTTTTTAAAATATTATTGCAAAGAACACCAGGGCCATGGTGGAGCAGACAGACGTCCTGGCCCAACGACACCTCGGCCCTGACAGGTCTGCCCAAGATTAAGCCTGCTCATAATTAACCCCTCACTGCATTAATTTTACACTTGAGACTCCTAAGGATGCACCGTGGTTACATGGTATCTTGTTTGTGTATCAGCACTTTAATTAATTGTCTTCTCTTTCCTTGATTATCGTCAATATGCTCATGGAAGATCTTTTTATAATAACAAAAAATCTTGATCATTTTAATTCATTTACTTTCTTCCAATCAATATTTTATTCAAGTCACAATTTGGAAATGTATGATACATTTCCTAATGAAATTTTGCTTGGGCCGAGGTGTCTTATATATGGGTTAACCAATAGGGGATCATTGTTTTACATGTGAACATACAGGGCTCGAAATTAAGAACAAAATATTTTCAAGAATAGCATGGCTACAATAAATCAATTTTTTATGCATTGCAAACATTCCCAAGTTATTTGGATTCACCCTCCCCACCCCACCCCACCCCCAATTTTTGGCCCTTAGGTTAAGATGGCGCTAAAATCGGGGATTAAGTGTTAGGTAATACATATATACAGGATAAATTTTTTTTTCATCTGTAACTGTAAACAGAAAGGTCATTTTAGCCTAATAGATATTGAAGCACCCACATGTGAAGATTCAAGTTTGGTTAAATCATAATCCCTTGTCATTTGTGTCTAGGATGGATCTACAATATGCGATCGAGATTTTTCTTGGGAATTCCGAATATCTAACTGAATATCAAAGACGAACCTGTCACACTTGCTTGGGTAACTCTCTGAATTATCGCTTTCATTGCAGCGATTGCCTTTTTCAGTTTACTTCCGGTCTGACAGATTAACTAAAATTGTACGTGTACATATTCGTAAACAAGAAATATATCTTTCTCGAAAAGAATTTATGGATAAATTTATTTTTCAATCATTGAATATATATCTAAAATTAAATGAATTAAATTAAGATTAATTTTCCTTGCCTGTTGGCTCTGTCTTACATCACCCGAAATTTCTTTGTAAAATTTGTTTGATCAAAATACGCGCGTGAGACTCTACCTCACCAAGGGAACGGACACAAGCAGCAATCTAGTGTCCACAGCAACAGAGTAAGAATTATAAAAAGCAGCTGACACAACGTAAGTTAACAATTATAGCGTCATGGTATCACAAACATTATCTCTGTGCACATTTTGCTGGAAACTTACATGTTGGTACTTTTGTGACGAGTATATGTTTTTGGATTTATAGTATAACAGTACAGTGAAATGAAATTTAAAACCTGTAGAAAACATGAATAGACACTTTGAAACATAAGTAAATTAACAAATACATTTTCTTATGTACACATGATTATTTTGTTTTCTTTGGGATGGGAGCCATGATTTTACCTTCAATTATCATTAATTAAGTAACAAAGATACAGAACTGTAGCATTAATGCTGCATTATGGTTTTATGTCTTTAATTTAGTTTCTGACCATAACACTACAGATTCCTGGCATTGTACAATCAACTATCTCTCATTCCCTCTTGTTTTGAATTTTTTGTCAAATGGCAGAAAATTCAAAACAAGCAAGTTTATTTGTAGAGACAACTATAAAGGGTTAGGAGGTGGATAAATTAAAATATGCAGGTTGGTAATAGAATATGTCTAGAATTAGAGAATGAAAGGTAGTTGATTGTCCAATGCTGGAAATCGGAGAAATACATCCTGAAAGGGAATCTTGCACCGTAAATTGCACTATATTTGCATTAGGAGATCTGTTAGCGTTATGGTCAAAGACTAAAATATAAAGCCATAATGCAACAGTTCTGCAGCTATTAACAAAGATAAATGGACTATGAATTAATTAACTTCTCATGTACACATAAGTGTTTCATTAAGTTTCTTTTGTTTTGGAGGAAATGCATTGGTCATTTAAAACAAAAGCATCAGATTCTTGCTGTATATATTGGATTAGTATATTTTGGGCTGAGTTGTCTTTAGTCAAAATATCAGTGGGCAATTTTTAAAAAAAAAATTCAGCTAATCAGTCTTGGCTGGATTGTGTTTCCTTAAGTTCCTTTCAATATGGAGGATGAAAGATCAGTCAGTTAAAAATAAAGCAGCAGATTCTTGTTGTGTATATTGGATAATCATAAATATAACTTAGGCTGAGCTGTCTTTAGTCAAAATATCAGTAGGCAATTTTTTAATGAAAATTTTTGACTAATCAGTCCTGGCTGAATTGTCATGGGAATAAGGTGTTGATGGAAGAAACCATCTTCGCTAGCCAAGGGTGTCTGATACGCTACTCTCCTCATAAACCCTTGGCATACGGTGCTGACAAAAGACGAGATTGTTTTTGTCACGTGATCATGATTCTTACCAGATACGCACAGATTGCGTCATCGACAGAAATAGAAAGCGTATTTAAAAAAAATTTGTTTTAAAAAAATAATTAACAAGAAGGTATCGAGTTATGTTAATTTATTATTTAAACATGTAAAAATGCAAATCTACATCTTCAATATAGATTCTTAATCACATATTTTGCACGGATGACACCATATATATAGCTATTCATAGAATGGCATGTTATCTTACGGATCATTGTTTACTTGCGTTTTACATTACCGATATTAAAGAGTCAAGATATATCCCGAACGCAAATATCGTCATTTACAAAAAACAATTGCTGATTGGTCGAACGATGTCGATCAACTCCAATCACAACTTGAGAAAAAAATCCCAACTTTTTTTAACACCGTATGCCAAGGGCTTATGAGGAGAGTAGCGTATCAGAAACCCTTGGCTAGCGAAGATGGGAAGAAACTAACTCTTGAATTTGTAGAATATATATATGTATAAGAATAACTTCCCAGCATGTTGGATTATACAGAGGGGTAAAATATCCAATTTGTTTCTTACTTTATCAGTAATGATTTATAAATTGATGAAGTCAGAGAATATAGAGTTGAAAGAAACCTAAATTTGGAGCTTTTGAATTTCTCAGTGAAGATCTTATGTAAAACATGATGTAATATTATTATTTAATATTGTAAGTCTTCAGTGTGTTGTGGTGACATCAATGCATATACATGTATTTACTTTGCTATTTTCATTTTTTTTTTAATTTGATGTCTTCATAGGACAAATATGACAGAGGTTGATGTTCCTCAGACTAGGCCACCAGAGCCACTCAGCATTCACATTGTTAAAGCATCAAACTTGGTAAGGCATACTTTGATAGATGATTTTTTTTAATGCATTTCAGAAATCTGATTATAATTGAGATCCGATCATTACATCTTTTTTATATGTATATATTCACATGTCATTTTTTTTTCATTTTAATTCATAAACTTTGTTTTCAAACAAGTTCCAGTATTATTTTACTGATACTCTGGGGTATTTGAATAACATGCTTATACTGATAATAGATTATTAAAAATTGATGCAAACAATTCAAGATATATAAATATTAAACATACATGTATTAATTAAAGCTTGCTTAACTGTACTTTATTTTAACAACATTCTTGGGTTAAGAGGGTTTGCTTGCTTTTTTTTTAAGCTATGAACATGCAGTGCTCAAGATAATGTACATTTCAGAAATTGACAAAGATAGACAATGGTCAGGTAATGTCTTGAGTTTGAGGACTGATGAGGCATATTATATGCACGCTACTGGATCACGTCATTGCTCTGTGAATTGTGTTGTCATAAAATATACAAAACTCATTTCTAAAGAAATACTCATCACAATGTTAGAAATGTGTGTTTGTGCAACGAGAAAATTTACAGTGAAATCTCAAGAGTTGATATAGATCGACTTGAAAATAAGTTTGTTAATGTCTGCGAAATGCATGTTTTTTCAGAACGTAACATTATTATTATATACTCACTCTTTGGATTTGATAACGTAAAAAATTGGCATGACAACTTCATAATCCAAATTCTCACTTTTTTTTAAAAGACACTAAATTATTCATAAAAATAACACTGATGTTAGTTTTTATTCACACTTGACAACAATAATATGAAATTCACACATGTAAATGAGTAAATTTGATAGCACAATTTATCATGAGGTAAAGTCAAATAATTATTCATTCCATATTCAAATTTTGTTCTAAATTAGACTTAAAAAATGAATGTTTCAAGAATATTTTTTACATTATAATAATAGATATTAAATTACATGTATAATTGGAATGTCATTTTCCTTATCATTTAATGCACTCAGAGACCATCTTCAGGATCATCGGTAATGATATTTCTCAGTTCACAATCTAAATGTATTTTTCGTTCAAAATTAGTGAGTCTATTAGTCATGAATAGTTGCAGGAATATGAGCTATTGTTTTCTGTAGCCAAAAAAGGCAAACTAAACAAGCCTGATGGAAATTCATCAACATTGTCTGTCTGTCCTCCCATTTCTCATTCTTAATTAGTCAATAGTGTCTTGTTTATGATGTAGCTGATTATATCTGTATTTTGGTCAAACACAGGACTGTTATAAATGTTCAAGTGCTGTAAGTGTTTATCAACAGTATTACTGTATAATTGTGATTTATAGTTGTTGTTTTTCATTGCTGTACAATGTAGTTGTCAGTGATTATTAGATTTTTTTAACAATCTAGTTCAAATAATTGTGTTTGTTATTTGCAGGGAATTGTTTATGTTTAGGTTTAAAATTATTAATTATTAATCTTTTTATAAAAAAAAAAAGTCAAGTGTTTTCTGTAAAGTTTATGTACTAAGAGTACTTTGTTTGAGGTTTGGTTTGGGGAAAAATTGGTGATTGAATTTATACTAAGTTCATGTACATGTCTAATATATGTAATTAATTACTATTTTAGTCTCTGATTTTGATTACATGTATTTATAACCTAGTAATTAATAAGAATGAAAGGAAAACAAGTTTGGTGGAGGAAAGGGATTTCTAAAAACTAGAAAAAAAAGTTAAAATTTTAATAAACTTATTTATTTTTCATGCAAGCTACCAACAGTTAACTTATCAAAATAGACTCATTAATATAGTACCATAAATTAGTATTATAGGCTTAATGGTTATGGAAGCATAGTATCTTATTATTAATCAAATGTAATAAACCCTCAGATGACCAAGTTTGCAATATTTATTTTTTCTTAATATTGTTTACAGAAAGGAACTAAGGGAGACAATGTGCAGATCACTGTCAAGGTGGAATTTGGTGACAGGCAATTGGGGGAATCCCCTAAGGTGGAATGTATCCCGGATACTCCAGCAGAGATTGATTATACAGCTACACTGAACTGTACCTTCGAAGATCCATTGGTTTTAGATGAAATTTCTTATAGACCGGTTGTCTGTATGTATTAGATTTTTAAAAAAAAAAATTAAACCTCTAGAAAATATTATAATTTTTTTTTTGCATTAAATTTTGACAATAACACGTACAAAGTGGATCAAAGCAGAGGAAACATGTGACAAAAAGATTGTTAGGATATGCAACTTTGGTATGAGCAAGTAATTACATGTAGCTGTATGTAGATTGTGAAGAGTTCTTTTTAGAAACTCAATAAATGAAGGGTGTAACTTTTTGATTTAAAGTGAAAAGATTAACAAATTGAAAATAATTTCATGATTTTAGTGACTGTGACAGAAGTTCTACCAAAGGAAAAAAAACAAAAAGAGGAGAAGACTGCTCAACTAGGACAATGTACTGTGGATTTACTTCCCCTTGTCAAAGGTATCCTTCATCAAACCTGATGCATAGCAATTAAGCCTACACTTTTCAAGTTTGTTGATTTAAAAAAAAATGACACTGCATGGTTTGTAGAATAATGCAGTATAAACATGTAACTATCTTGTGAATAGATTTGGTGTATAGTATGGTTATGACTTTTAAATGGAAACAATTTATTTTTAAATGCATTGTATAGGTACAAATTTATTTTGTGTGTGGGGGGGTGGGGTGGTGGTGGTGGTGGTGGGGAGGTGGGGGGGGGGGGGGGGGGTCTTGATGAATTTGACTTGCGGACTACACCTACATGCTCTGCAGAAAAATAATGTTAAAAACACTAGGTTTTGTTTCATGTACACACTGATCTAAGCTGTGTGTATGTTCTATAACTTCTGTTTTATAGGTGAAACAAAACATCATTACAATCTGGTAATCAACCCTTTACCTGGCTCACCTTTGGAGACAATTAGTCCGGAAAGTCCCAAGGTATTTCTAGATAAAATGGAAATTTTTTGAAAGTGTTTTATTGAAATTATTATGAAGGTATTCTCAAAGAAAAAATACTAGATCTAAAATTTTATTTTCAATATATATATATTTTTGACTTCACGGAAATCTACAAAGAAATGAAAACTAATGAGCCCAAGGGTAATGTTTTCATTCTCAAAAAAGAAATTTCATACCAGATGGGCTCAAAAAAGAAAGTTCATACCAGATGGGCACAATAAGACTGTGCAAACGTGATAAAATATTACATTTTTCTGTTGAGTTTTAATGAGGACATTTCAATTATTATGCAGCCAGAGATGGAGGTTGTGATCTCAGTCCAGGAATCACTGTTGGAGGGGACACAAATAGACCAGGGAAACCTCATGACTTTGACAGTAGAGAGTCTCTACTCTCCTCCTGAGTCTTGGACAATGACCGGCACACAATATGCTTATTGTTCTGCACTTCCTATCCCAGTGTCAGCTGATGTAAGTTCCTTATTAATACTTTGAATTACAGGTAACTCTTGATGGCTCGAACTTTGATCTCTCGAAGTTCTTGATCGCTCGAAGTGAGTCTCCGGTCCCGATTTTTTCCCCTATATAACTAAGCAAATTTACTCTTGATTTCTCGAACTCTTGATCTCTCGAACCACTTGATCCCTCGAAGTTAAATTGCAGTCCCGCTATGCATATTCTATTAGAATTTACCCTCGATACCTCGAAGTGGCTATGTGTATACAAGGTTATATAATTAGCACCTTTACTTGGACATTTAAATTGCCCAAGGCAGAAAACGCGGGTCTCGAGGAACGGGATATTTATTCAGGTGACACTTATGCTGCAAGGTGATAATTGATTTATAATTAATCATATTTTGCCTATATGCTATTAAATTAATCATCATCGACTGTCTTACGATAATTAAGAGACGCAGTGTTAGTGAAAAGTAGTAATTGATTAAAAGACGAAACACTAATTTAATTTTTATTTCGAGTCAGTGAAAAAAGTTAAACGAAATATGAAAAAGCAGAAACAGCCTCAATGTCAATATGATGACTATTATTGGACAAATACTTACAGACCTGCGTTCAATGATCATGTTTGGAATTATAGTCAATGCTATGTGCGACGCTGTAAATTATCGTTTACATGTAACGAATGCGTAGTATGATGTCCGTATTACAAAGATTAAATAAATATACGTGAAATGACGATATACATTGTTGCATTACTGAGTTTAATGAAATATTCATCTAAATTACGAAAAAAATATCGTTGTTTTATAAAAACCACGTGTAAAAGGTTAGCACTGCATGAAAATCATTACATCCGGTTAGACTAATTTTAAAACATGTCAACAAACTCGGAAAATTCCGGACTCTTGAAAACTCGAACTCTTGATCTCTCAAGGTTTTTCCTCGGTCCCGCGGACTTCGAGGTATCGAGAGTTACCTGTACTTTGAAAAGAACTTTATTAAAAGTCTTCTTTTTTTTTTGCTGTGAATAAAAACTTTAACTTGCCTCCAGTTGACTTTTTTTTAATTCCTTTATGCCCAGCGTGTGAAATACATTAAATTTTTGCGTAAAAGTTATAACAAAATGAAAAGAAATCTTTATTTTGTAATATAAACTGACCCAAGAAAGATTTTGTGAAGGAGTGTTCACATGTCCATTTGGAATAATTGAGAGAAATTTCTACATCAAATGACAAAGTTTAACTTTATTTTCACAGAAAGAGACACCAGTTGTCTTTGCTAATGGAGCATTAAAGCCAAGCATTGACAAGGAGCCCCCCAATCGCCAGAAAAAGTGGGCAGTACCAGGCACAGCACAAGGAAATTCTGTCTACATCCCAGAGAGGTAATTAATCACTATATATAAAATTATAGATATTATTTAAGTTAACATAACTCCTGTGAAATTTAGACGAAGAAGGTGCAGCAAATGTAGAACATTAGATTCTATGCACATGGAAGTCTAGAAGTTGGCACATTGTTTGAAATGTTTTAAAGTTTTGTTGCAAGGGTATCATCATCAATCAATTTACTAAAAATTAAAAGAGAAATGAATGATTAATTAATGGAAGCTTCAGATTTTACATGCTTCAATACTTAGCTAATTATTGGTGTTTTTCATAACTATCAATTGGCAATTTTTCAGTTTTTTACCCCCTGACAACATTGATGACGAGGATGGTGAATTCAAGGGTAAAGAAGAACGGGAGCATCGCCATATGGCTGAGACAGAGAAACTGAGGGTCACATGGAACACAGAGAGAAGATGTTACATGGATGCCATGGCTACCAAAAGGTCAGAATAATGTTGGTTAATCACAGCTGAGATTTGGCTTGCATGGATATTTTGACTGTTTTTATCTCATAAACTCCCACTTTTAGAAAATTATCCAAATAATTTACACTCTCTTTCTTTACATATATGAATACTGCCTATTAAAACTTTGGGGGAGGGGTGATTTGACTGATTTCCATCATTAATAAAGAAAAAATTTACAAACAAGTCCTCTTTTTTTCCTTTTTTTTCTTCTTTTTTTTTTTTATTTATTCAATTATTTTTTGGGGGTCAAACAAAGCTTTTAAGTACATGTATTATGCCATTTTCTGTCTTATTTCCACAGTTTCCAGGATAAGATAGCTAAGTGTAGGTATTGGCCTGTGGAGGTGATGAGATTACCTCAGCCAGCTGCTGCCAAGGGCAAGAAGGTGAGCAGGCTACATATTATTACAGACCTTTGTTTTATGTCATTCACAAATAATTAATGATCAGTTTAACATCTGGAATGTGGCTGTTATGGATTAAACACCTGAGTCATTAATGTTCTATGCACATTTTTTTCAGTATTTGTTTTCTGTGTGAGCATTTTTTTTAATTTGATGATAAAAAGTAATGTAAAAATGCCCTCATGTCAGTGTAATCACATTGAGACATATGACCTTGACCCTTCACAGTCCCAGAATGCTACTACAGTTGTAAGTTCAAATCTGTAATGTAGCCCACTTTAAAGGCAAAATTAGAACAAATTGTGCACAGCTTTACACATATTTTAAATATTTCTATCTAGTTTTTTTTTTTATAGTGTTTTGGGTTTTATGTTTTTTGAATACATGTAAAATTTAGACCTAAATTGCTTGGTGTGTTTCCCCTATAGTAACTAACAAAATTGTAAATGATTTTTTCAAATGGACAAATATGATTGTTCAATCCTGAAATTTCACGTGAACAATACATCAAGGGATTTCTTTTAATATTCTTCAGCATTCTGTTTTGGTAGGTATTTCTGTGTTGATGATTTTGTTTCCCCATTGCAAACATACACCATCTCCTAGTTACAACTCTTCCAAATTGTTGATGTATTTATTCAAGTGTCACAGTTTTCTATGTGTTGTCAAGCATATTTCTCACTGTATAATTCATGGGGGAGGGGGGCTATGAAATTTGGCAATATTTGTTTTTTATTCATGATTGAAAATGTATTGAAATATCCCTCATTTTCTGTGCTGTAGAAAATTTTCTCTTTAAAAATATTTCACAGAAAATGCTGAGCAAAAATTTACTTTGCCTTGTTAGATAAAAGTACAGTTTACAATCGATTATCTTTTTAAAGAAAAATTATTCTGATATTTTAAATGTGGAAATTTATGCATAGGGGTAATTTACATTTTAAAAATATTGGTATCACTGAAATAACATCCACCTGTATGAATTTTGTTACAAATTTTCCTGATGAACAACACACGCTATCCATGTTTTACAGTAATATGGATTGATTTGATTCTCAACACTTATTGTTTTGATTTTGGTAAAGTTAGGGGAAACACATAAATGGACCTGTGTAAAATACTGTATGTTATGATGTTATATGTTACTTTTAAATATATATTCATTTTTTTATTTTTATTTTCACATTAACATACAATATAAGTCTTTCATTAACATTTCTTCTTGTAATAAATTCTATAGTATACACATTAAATCTTTTATTTGCACAGAAATTCAATGTATAGTTGTATGTACTAACACCCTTTTTCAATATAAATGTTACAATGCTACAACACATATTGAGCATTATGATATTGAGGGATCTCAGTGACATTATAAAGTCACCTAATGGAATATTCATAGTCTATGAGAATTTTTTTAAGCTTTTTTTCCTTTTTTTTAATTCAGCCATATTAGATCATGAACTATTTATGGTATTATGGCACTAGTGAAATAGTGGTGTCAGTATTTTGATATTGTCATCTGAATAAAAAGTTGAATTTTAGCAGTTTTCATGAATAAGCATACCCCCTCTTCCTTATCTTAAAAAATTCAGTAAATAGAAAAGAGAGTTCCATTTTTGCCTGAAAATGAGTTTTTCCTACTTGCAGAAAATTTTAAATTATAAATTGCATGATCATGGTTAGCCTTCGCTAAAGGGGCTTAATTAATTGACCTTATGTAAATGTTTATGGCTTTTAGTTTCTTAAATTTTTAAAGTCTTCCTTTTTTCTTTTCTTTTTTAAACTGAATATTACCTTATTGGACATATAAGAAACTTGCCATTTAAAAAATGCTTCTTTTTTCACATAATAATAGCTTTTGATCATTTAATGTTTTGCATACAGCCACTTGGGGGAGGGAAATTGAAGGTTTGTCCAATGTGTGTGCATTTTGTTGCTATAATGGATACCCATACAATGTATGTAGATATTTCTGGGGGTATCTAATCTTTGTAAAACTTTGTAGTTTTTCTTTTTAGATCTTAAGAACCCATCCATTTTCTCTGACATTAGAACATTCTTTTTCTGAACATTTGAAATGTAGATTAAAAACTAATTTGTATTTAAAAGAAAATTGGCTGACTATATTTTTGCTTGTAAGATGTAGAGATTGAGTCATTAAACAATGTACATTTAAAGAATCAAAATTAATTATAGGAGATTTTCTAATAAATGTAGCACATCTCATAGTTATGTTAATCTCGATCTACTCCAAAATTTTCATTTAAAGCTTAATTATATTATTCTTAATTACCTTCTGTTATTGTCTTTTTTGGTTCATAAAGAACAATATTAGTACATAAATCATAATGCCTGTCTACTATAAAGACTGTTATCTCAAGTTATTACTTGCAGTTTCTTTTTCATTTACTAAGAAAAGTTAACCCATAAATCTTCATAGCTTTCATCACTTCTTTGTTTTTTTTCTGTGCCAATTAAAAGGATAACTTGTATCATGATTTGACATTAGATGACATTTTCTCTTTGACAGGATGATGAAGGATCCATCAGTTACCATGGTGTGGCTTTTGTCAACTTGGCACCTCTGCTATACCCAGGAGGTGAGTACCAGTACAGAGAACCAGTCTTAGAGATATTCAAACTGATGTGGTACAGTGGGTCGTTTTTGGCAGGTGCTAAATTGTGTTGCTTGAGGTCCAAAAGCATAAATAAAAAGTAATACCGTCCATGAGTATAATTTTAAAAGCAATCAAAAATCAATGATTAAAGCTGGAATTTATAGCACCTGTCAAAAAATGCTAATTGATGACATAACTTGGAAGATGGAAATATTTGAATAGAATCCTGAATGTCTTTAATTGCTAGTCATGTCTTCTGAGTATAACTTGGTTTGGGGCAAGTAATAGGCTTTTATTTTAGCCCTTTAATTTTTTAAGGATGTAGCATTCTCAAATTAATAAGAATGATTATATTGTTAACTCCTTGGTGTGTATTTGAAATGTATGAAGTTTAAGTAAATTTCAAATTATTTAATGTACATTTCAGTGAAGAGAATAAGAGGTGCATACAAAGTGCATGCATATACTGATCATGCAATGCATGAGAAGGTTAGTATGGGTCACATTATATTAACTATGAATTATATTGTAAGGCACAGTGATTTTATAAACCAAGTGCATGTACATACACATGTTGTATTTGGATATGGTTTTATCAATGGTACAAAATGCACAATATTTTGAAATCAAATTAAAACATTGGCATTTTAGAGACAATTTGATAGATTGCCTGTTCCTTAGAAATTAAGATACATGTATTACAATTTTTTAAAGTAATTTTAGAAAATTATAATAAAAAAAGAAAGAATGGATTTATTGCTCAAACCAAATGTTGATGTTTAAAACTATTTAGTCCATCTTTATAGTGGATGACATTTTTGCTATTGTAGGCCAAAAGGAAGACAGGATTTGGGGAAGAGGCAGCAAAGATTGCCTTCAACATCCTGAACAGAAACAGTGCCTCTCCTTTCCCAAAGAAAGCTGGAAAAGAAGGGGGTGAAAAGAAGGAGAAAGAGGTCAAGAAGGGGGTAAGTTCAGATGTTTAACAATACTTCCTCATTGACTACACTTATCAAGTTTATGCGGTGAAATTTGAGATATTGAAAATTAAACATTAGTCCTAAGATTTGTCTCAACTCTCTAACTACATGTACATAAAACAGTATGTTTTTTGAAATTCAATTTTAACTTTTAGTTCAGTTACCCAGTTTTCTGGTAGATGATTGCTTAAAAAGCAAACAAAAAAGCTTTACAATTTATCACATGGAATTATCATAATGTATGCTCTGATACCAAAAAAGAAAAAGCATTAGTACCTAACATGCATCTTTTAGAGACACAAATGAAAGAAACATTACAACTTCATAATAAACCAGAAAATTTCATGGAAAATCACCTGTGTCTCTTTTTGGAAAACAAAATTTTTGAGTTGAACAAAAATATATTTAATGCAAGTTTATTGTAGCAAAGAGAAAATTTATCTGGGTTTTAATGAAAAATCTTAATAACTATAGGAAGAAAGTCAATGCCTGAGAATTATGACATAAGTAAATTAATATGGTTCTCACATGCACTTTTATAAATACCATGTGAACATAATCATTTTGAGAGGGAAAAAAAAGACAAGTTTTGCTTGTTGCAGAGGGCCAGTAGCATAGCGCAGCACCATGACCATGAGGTTGGCAAACTCTGCCGTGCATAATTACACGCTTGAATAATTACATCACTGACGTTTGACTTTTTTTTTTTTGCTTAGTTCATTCTAATATGAACTCCCATGTATTTTATCCTTCGTAAATACAAATAAAACTTGCTGTTTTTTAATTCATCATGATTGCTTAAAGACAATAACAAGGGGGGTAACTGAAATTTCTGTTTGTTCAAGTCTAGACTCTTTTTGCATTTATCATATATAAAGTTTATAGCAGATGTTTAGCAGTGGCCAGCTCATTGTCTGTCTAAAAGGTGATGAAAATGCTCTGGAAGCTCTAAATAAAAAATGTTCTTTTAGGAATCCTATTTTGAAAATAGGTACAACATGAAATTCAAGATAAGCATAAAATTTGATAGACCATTGTAGTGCCTGAAATTTTTTGTTATAAAATTTGTGTTGGATCTTGCAGCGGTCAATGAGCATTGCTCAACAACAACAACAAGTGAATGCGGCCCCTGCGGGGCCCGGGGGTCAAGTTCCAACAGAGGTAGTCTCTCATTATTATATTCACTCGGTACCGGGCGTGTTGACATGAGAAACTGATCCATGCACATGCACTCATTTAGATTATTCATTACCTTTTTTTTTAAATCTCAAAATTAACATTTTTCATATTAAGAAATTAGGACTATAGAGGAATTTATTTGTTTTAGATCTAGACTTATTCTGATCAGGCTAAAAGGGACAGAAATATAACACTAGACCATACTCATTTTTTGAATATCTTCTTGCTGTATTAGGAGTGTGGTATATTTAATTGAAAGTTCTTGGGAGGAAGTTTAAAATTGTGTATGAAGTCTCAAAATTTCTAGGCCAGTTTTCAAAACAGAATATTTATTCTGGTTTAAATCATCTTGAGAGAAATTTTGAAAAATTCTTTAACCTTTAGCGGAAATATAGAAAATAACATTTTGGGATACTGTTGTTGTATGTGTTGAATTAACAATGGATTGTGTTGTGTGAACCTGTGTGCATTCCCTATTTATTGTCCACTTAGAAATTTTAACTAACATGACTGCAAACAGTAATAAAAGAACCCATCCTCACTTTGTGTTACCTCACTGCAAGTTTGTTTTCCATACTATGAATTTGAATTTTGGTGCATGTTTAAAAATTCAAAAGTGTGTTTTGCCAAGCTATTGTGTTGAACAGTTGTTTTTGGTCTGAGATCTGCTGCACAGTTGCTTTACTGTAGGATTTTACATGCATATTTCCTTGATCAAATAAAAAGAACCACTATATTAAATGTCATGTGGTTAAAATTATAAAACATTATTTGTAAAAAAAAAATTAACTGTATGAAAAAATATTGTTTAAGGAATGCATATCAGAATTATTAAAGAAAAGTGATTGAATTGATAAGATATGAAGTTTAAACCAACTGTTGTATAGAGGGATGACAGTGGTATGTCAGAAAAATATAGCAGCCAATCAGTAAAAGAGGTGAGAGGTTGTTACCATGGTGATGAGATCAAGGTTTTTTTGAACGGTTTTGAGGTGGATATTAGAATTTCAATCCAAAGTTGGTGACGTTGGTGATGTTCTTCACCTGTAGTAGTAGCATTTTGTTGGTTTCAAAAAAAAAAATTGTAGTAGAGGTACACATAGTGTAAATGTTTTTAAGCACAAGTTTTGAGTTTAGTATAGCTTGTCTATTAAGTTTACAAAATTTTACAAGTTTCATCATTCATTCTTATGTTGTTTTGAATTCATTTCTGAAAATAACTTATTTTTAGATGAATATTTTTTTTTACTTAAGGAATATTTTAAATTTTTACTAATCATGCATTCCCAAAGTGTATACAATGTTACATTTTACTTCTAGGCCTCTCAGACCATTAAGTCTGACACTGGGTCAGAGATGGAGGGACAGGCCCCTGTCAATGTGGAGGGACAGCAGTATGTGGATGCCAAGTCTTATGTCATGTTAGAAATCTGCCTCACCAGGCCTCTTATCCCCAAAAGGCCCCCAGAGGAACTAGCTAGAAGGTAATGAAAAGATTAAATACAATCAAACCTCATTATCTCAAACTGAATGGGGCAGAGAAAAAACTTTGAGATATCTGAGGTTTGAAATGTTTAGGTTAAAATACATAAATAATTGAAAAGTAGTTGGGACCTCAAATTCCCTAGGACATCCATGATATTCCAGATATCAATATTTGAGATACATGTACCAAAGTTCAACTGTAGTTCATCGCTTGTGTGTGTGTTAAAATTCAAACCAAGATATTATCAGATGCTATATTATAATAATGAATAAATGTTGAAAGAGCAAACAAAATCTTGAAGATCCTGTTTCTTTTCATAGAGTTGCTGAATACATTCCCCCAAGACCATTGTTCCCAAAAAGAACTGATGGAGCTCAAAGGGTAATGCATCATAAACATTTTTTTAATAAAAAGATTTTAAAGTTAATTATTTAATTTCCTTCACAGGTATAATCATGAATTTGATATACACAAAACAACATTTATTACAATTATAATATTTAATAATTTTTTTAAAAATCTTATATATAATATTTTTTCAGGCTGTTGAGGATTTTCACAATCAAGTTGGAAGTGTAGCTAATCTTATTTTAGATGAGTTTAGGTAACATTTACGTCTTTTTTAAAGATTTGCTTACAGTGATGTTTTACCATTACACATTGTAGTACAGCAAAATTATTATCACTAACATCTTATCTTAACCACTTATATTTTATAACAGGGATCAGTTTGGTGATATCTTGAAGACAGATGATGTTCCACAAACTGTAGAAGCAATGGAATCCAGGTACTGTGTTCAGCAAAGTACTGTTGTATTGTAACTTATCAATTCAGATACTGCTCTGCTTTTTTTCCAAAGGACATGAAGGGTAATGAAAAGAATATTTTCACACAAAGTAAGACATTTTCACAGGAGGCAAAAGTTGATCTATGAGCTGAATTCCTCTGGAAAGTACTTTGCGTTTAAAGAACAGCTGAAGTATGCAGTGGTGAAGATTGTACGCGAGAAGTATCTGAAAACTTCAGCTTTTGAAGACAGACAAGAACTTCAGGTTTGAAAGATTTCTTCTAAATTTGGAAAACATAAATCTTTGACATTGTTAGTGTTTCATCCATGATATTTTAGAATTGCAAAATTTTTAGCAATAAGCATTTACAACTGTAGAGCAATTCACTAAAACTGATAAACCATTCCGAACATTTTTTGAAGTTTTATTGTAATGCAGGTGATAAACTTGTGTAAAAAAGGAGTATAAAATTAGAAACATTTTATTTATCAATTAAAATGTAAAATTATACCTTTTATTGGCATTATTTTTTAATGCATTATGATTGTGACCATTTTCCTAGAGAAACTTCTGTTCTATTTTCAGACTTTCCTGAGCGAGTTGTACGTTTACTTGATTGATCAAATGCATGTTGCTTTGGGTAAATTTTTGGCCCTTGAGGATCAAGCTCCCATCCCTAAGCCTATGACTGACTCAGCCCAGCTCAAGCACTTTGCAAGAGAAGCAGAAGTTAATGGAAATTATGAACTGGCCACCAAATATTATCAAGAGGTTTGTTTTCAATCCATTTCTTGATTGTTTCACAAAATTCAGTCACATTTATGAATTGTTTTAGCATGGAAATTTTCTTCTTTTTTTTTTGAATGTAAAAAAAGTGTGTATAAAAAATTAATTTTTTTTTTTTTTTTTTTTGGTAACATTTAGATTTTTAGCTCACCTGAGCTGAAAGCTCAAGTGAGCTTTTCTGATCACATTTTGTCCGGCGTCCGTCTGTCTGTCTGTCCGTCTGTCTGTCCGTCTGTCTGTCTGTCTGTAAACTTTTCACATTTTCGACTTCTTCTCAAGAACCACTGGGCCAATTTCAACCAAACTTGCCACAAAGTATTCTTGGGTGAATGGGATTCAAGATTGTTCAAATAAAGGGCCACGCCCTCTTTCAAGGGGAGATAATTAGGAATTAGTGAAAAAATAATGGCATCATTTAAAAATCTTCTTCTCAAGAACCATAGGGCCAGGAAAGATGAAACTTATGCGGAAGCATCCTCAGTTAGTGTACATTCAAGTTTGTTCAAATCATGACCCCCGGGGGTAGGGCGGGGCCACAATGGAGGATCAAAGTTTTACATAGAAATATATAGGAAAAATCTTTAAAAATCTTCTTCTCAAGAACAGCAAAGCCTTGATGAGTCATATTTATATGGAAGCATCCTCAGATAGTGTAGATTCAAGTTTGTTCAGACCATGACCCCCGGGGGTAGGGCGGGGCCACAATGGAGGATCAAAGTTTTACATAGAAATATATAGGAAAAATCTTTAAAAATCTTCTTCTCAAGAACAGCAAAGCCATGAGGAGTCATATTTATATGGAACCACCCTCAGGTAGTGTAGATTCAAGGTTGTTCAAATCACGACCCCTGGGGGTAGGGCAGGGATACAATGGAGGATCAAAGTTTTACATAGAAATATATAGGAAAAATCTTTAAAAATCTTCTTCTCAAGAACAGCAAAGCCTTGATGAGTCATATTTATATGGAACCATCCTCAGGTAGTGTAGATTCAAGTTTGTTCAAATGTTCAAATCATGACCCCCGGGGGTAGGGCGGGGCCACAATGGAAGATCAAAGTTTTAAATAGAAATATATAGGAAAAATCTTTAAAAAATCTTCTTCTCAAGAACAGCAAAGCCATGATGAGTCATATTTATATGGAAGCATCCTCAGATAGTGTAGATTCAAGTTTGTTCAAATCATGACCCCCAGGGGTAGGGCGGGGCCGCAATGGAGGATCAAATTTTTACTTAGAAATATATAGGAAAAATCTTATTCTCAGGAACAGCAAAGCCCGGATTGGTCATATTTATACGGAAGCATCCTCAGGTATTGTAGATTCAAATCTATTCAAATCATGACCCCAGGGGTAGGATGGGGCCATAATGGAAGATCAAAGTTTTACATAGAAATATATAGGAAAAATCTTCTTCTCAAGAACAGCAAAGCCATAATGAGTCATACTTATATGGAAGCATCCTCAGATAGTGTAGATTCAAGTTTGTTCAGACCATGACCCCTGGGGGTAGGGCGGGGCCACAATGGAGGATCAAAGTTTTACATAGAAATATATAGGAAAAATCTTTAAAAATCTTCTTCTCAAGAACAGCAAAGCCATGAGGAGTCATATTTATATGGAACCACCCTCAGGTAGTGTAGATTCAAGGTTGTTCAAATCACGACCCCTGGGGGTAGGACAGGGATACAATGGAGGATCAAAATTATATATAGGAAAAATCTTTAAAAATCTTCTTCTCAAGAACAGCAAAGACTTGAATAGGAATATAGGAAAATATCTTCTTCTGGAGAACTGCAAACCATGATTAGTCATTTTGATATGGAGGCATTCTCAGGTAGTGTAGATTCAATTTTGTTCAAATGATGACCCCCAGGGGTAGGGTGGGGCCCGATGGGGGATCGAAAGTTTTACATAAGAACATGTAGACAATATGAACAGAAAAGCTATGTTTAGTCATATTGATATGGAACATCCTCAGGTAGTGTAGATTCAAGTTTGTTCAAATGATGACCCCTGGGATAGGGAGGAGCCACAATAGGGGATCAAATTTTTACAAAGAAATATATGGGAAATTTTTTTTAAAAAAATCTTCTCAAGTACAACAAAGCCATTTGTTATATTGACATGGAAGCATCATCAGGTAGTTTAAAATTCAAGCCTCCCCCCTCCCCCCGGTAATCTTTTCAATACAGAACTGATTTGTGCTTTTGCCTAGCCAATGTGCTCAGGTGAGCGATGTGGCCCATGGGCCTCTTGTTTCATATGTTTTTATATCTCAACCATTTAGTTAAATAAAGCATAAATTTTTAAAATTTAAAAAGAGGAAATATCTAAGATAGGAAATGTAATTGTTGATGATAGTCTGAAATGTCACTAATGGAAGAAATAACTTGATTTACAGAGGATTGCTAGAAACAAAAATGATCCTTCACACTGGTTTGATTATGGAACCTTCTGTCTGTACATCAATGATATTACTAAGGCAGAAGAGTGCTTCAAAGAGTGCATTGCTATTGATCAGAAGCATTTACAAGGGTGAGTAAATGTGAAGGGTTTTTTTTACAAAATGAGCAAAGATTTGGAGACATGTTGATTTAGTCTATTTGTCTGTCAGTATCTGTCTTATGGAAAGATTCATAAATATGCCAGAGATTTTACATGGTTAGAGAGTCAAATTGGATTAAATTTATATCCAGTATAGTCAAAAGTTTATTTATACAAATTTGCCACAGAAGACCCAAATGCATTGAGGTTTCACAAACAAATTAAGGTTGTTGAATATTTTTGGTAATAAATTGTTTTTTCTTCCTCAGGTTGCTTCTTTACGGGGTTGTCTGTACGCTATCAGAGAGAAATGAAGCTGCTGAAACATTCTTTGAAGCAGCCACCTGTGTGGATCCCAAAAGCATTCTGGCCTGGACCATGCTTGGTGGGTATTCAAATATTGTTCATTTGGTCTCCAGAAAATTTTAGGCTCCATAGAAATGAAAATATATGTCAAAGATGAAAAAGGGAAAGAGTGATGTTCCAAATGCTTATTTACAGATGTAATTATTACAACAAGTTAAACATTTTCAAAGGTTTATTTTCCTTTTAACAGGCAGTAAAAACAGGTTATTTGCCAGATCCTAATTTTATTGTAATATTTTTTTCTCTGTAGGTCTGTTTTATGATGCTGTGAACAATGAGATAGGAGCAGAAATGGCTTACCTTGAGGCCAACAAACTTAACCAAGCAGCAGCTGTTGCTGAGGCCAAGGCCCTGAGAGATGATGAGATGGCCAAAGAGAAGCTGGCCAGAGGAGAACAGGAGAGTGAAGATAAAGGTAAGAGAGGCTGGCCAGAGGAAAATTTGAGTTTGAGGAGGATGGTAAGGAGGTGACCAGAGATGAATGTGAATGTGAGGAAAAAGGTAAAAGAAGCCAGAGGAGAGTGTGAGGATAAAGGATAAAGGTAAAAGAGACTGGCTAGAGGAGAATGAGACGGTGATAAAGGTAAGAGAGGTGGCTAGAGGAAAATATGAGTGTGAGGATAAAGGTAAGAAAGGTGGCAAGAGGAGAATATGAGTGTGATGAGAAAGGTAAGAAGGTGACTGGAGGAGATCAGAGAACGAGAATAAGGTAATAGAGGTGGCCAGAGGAGAATGTGAGTTTGAGGAGAAAGGTAAGAGAGGTGGCAAAAGGAGAATATGAGTGAGGGATAAAGGTCACCATTCTTACCCGAGGAGAATGGGAGTGTGAGGATGAAGGTAAGCAAGGCTGGTCATTGGAGAATGAGGAAAAAAAAGGTAAGGGGTTAGTGTAAGAGTATATGAGTATCCACATAATAAAAGAGTGGATAAAGATAAGACAGATTGTTTAGAGGAGAGGACGAGAGTAGGGAAAAAAGTAAGAAAAGCTAGCAAGAGGAGAAAAAGACACTGTAGAAACAGGTAGAACTTTTAGTTCATTATGTTTTCAGAGGTGGATCATGACCAGGGAGGCTTAGCCCCACCCTCAGTCCCTGACATTAAACAACCCTCTCCTCCATCTAGTGACAAACCTCCAACTTCTGCTCGCTCTGGGAAAGGATCTGTCAGTGATAGACGTATGTCGGCCTCAAAGAGATCTGGTAAGACTACAATATTAGTGTGTGGAATGTATGTCAACTTGTGGATTTAAATCTTTGGGGATTTTCTTGTGTGTCAAAGCCAGCTGAAGAAATATCTAGAGGAATTATAACAATTCCAACAATTTACAATTTTAGGCCTTATAAGATACTCATTCATCTGATGAATATTAAGTATCAAAACATGTGAAATCATTTAACCATAATAGTTATTTTTGGTATATCTAAGTACCTTTTGGTGATGGGAAAATAACTTATCTCCTTGATTGTAGACCCACATCTCCGCCCAGATCAATCCCCTCAGTTACAAGGTACTGGAAAATTTTATGGTCCACTTTAACAGTGACCCTCACTCAGTCATTTTCATGTGTTGATCTCCCACCTTTGACCTATGACCCAACCTACAAATATGCATATTAATCAACCTTTGTTGCCTCTGAAATGATTTTGATGTTATTACATATGTATGTACTAAAGGCTCCATTGTACTTGCTTATTGACTAACAAAAATGTTTTACATGTAATGTCCCAGACCATGTCCTGTGTGTGTACTTGTTTGCTGTGAAGTATGAGAGTTTCTGGATAACTTTCAGTTAATGTTTTAATTGATCTTTGATTTTTGTTCATGTGACGCAGTCAGGATTGCAAAAGGTAGAGGGGGAAAAAACTTTCTCTGCTCCTTGTAGAAAAATCACATGATCACAAAATGTGCACTTATTGACATTTTATTGTCAATGAACAATTTGAACAGTTCTGTACAGAATTACTTTATTTTCCCACTACATTATTGATTTACACATAGTGTGTGGATATATTGCACTAATTAGATGAGTTTTTACACCTAAATATATTGCAGTGTGACAGCAAGATCAAAGTTAATAACGTACATTGATTATTTTTCCCTTCCTGGGAAAAGTGATCTTGGTCTCATTTTCATTAAAGTGCATATACTGTATATACTCGCCTATAAGTCGGTTCGCATATAAGTCGGTTGTATTTTTTAAGCTTTTATTAGAGGGATTGACCGTCTAAAATATCAGTCTTTTTATAACTCGCCTATAAGTCGGACAAAGAGTTTTGGTCCAAATTACAACTCCCAAAAAACCGACTTATAGGCGAGTATATACGGTAGATGATTGACATAGTTTACAATTATTGATTATCGTAGAACTGCCAAAACAAAAAAGTACATTGTAATTTATCATGTATCTAACAGTTTTTAAATTCATTTCCTAATGATAATGCAGTTTCACTGCATAAAATGTAAAGGAATGTTACAGTCAGTGCAAATGGTATTTTACATGTATCACTTTTGAATTATTTTTCTCCTTAATAACCATAGTAAAATGCACTATTCTGTGTACAAAGTGTTCCTGTTGCTCTGAATTAGCATCCAAATTTTCAAGCATTTATAAAAGAAATTGAAGATGTTACATTGATTTTATTATTTTTATGTAAGCAGTATTTTCTGTTGAGAAGTACTATTAAGGGGTTTTGTTTTCTTTATACTTTACCTTTTCAATTTTGTAGAATAAAATTCATTTTCTCAATTCACTTTGCAAGATTGCTTTTAGCTCAGCCCTTAAAAGTCACCATCACTTTATTTTTATTTTACTTGTACCTTTTGTCTTTAGAAAGACTATTAATTAATTGAATATTCATTTTAATCTAATTTTTTTTAACATTCATTTTAATAGATATTGTTGGTAAGTTATAATATTAGATGCTTGTATTGGCTAAGCTGTTGAACAGTAGATTTTCTTTAGATTTTCCTACAATTAGATATTGACAGACAAGTTAATTTTTCTCACAAGGAAAAAAAAAAAGTAATGCCTTATAATTAGTGGGATTTTTTAATTCAGTACAATTCTTGTCAACACGCAAGACAATGATCTATCTTCTAATGTAGTCTAGGTTCCTAAAACATTCTAGTTTGAAGACAGTGGAAAATAACTGTTACAACTGTATGATCATGTTAAAATAATCAATCGCGTTGTACTTCTTAGCTGTGTTTGTGCCTCATTTTCATTCTTTTCGTAAATATTAGTGAATAAATTTTATGGTACCAAAGTTTTCAAATTTACATTCAATTTTGCAATGACATATTAACTACTTTGTACTGAGGTAGTATTAAAATTTTAAAATTTCTGAAAATAACAGGAAGTAAAATCAAGACAGATAGTACCACTTCTCGTCCTGGCAGCCAGTATAGAATGGGAAGCCAGCGTGGTACCCCCCAGCCTGCGGAGGAGGTAGAAGAATCCCCTGTGAGAGAGCCCACCCCAGTCCCCCGTTCTAGTATCTACATGCAGGCTATCGAGTGGCTGATTGAGGTCAAAGCTATCCCTGTAAGTGTTTTTAAAGATACTGGCATTACTAATAGATACTGACATTACTAATAGATATTAATAATTAAATGAGAATATCAAAATGTTATTTAGGATGAAAGGAATATACTTCAACTTTATTTGTGTAAACTCTTGATTTTTTCAATTGTTAATGAGGAACTTACTCAAAGTTACGGACATTCACTGGTGAGATGAAACTGAAGACTTTGTTTTAGAATATTTGGGATGAGCCCCATCAAATTTTACTGTCATTTATGTTTAGTTCACTGAGAGAGCCCTGGCCCATGAACTGCTGTCACCAATGGGAGGCCCCACGTCTGGATATCACATCAACTATGCCAGGTTAAAGCTACAGAAAAAAGAATACAAAGAGGCGGAAAACAGTCTGGACGAGGCCCTACAGTTTGACTACCAGGTAACAGAATATTGCATTGTTGTGCAATTTTGCTTCTCCTTCAGTTTGTAATTTGGTATTTTCAGTAAGGCTATTAGAAAAAAGTTATGGCAGGGATTTTATTGTAGCTGCATGACTGTAGGAGTTTTCAATCTTGTAATTGCCTTTTTATGATGTAATTAGTACTGATTAGTGATTTAATCTGGAGAATAAATAAAAAGAAAAATTATTGATCTTCATTTAAATCCATTAAAAATTTGAGTTCTTATTTGAATTTTGTAGAATCCGGATGCTTGGGCACTCATGGGACATGTGAAGTATATGACGAATGATGTGGAGGCTTCCAGAGACTGCTATGAACGCACTCTTTCCTTTACAACTGATGCAGCAGAGATGCATTCTATATACCTTAGATTGGCCTCCATATACCTTCAAGAGGAGAAGGTACTCTTAATTAATATAGACTGATGCTATCGTAAAATTTTTAGTTAATTTTTGAAAATAAAAAGAAATTGTTACTTACATTTGTGGATCTAAAAGTCAGCAAAATCACAGGCTCATTAGCTGCATTTGCAATTAGTTGCAATTATGAATAGCTTTTCCATTATTTCTTGCATAATATTATATATATACATGTAGTATCATAAATGAGTGCACAAGGTTTTGCCTTAAAGGTGCCACATTATGAATTCTGCTAAAGTGTTATGTACATTATTTTCTTTAGAAGTTATAGCAACCATCACTTTTCTGAATTTTTTTTTCTTTTTGTGATGGACTTTATTTTGGACATCCAAATTTTGATTCTTTTTGGAAGCAGCAAATAAAAATTGTTTGTTCATATTTTTTTTATAGTTTTCAAATGCGAAGAATACTTTCCTTATGGCTTGCAAGAGATCCCCTTCCTGTGTTTCATGGCTGGGTGTTGGTATAGCATGTTACAGGGTAAGTTTTAAAATTCAAACATAGATTATTTTCAATTTACTCAGTCAAAATAGAAGTTATCTCTCTTTTTTGAATGTCTAAATTGTGTCTGAATACCCCTAAAGGTCTTTTAGTGTTTCTTTTGCAATATACAATTTTTTTCATGTATGCAGTTAGGAGAACTAGCAGAAGCTGAAGATGCTTTGTCTGAGGCCAACATCCTCAACAATACTGATCCAGAAGTCTGGGGTTATCTATCCTTGGTTTGCCTCAAAACCGGCAGACAGCTGGAAGCAGAACAGGCCTACAAATATGCATTGAAGGTAAAAAGAAATATGTAAATTTCTAGGAAGATACACTGTTAATAGAAGGTAGAAAAAAGCTTTATGGTGAGAAAGACATTTCTCAAAATATTACTTATAGGCATACATGTATATTGTTTGCGATGGATTTTAATATGAGATTTTTTACAATTGCAGTTGAATCTGTCTGACTATGATTTGCTAGCAGAAATACAGCATGTGCAGCAGGAAGTAGGATTTGGAAATCCAGAGTTTTAAGCTTCTGTTTGTGACATTTTATAAATGTCCTTGTTATGTTGACATTCTATTTGATTTGTTTTGATGTTCAGTTTAATGACTAGAAAATTCCAGTCTTTATTAATGTTATATTAAGTAACCTGTGATGAACAAAATATTTATCAATTAAATCATATCTTTAAAAAGTTGTGTTTAGTTTTATTTTAAACTGTTTCTTTGAATATGTGTGATTTGTTTATTCCATAATTGGCTGTGAAATAGGAAATGAATATTTGCACACACTAAAAATTGGATGCATTATAAACCTCTTTATAGCATTCTCTCTCACATTTCAATACTTGTTAAATATGTTTCGTCTTAAATTTTAGCTTTGAAAGATTCTCTTAGGTATGGAATTACTGTTAGCATACAGAGACTTCTATCAACAGGGAAGTTGGGGCTTACTTTCTATATTATATGTGATGTTTCCATTGGGGTTCCCATCACACATTAACAGTAGTCTGTATCCAGATACAAAATGGCTTTAGTGTCCTTCTAATCTCACTTTATTGCGGAAGAATACCATATTGTGCAATTTATGACGTACTTTATATTCCAATTCAAAAAAAAAAATTGAATGGTAACCAATACCTGTATGTGTATATGGCCAGCTGGGTCTCTCTTATATATCGGGGTGATCTAGTATAATGAATAAATAATTTTATGATTAAAAAATTCATGGTTATAGGAATCAAGACAATTAGAATTTCAATGTTGCTCAATTCCCAGCATCAGTTTATTACATGTATTGTGTAGAATTTTAGTGTGCAATGAGAAATGTAATATTCTTTGCGTTAATGTCCCTTACATTATTTTGTAATTATTACAGCTATTTTATGTAACCTATATGTATTTGAGAAATTAATCTTTAAAAAAAATCACCGGTAATGACATTTATAGGATTTTTGTGATAAAATTGCTTTATCTTGCTTTTCATCATGCACACGATTTTAGTTTTAAATGTTGAGTTTCCAAGTGCAGGAGCACTTGACTTTTAGCTTTACTTGTCAAAGACATATCCAATGTTTTACTGAGCGGTCAAGAAGGACCGCGGGGTGAGATACTGGACCTGTCGATGAGATGTTGGACCGCTATGACGTTTTTTTTTATATCACACTGTAGGTGGGATCAGATTTTATATCTTATTTACATTCGTTTGTGATCGACGATTACGGAATTGACCGAGTTAAATCCGCAGTGCAAAATTTACATCATGGAAGCCAGCGTACGATACTTCGAAAAAGAAATGTAAATATAACAAAACACTTATTGTCTGTGTTCTCAACTCAAGAGCAACGTGGGTTTTGCCGATCCCTCAAACCAAACTGTTGGCCTGAGGCCGTTTTGGTTCTTGGGTCCGACAAAACGCATGCTGCTCTAGAACCCAGTCAATAAATGTTTCATGGTTTTCTTCATTTTTTCTTACCTATTGAAATAGAAATAGATATACAGTGTTTTGATCAAGCATAAACAGTTTATTACGGCGTCTTTTTTTTGTCTTCTTTAAGTCTATATATGAATATATATAGTATATGTGTACTTGTTAGTTGTATAGAGCATTTATAAATAGAGCTTAATTGAGAAACCGTGACAAAAAATTCATTTTGATACGATTAACCGGTTGGCAATTCGGTATTCGATTGCCATCCCCACTTCTTCGTGTTGGTTGCTTATTGATAAAGTTGATAGGAATTTTATAATGATAACATGGGAATCATGGTGGAAATATTTTTTTTTTTCGTCGGTTGGAGTTAGTTATAGGTAATTACATCAGTTGGAATTCTATAATTGCTGCCGTGACTTCTGATCAGCTGAGTTTACTTTTACTTCTACAGAATAGCTTTGAGCTTATTTAATTTGCAGTTTGGTGTGATACTTGGGATTCTTTACTAGCTATCAACTGACACTCTGCAAAATGCATCCCTTTTTTTGAATTTACCATTTCTGGCGACGGTGGAATTCTGGAAATGACATTTAATTTGGTGAAACATTTTATTTTTTCCTCTGTTATATAAGTTTTATCAGCAGAATTAATTTGGTAATTTAGTCAATCAGATATTTGTTTTTTAAAGGATCTGCCTGCTGATGTTTCCATTTTATACTTAATTGAAATCAGACAGACGAGATTAATTATCTTATGGATGGTTGGTTTTGGAGACGTGTACTTCCTGATTAGTGTCAATAATACTGCTGTCTGTTTTACATGTAACATTTTTCTCATTTGATTTAAAATATATAAATTTTATATATATATTGAAGGGAATTATCTTGAGATTTTCCACGAAAACAGAACATAAAGATTGTATTTTGAAAGTATAATATTTAATACTGTAACAGAAATGGAAGTATAGATTGAAGCCTATGTACTTAAAAAAATATAAAATTATTGAAATTTGGAAAGACCCATTTATGTAACATTACAACTAAGAATGAATAAATGATTGAACAGATCTGTTGAATTTGATATGTCGACAATGACTAATCAAAATGCACGGAGATGATGGACTTAGAGTATATAGCTAAATATATTTTATTGTATTATCAAGAACATTTTACAGTCATAAAATTCTCTAGATAAAATAAAATTATCAAATAGAATCATGTGTCCATGTGGAATTATATTGTAATTCACACAACAAAAATCCAATTAAGGATGGAAACAACAGTAACAACGATTGACAAAAGTCAGTATTAAAACCTTCGTCGCATTCTATGCCATCTACGCAAATGTGATTATCCAATTTTTTTCCCGTGAATTTAAAACCAAAACGATTATGCCTTGGGCCAAATTGCATCAACTGCGAATAAAATGTCGGCAATATTTGCATCCAACAATTTATCATCTAAAATTTTCTCAGAATAAAAGTTCTTTTTAATGTCATCTTTCATAATTTGGGAATCTATACTAGGTTGCACAGTAAAAAGACTATTACTTTTGCGAGTTAATTTCGGCCTAGTTCGAGTGCCTTTACCAATCATACTACCGACACTTTTGCTCCAGAATTCCGATACCCTTTCTCTGAAGCCATTTTTCCTGTTTTTCACACTAGTAAGATCTGCATCAACGGTATCCTCCTGTTCAACCATATCTTGGAGAGGAATTGTCTCTGCGTTTTTCTGGTCGTCTGCTTCACTGAAAGAGTATGTGACGTCGTCTTCGCTGGCCTGCGTTTGAATACTTGGCACTTTCAGAACTCGTTTGTTAATATTGTCACAGGAAGCAGCCGCTTTTCTTCGTCTTTTTAGAAATGTTTGGTCGTGGCGGTAGATTCGATCCACACATGATTCAGATTTCTGTTTGATTAAATCATTCCTCTGTCTACATTTCTTACTTTGTATATCCTGTAGCCTCGCTCGTAGCAAATTTAGTTCCCTTGTTTTGGGAGCAACATGAGAGTTGTCGCTTTCTTCAATTTGTATCTGGGGAACGTCAAAACGAGTTTCGGCATAGTCACTTTCGCTGTATTGCGAGTCGCATACTGATTTTTGTTTGACCAGAGTTCCTCGACGGACCGGAACTCTTAGCGTGGTTTCCTGGTAGTCCTTGGTCGGTCGGTCCGGAAACGAGTCGACCTCAAAACTACTTTGCTTTGAAGGCATGTCGCTATCATCTTCTTCCGGTATTTCCTCAGAAGCAGATGATATAAACATGCCACCCCAGTAGGGTTGATCCGAACTGCAATGAGACTCGAAAGACCCAGAATTTTGATTAAAAAGTTGCCGCCAGCTATGATTTTTCTTGTTGTCCCCGGTTCTATATTTTGGTGATTTGTCCGAAGTTTCGTCATCTGTCTCTGACATTTGGATTAACCATGAAAAGAGCTTATTGTATGACTCCACGGATGCGGCTTCTTTCTCTCCAGACAAAACCATTTCATTTAGGTCTGGTTCTTCTGAAAGAAGGGAAGCATAATGTTAGATCATTATTATCTGAGGTCAAAATAAGTTATTAAGTACAAGGGAAAATTATTTCCAATGTACTCATCCATTACGCCACTGATAGTCCTTCAGTCCTTCATATATGCTTAAAAATCTATATTATTTTCAATTTTGATGCCTCCTTAGTTTTCTTTAATCATGTCCTTTAATCACTAGAAATACGAAAGATTTCGTGTGATAAACAAAACAAGTAGAAAAAAGGCACAGTCGATCTGGTGGAAAATTAAAGGTATTTTTATCAGTGTATTTGTAAAAACAGAAATATTAATCAATATGAATATATGATCAATAAACAACTACTTATCATCATTTTCAGTGAGCGTATCGCAACATAATGAACTTCATATATATTATAAATGATCATTTGTTTGTCAAAGAATTCTCGGTGTATTTCACTCAACTCCCTGTGAAAACTAAGCTCGGGTAGTCTTGCACTTAATTAACCTTGCAAATTTCAGAACTATGCATGCATCCGTTCGCCTCCTCAGTGGTATTACCTTCTCAATTTTTACCAATAATCCTGATATGAATACTCCCCGCGGAAATATTGCAAGGCATTATCGTCTTTTCCTATGCGTGAGCATGTCAAGGCTTCTATGTGAAATTGTAAATATGAAGTAGCCTGGGCATAAGGGAATCCCAAGTTAGCCCTCGGGTGAATTTTACTTGTTTTTTAAAGTTGTTATGAAATGCATACTAGGCATGGTTTATACTTCCTTATTCATAAGGTCATCATACATAGTTCTTTTATTCTGGAAACAATTACATTAATGTTTATTGCATCACACGCGCATGTTTAACATGGAACTATCTACTGAATGAAATAAATATTTTTTTTTAGTTGAAGTAACTTGAGGATTCAGTTTATTAACCAAAAAGGTAAATATCGCTGTAATGAAGTCCTTAAAAAAATGAGAAGGAGAAATAAACAAGTAGTTACAAATACGAATGATCCCCTTTTCTCATATTATACCCCTCGTTATCAATACGTAACCTTGACCTTTAAATCATGAACTTGAGTCAAGGTCATGACAAGGTCATTTACAACATCAGCAAAATATGCTAAAAGTTGGACTCATTCTAATCAATAATTTATGGCCCAAGCGATCTTACCGCCCAGTGACCACAATCCAAGAGACATTTACACACCAGCAATCTAGGACCAGTCTGAACCAATTTCAATCGCGAGGCTCGTCTCGATTTTGTGACCAACAGATAGACAGACAGACAAACCCTGTTGGAGGAGACATATTTACCCACGTCTGTCTGATAAAGCCTCTGTTGAACGAATATGTTACATATTACAACGCGTAAATTGAATTAATTTGAGAATTAGCGTTTCATACGCTCGAAAATTGATTCTGTAAATTACTGTCAGATTCAATTTATCAGTCAGGAACGCCAGAATTGATGTAGACAGTTAATACCGTTTGAATGCTAATTTTCAGAACACGGATAAATTAATCTTTTGTAATCCAGAGATTATTTTTCAGCCCTGTGTATTTAAAAGAAATTAATATCATGCACTTGAGACTTTCATTGGATTATTTTTTATTAATGTTATACAATAGACTCAATTTAAGTAATTTACTCCTTAATGTTACACCGATGTGAACCTTTTTTTTTTTTAATTCTGTTGATTGTTTTATAAAAAGTGCATTGAATATAACAGTTCATGACATTGACTCTCTTTCTGTATGTATATAGCTATTGTTTTGTTTGTTTGGTTGGTTCTTGTCTGTTTGTTGTTGTTTATTTTTTCCATTGTTTTTTTTTTTTTTTTTTTAAATCCACAATTGCATATTCTGACAAAGTTGAACGGATAAATATACATGTATATTCTGACAAAGTTGAATGTATATTCTGACAAAGTTGAACGGATAAGCATGTAAACTCGTTATTTCTAGGAATTTGCCATTTACCTCAAACAAACAACCAACCAAACAAAGCAAAAGGGACCCCGAAAAAATAAATAAATACACTAACAAACAAAAAAGAAACAGAAAAGCAGGAACATAAATTTTAAAAAAATGGAAAGAAAATAAAATAGATGGTGAAAATGGAATACTATAAAACAGAATAAATAGTGTTTTAAGTTTTGACAAAATTGCATCGATGTTCATATCAAGTATCTGATAACAGACGGAGACCTGTTTACGAAATTTGCACGAATTATCAGTAGGGCTGTGTATTGAGCAAAAAAATTCAATACGATACAATACGATATTTTATAATGCGATATGCGATATATTGGATTCTTTGACAAGTCTATGATATCAAAAAAGTCTTAAAAATCATTTAATGCATGAATTTTATAAAAACTAATTGTTTTACAACTCATTTCAAAGATCTCGTCTCACTGTCATTACAAATTACACTTACGTATTTTGTAATAATTATCTTTGGTGATTGAAATTTCCAATTTTTTTCACAGAATTATATGAAAAACTACTTGCCCGATACGTATTGGAAGTCATTTTTTCAATATGATGTATTCTTGAATATCGATATATCGAGTTGTAAAGTATTGCAAACAATTATCATTATTAACGTCTTCTTTATATCTTTGTGTTGAATTTATAAATTGTGTTTCTTAAAAATAAAAAAAGGGTGTCGACCCAAGTAATATTGCTCCGGGTCGTAAGCCACGTTCGGCGTTGGACATTTTAGTGGATTGACAAGACGTTTTAGTGGAAAACACGGACGTTTTAGGGGATTTAAAAAGCGGAATTTAAAAATAGGATGTGGAGATTTTAGCAGATTTAAATCAAATATACATACATGTATACCTTTCTGTTACCTAAATCTGCTGCACCCTTCTCACCTAAGGGGGGGGGGGAGTATGATTTTTGAGGATTTGGATTATTTTTAATAAATTTAATACCTAAAACTATCAAACCGGATACAAGATTTGTAGTGTATCACGGAGGGTTTATGGGGAACAGAACGGACCGAAAACCTTTTGGCTAGCGAACATGCTCCAAAGACATCGTCAAACTATCAGATTCATCAACGCTGTACTACAACCCGTCACAAATGATAGTCTACCTTCACTCCTTCCATATTGTTCAGCGTGCCAATAACAGATAAATATGTACAAGTATTTACCTGTACGAATATGTATGTCTTTAGAGAGATTTATTCAAGTCAAGGATAAATAACTCAACACAAATTTTGTTTTCCTAAATTGAAATATAAATGCTTATATATGTGCCTTTATCGCTAATGAATCGATATCTGTTTAGTTTAACAACTTTAAATGTTTTTAACCAAGCCACATAATTAGGTGAAAACTGGGAAAATTTCACTTTACAGTTCAATATTTTTTTTTTTTCAAAAGTTTTAGAAATGTATGAAGTTTTGTTACTATAAAGTTTCTTGGAACATTTACAGTTAAAATTTCCTAATTAGATTTTAATTGTAAGAAATTTTGGAAAAATATCAATGTAAGATAAGAAAATTATCGTAGACACCTCCATGGGAATTGGGAACTTAGTCATCAATCTGGCTGATGACAATCACTGGTCAACTTTAGAATTGAAATTACTAATATCTCTGGAAAAAAAATTGCTAAAATGTTCGTGGAATTTTTGCAGGTAACCAATTTTTCATCCGCTAAAATGTCCTCTAAAGTTCCCAATAAAAGGTTCATTCATGCCTTTAAAAATTCCTCTAAAATGCCGTGTCTCTAAAGTTTCCAAGCTAAAAGCTATTTCTGAGGGAGCACACTCATGTCATATTTCAAATTATCACATTAATATAACATGTATGAAAATATTCATTTGTACCGAGTAACGCAGCTAGAACTGCAGTTCACTGGGAAGAGAGCTACTTTAGCTCGATCTCTTGGAAGAGAGCTATGGTCCTTGCAGTTTTGATTAACACAAAAGAGTCAACGCTCTAGCGATAGTTACTGAACAATTTAAAAAGGTCTGTTGAATGACTGAAAGTACATTGATCGTTAAGGATAGTCATGGCATTGAGTAATATTTTATCTAATGGAGGCAATAAGTAGTGAGTACGAAAAGAAAGTAAGTCATTTTTTCCCTGTATCGATCAGAATAAAATAACTACCAACTATAAAAGAAGCTCAACGCAGAAACATAAAAGCAACCGGGTAAAAAATGATGAGGCTGGATAACCCTAATGGGTCTTCCTGCAGTAAGTCAGAAAAAACGTAGACTATCTCCTACTTCGTGTTAAGAAAACTAGTTCGAATGCAAAACTTAAAGCCATAAGGGAATAAAGGAAAGGTGTCGACATAAAATGCACTTTAAAGTCTTCATTTGAATACCGATCTGATCGATATCCATATTGATATGAACAATACGTTTACATCGACGGTCGGAGCAATATCTGAAGAAGAAAAGAATCAATTTCATCTTCACTGAAACCTAAAAAAATTGCGTGTACAGCGGATACGGGTGCACTAGAAGTCTATATATACTGACGGTAAAATCCTGTGATCGCGTGTATAATTTGCAATCAAGAAATACCGTCCATGAACAAGGATCGGCAACTGACATGAAAAGTATTCACAATCTTCTTAATCAGCACTGAGGTGGACGGTTGCCACGTGGTTTTGCTGTGTTGTACGTAATATAACGTTGTACAAGTTTTCAGCTGCTATATGAGGAGAATTTACTGCAGTCATTATAACCTAATAACAGTCATTAAAAAAAACAGCAACATTATTATCAAAAACCGATATCTTCTCTTTCTCCTAAAATCCATTAGCGAATTATTTTATCGTTTTCATGCATATGAACTGCTCGTGACGTATTTTCTATGTGGTGTACGTATATTTAAAAAACATACCTTTAAAAAAAATTGAAACAAAATAATATAATATTACAAATATAAACGTAATCTGTTGCATAGTTGGTAAGCAATCTATACACTGTATTCATTTTCATTTAAAATTGATAATTGGTAAGCAATCTATATTCATATTCTTTAATGTTCACATTTTATTCTTAAAAAATAAAAGAAATCTAAATATCTGTACTATTTATTAATATAAGCACACAATGCCTTAATATTTAATACCTTTAATGGAAGAAGATGGACTCTCCACTTCATCTTTATCACATTCACATCCGGTACTGCAATGGATCGCTCCCATTTATGTTATTTCACGGCTCAGAAGACAAATATTTTACTAATTCTAGACTGCATATCATATTGAATTGATAATCTATTTACAATAGGAAATAATTTTTCTCAATTGTCTTTGAAGTCTTTTTCATTTTCTACAATGTATAGATGTAGCAAAACTAACCGCCTGCGAGCCTTAGCAAAATTAGCTGCCTGCCAGCCACATGTGAGTCAAGAATTCAATGGTTTTTCCTTCTCAGGACGCTGAGTTCTGCAATGCCTTAAAAACTTAGATGTCAGATATAGGAATCATCTATCTGATTGGTCCTCCGAGTCAACTTTCAACTCACGCGACACTTTATGGTTCCAATGGCGTCCCGCTCTGATCAAAGGTGTCAGAAAAATTCAAAACACAGTTTTTTCTCATTCCTGAAAGTGTTCCTCCCCTTTTGAAAACCTGAAAACTTACTTTTCCTTTTAAGTTCTGTAACAATGATTATATTTTAAGAACAAAGCATCCAAGCGTCTGTGGACATAACCGGCGTCATAAATAAACGTCAAAGTTCCCAAGGGGAAACTAATCTTTTTCACACCGAAGCTAATTTGGCGCCGGAGCAAAATCCTTCGAATGGCAGGTCCTTCCTGTTTCACTCAGCATACGACATCATTCCACGCCTTGCTCACAGAGTCGTTTCTGTTGTTAATTGATGAAATGTTTTCAATTACCTTTAACAGAAACACAGACACACCGAAGGAATATACGACACAAAAGGGAAGGAGGCCGAAGAATCTTCTATCTTATCAGTAGTTATTCTCCAGCGAAAATCAATAGGTTTTTAAATATTAAAACCTTTTCTGTCAGTTGTCACAACATTGCTTTAGCACTAAAATAATATGAAGGACGAACTCTAATGATAACCGGAGGATATATTGATTCTCTTAAAAAACAAAATATCATGAAATATTATGTAACCCTCACGTTCAGAAAGATGCAAGTAATTTTTCATTTTGCATCACAAACGAAAATAATGTCAAAGGTATGAAATTTCAGCATCCGTTGACGAATCGTGCCTATATGACGGTACATGATGACATGGATTCATCGATTTATTGCCAATATACTCTTGCGATCAAAACCCTGTCGTGATTTGATAATTTACATCCTTTTTTACGTAGCTCGACTAGACGAAACAATTCTAGTTAGAATTACATGAAAAAATAATTAAATAAAGATTGTTGACCGATAATTATGAAGATGGAGACTGGATGGGGGTACTGAGAAATATTTAACTTCCTACGCGCTTATGTAAGTAGGGTAGATTCTTGGGAGGAAAAAGGTTGCTAGCAATAAAAAGTTATTTTAATGAGAATGATAAGGGGGCATATTCAAGAAGATAAGATCGGTTGTTTTCAGTCTGGCAGCGATAATTTCCGTCCCCTTGCTATTACAATCTATTGTCCCTCGTAGCTCGTTTCGAAAAATAAGTCGCCGTATGACATTTGGAGAGAAAAGTATCGTTATTTCAAATCATGCGATAGTAAAACGAAGAAACGTTGACCCGTTACCGATATCATGACCATCAAAGAGTAATAGACGGCAGCGAGTGTAAAATAAATTAGATGAAGTGTTAGAACTTAACAGAAATGGTCCATTGATGTAATAGGACGTGACGGGTTAAGAATTCAAAAGATACAATAATGCTGATTATGTTCGGTAATAGGCAGGGGAATGAGAGGAGAGAAAATCATTTCGAAATCAATTTTCCGAAATGAGCTCATTTCTTATAAATGTGTCACATCATGAATTTGTTGGCTCATTTCTGATACGTAGGTGATTTTTTTAATAAACAATGATGACCCAAAACCCTAGAAATTTGTGACGTCTCTTCTTTTTATGGGTCTCTTGTAGTACTCGGTTTAATTACAGCAACACTGCGTATACATTGTAGAAATTTTTACATTAACAAAATAGATATATTTGCTGCATATATATATATATATATATATATATATATATATATATATATATATATATATATATATATATATATATATATATAAAGAAAAAAACGACAACACGCGTTGTAAAACGTAAGTGCTTTCATTTCAAATTACTTTAAACACTTGACGTTAAACATTGATTTTAACGTCAAAAATTGATTTTAACGTCAAATGTTTAAAGTGAAACGTCTGAAGAATTTGAAATGTAAGCGCTAACGTTTTACAACTTGTGTTGTCGTTTTTTTTATTTATTGCCGGACCCTTTGATAATTATATAATTTATTATACATTTTTTTGGGTATATATATATATATATATATATATATATATATATATATATATATATATATATATATATATATATATATATATATACACTAACCAACAGCCACAATTAACAAATGAGGTGAATCAGAAATTATCAACACAAAGTTATAGTAGTTAGCCCGGGGAGGGAGGAAAGGGGTCCCTCTCCCCACTTAATTTGTGTGTTTATCCCCAAACATTCACGTGTAAAACTGTTGCTATTGCCCTGTAAATAATCAATAAATCACCCATTAGGAAATCAGTCCTTCAAAATATTGAATCCCAAAGTATTTTTGGTTTATTGAGGAAAAAAATACCTAATTCAACCCAAAACACTAAAAACACTGATTTACATGTAATGTGTTTTACGAGAATTAAAAACATGCTTGCTTCTGATATCAAATGAGGTTGCATTTAATTCTCTCTTTTTAAAACAAACTTTATCATTAGATAAATAACTTAACTGTACATAAATCGATCTTTTTAATAGTGCTAATAACGGACCAGCAGGCATTGCTAAGTAGTCATAAGAGACTCTTGTGAATTAAGTGACCACAGCGCTCTGTAACAGTTCATACTCTTGTAAATGGGTTGACTATACAGTTTCTCGAACGACAGCAGATGGTTCCACACGCTCATGACACATACACGACTTATACTGGATTAAGAAACTTTATGGAAATTCCCCGTGAGAACAACACGTAAATTATTCATTTTCCGCTGCCTCAAAAACCCAACTAATCAAGACTTACAGTATCTTCCAAGGAGCAAAAATGCCCTCTGTGAACATTCACGAAATAAAGAAGATTATTCGTCACTCTATATGTAGAATTTTAATATTGCCTCAGCATTTATTATATATGCCGATACCGTGATACCGACGACGTTATATTATTTTCTAATAAACCATTCACAATTGCATGTACAGTGATCAACTAATCTAATTTTGTGAATTCAGAATGCCAGTGCTTAATGGAGGAGACCCTATGACAAGCTTAATTCTTTTAATCCCGGGGTCGGAATTAAAATTTCAGAAACTTTCTCAGACATCCAAGGACACAGTGACTACCTCTGACATAAAGGAGGAGAGAGCGAGGACAAGAAAATTGAGGTTGGTGGAAGGACAGGGAAATCAGCAACACACTATATACTGGAACTTTTCCTTAGAAGCTTTGGTATAAAAACAAACAAAATGTACAAACAAAAACGAAAACAAAAAATACAAATACATATTTAAAACAAACAGTCAGAAATAAAAACAATCAAACCATAAATGTACAACATAGAATAACGATATTTTGTCGCTTTTCCCGGATTCTCTGGGGCCAAATGCTAGTTCTTTTTTTCTTTTTTGTTTGTTTGTTTGTTTGTTTGTTTTTTTTTTTTTTTTGCTTGTCAAAAAGTTTCGGAGTAAGATTTTTTTAGTTGATGTGGAAACAACACCCCCCTTAAAAAAATCATGGATCCGCGCATAAAATGATGAAACTTGTATATAGAAAGATCCTTCATTGCATGAACATCATTCCTCTCGCGGAAATCTCTTAATATTCACTTCAGATAGCATTAAAGAAAGTTACAGAAAAAGAACCAGCGGTAGCTAGTTTAAGCATTCCTAGCTCTTACAATTAAACATGAGTATTTTATGAAAACATTTAGATTACAAGAGTACAAGAGAGACAGAGAGGATTCAAGAGGATGCATTTGCATTTTTATGGATATTAAACTGTATTTGCACATTACTGGTATGCAACCATTGATCCCGAGCTGATACCTAACTGAAATTAAAGGCGCAATACGTTTTATATTTCAGGAAATGCATTTATTTCACTGAAACTGAAATCCACTATTTATTGCGGAATTACTGAGCATCCGCTATCTTTGCTTGTGACTCATGCAATCATTGAGTAAAATCGATACATCCAGGATATTAGTATATCAAAGTGCTGCAACATTTCTTTCGAGTTCGTTGTTAATGTTTCAATGGAATAAAAACGTGGCTGTAGCTTTGAAAAACTTGATACATTGAAATATTCGATACATGTACAATGTAAATTGAAACAGCGAAATAAAAAACTAAATACTCTGATGCTTTGATATTTGAGCACGCAAAGTTTGAATGAGACAATCGGATTTAAATTCATATATCACTGTAACCTGACGCTTCTCTCTCTCTCTTATAATTTGCTGTCTTGCAACGTACATATACATGTATATGTTGATAGTAGCCTACCTCGAACATGCAAGATTCCTGAAAATAAGCAACAGAAGATATGGACATTAAATATACCCGGTATTGTTCTCAAATGAATATAAAAAAGTGAAGTAAATTATGTATCCTTTGCCTTTTGTCTTAATATTTTTATTCTAAACGGGATATACATGTAGCAGTTTTATGACATATACAGTCTTCAGTAAAGGAAAGACGAAAAAGTTGATTTCTGATATAACAACAATGTTTAAAAAATGATTAGATCTAAAAGGTGTAGAAACAAACTGTTCGAAACGAAAATTAAACTATCCATAAATCTCTAGGATTCTATATCCTTGTTAACTTATCCGTTCTTTGAATAGATTTATCGGACAACCCCCACACCCCACCCTTACCCAGAATGTTACCCAAGTCAAGCGATTGACTGCAAACTGTACAGCACTATTAAAGAAAGTTCCAAAGATTAGCTATTGATGCCTGTGGTGTTTTTCAGTTGCATAACATCATTTCATTAACGTGGTTGCATCGTGATAGATGGAGATCTTGCAGCGTGATACATCAAATGACAAAGCCTGACATGTTGTACATAAGCATACGATTGACGTGGTTAAAGAATTCTCAAGATAAGCTAGCATTAATTATTGAAATGTCTCTCAATTAGTCGCTGTTAGCCATTGTAATAATCAGGATAGCAAAACTGACACCTGCTCCCCTCACTTTTGAAGTAAGTTATTAGAATTTAATCAATTGTTCGGAAAGATTGTCAGAAAGTCACAATGGCTAATACGTATATGTACTCATAAGGCAAACATTTTTCGGGAAAAAAAACTCTTGTCTGTATTTTTTTTTTCAACTATTCAGTGGAAGTATGCTGATTAGAATCTGGGACTGAAATACAATATAGTTCATGATATAATAGTCGTTGTTTGTAGCAAATCATTAATTCTAATATTTCTTCAGTCTCTTCCCCGACCATGATCATAGTCTTCTCCCATAAAAAGTAAATACAAAAATATATCTGAATTTTACATTAAGAATAAGTTAGGATGGGAAGTGTGTGTGCCTATGACCACAATCTACGAATTTGTGAGCAGAACCATTTTATGGTACAAGTCACATTCACCATTAAAAGGTTGAACTTGAGATACCGATAGGGTTTGTCTTATAAGAGTCAATTTTAATCGTTTCGGGAGCTAAAAAAAAAAGGCCGTTCTAGTGCTCGGTGATTATATATAATAATCTCCCAAGCCAACGTTTTTTTTTTTTGGCGCGCTCTGTTCCCCTATAAGTGTACTGATTAGAATGGACATAAAACCCCTTGATAGGGAAGATGGTAATTAACTGATTAACAGGGTCGGATAGAATTTTTAATGTTAAATACATTAGAAATAATGAAGCAATGAAAAAAATATCAAAAGATGTATATGTTTAGTTATTAATAATTAATGAATGGCCAGATCACAGCTGAACTGATTTTGAAACAACTTTTTTAAAACCATGTTAACATCTCTTTCCCTTTTTTCACGAGGAGCATTGCATTAATTTGAGAAAACGTAGTCGTATTTTTTTTCTCTAGAGATGAAAAATGAAAAACAAGTAATATATATATATATACGTAGTGCAACATTGGCGTCAAGACCATAATTTATTCGGATACTTTGGATCCACCAATCTGTTGTCAAGGGCAGGTAACTCTAAACACAGGTGAGACTTCCGGTGAATGCCTTACAGAAAAATAGAAAATATGAAAGCTAAAGCACCTGTCAAAGCTCATTGACACCTGAGGGTCGGATGCTTTCATATTCTCATAAATGTAGTACATAAAATATTACCGATGGTCAACAGCCAAAATGGTGGACGTAAGTGGATTACCGCCTTTACCAAAGTGTTTTTCTGAGGCGGAGATCTCGAATTTAGACAGTGAACATAACAAAGACGATCCTCATCAAAATTCAAACAAACAAACGCTTGTTAATGGAGAAATTAATGATTCTAAAGAATTGGACCACACGAGGTTAAACGGGGTCGTGGAAGATTCGGGTGTTGACGAGAAACCACGGTCACCCTATTCAAGGCTAAACAATGCTTTGTCTAAACTTCGGGAAGAAATGGTCAGTTTTCACAATTATTAAGTCATCTGAGTCACTCAGGTGACCTACTGCTATCTGTTTTCGTCTGTGGTGGGAGGTACGTCATCCGTCGGTCGTAAACTTTTGAACACATGTTCAGCTTCTTCTTATTAATTCTATGGGATAAAATTGTGTATTTCATGGTCACTGCACTCTTGGGCCTTAAGGGTGGGGCCAAAACCATCAAAAGTAATGCAGTTTTCAAAAATTTTCTTTTTTACTCCTGGACATCAAGCAGTCAAACGGCTGTCATATTATAACATACAATGAGTCCTTTACCAAAACTGTGAAATTCATGGCCCCAGGGTCAGGGATTCTGGAGTGAGGGTGGGGCTCTATTGATCATATAGTTAAAATGCATAAATTCTTTAAAAAGCTTCTTCTCTTCCCCTGTATAGCAAACAAACTAAGTGCAGAGTTATGATGAGCAAGAGTGCCTTTTCCAAAATTGTGAATTTCATGGGCCCTAGATAGAATGTTCTATCGTTAAAATGATATTGTCCTACGGACCCGGTTTAACGATAGAATTCGTTCCGTGTATTCGCAATGTAGCAAAATAAACACGGGCGATAACTCGAACTCTGTGCATTTTCTATGAAGAATCCAGAGAGTTCCGAATGTCAACATGGCGTTAAATTTGAAGCGAGGAAAAAACGTTGAGAAAATGAGTTGAATTTTCGTATATATATATGGATTAATTTTTAGGTTAAAAGGCATATACAATCTCAAAAAGGTTTGTTATGATTAATTTGGTAGTTATTTTCAGTGCAACTCATTTTGTATTCTTCAGAATCGTTTCGGAGTGGATCCACTCCGATTTGCTACATTGCAAGTATATGGGACGTATTCTAACTGTGGTGAGGGCCTGTCCCGAAACACAGTTAGAATATTCTAACTACATGGGCCCTAGCTGGGTCAGAGGTTCTGGTGTTAAGGCAGGGCTTTATACAGTGAAAATGCATTATTTCTTTGAAAATCTTCCTCTCTGCTCTTGGGCATTAAAAAACCTGACATCTAAATATTTTCGTGCATGTATATGTATGTGTATGAAAAAGCAAAATTTTTCAACATATGAACAGATGAAGTAGTTGCTCTTCATAATATAGTAGAGCTGGGATGATACAACTTTTTTCTATAACAATACAACGTATCACAATATTTGAGCCACGATACGATATGTTTCGCAATATTTTGAATTAGTTATAAAATCTTCTTTTTGTATTGAAATGGAAAAAATATTTCTTTGCAAGAAAGAATAATTTATTCATAGAAGCTGCGCGTGTATATATCTGTTGTAAAACAAAATTATTTCACAAAAGTGGTGTTAATTTTTTTATGTATTTCATATTTATATTTAGCATAATTATTTTAAGTATTAAACTAAAAATGTTAAGCAAACAAAGAAAAAATAAGTAAGATTTTTTGGTGATATTTTAATATTTTTATATATGTATCAAAATGTGTATCATCCTCACACAGAATTGATATTATCGATATCTCAATATATCATTCCTGCCCTATAGTATAGGCCCAATACCAAGTTGAATGCATACTGTCACATAAAACAGTTTTGGAACATAATTTAATATGAACTTCAAGAATTCTTTTAAATTTGCAAACAAAAAACAAAAAAACAACAACAACAACAAAAAAACCAACCTCATCTGTCAGTAATAGAATTTATCAAATGGACCTATGTTGTATAATTAAAAAAATCATAAATTCCGAATATTTTGCAGGCGGGTTTAAGGAGGCTAGACGTTTCTCTCCTGACTCAGTTGTGGTCACTGAATGATGCCATTCACGAGTACAAGTCAGCCATTCAAGACCGCTTCTCTGAAACCAATTCTGAATACTCATGGGGAATGAACAGTCGAACAAGTTCAATGTGTAGTATTGATGAGTGTGATGATTGGACTGAGGATCTTCACATGAAACTGGATCATGGTCAGATAGGAAATTCTCTTCACAGTAGCACATCGAGTCTTCTTCAGCAGATCAATGAACTCAAGGAGAGAGCCGAGTCCGAATTTTAGGGGCAGTACAGTTCCACAACAGTAGTAGTGTGTTAACAGTGTACATACTGGGTATATGTTCAAAATGTATTATTGTAATTATTTCATTTTACAAAGGCAGTTTAAAATTTCCATTCAACTAAGAATTAGCTTGGCGGAGGAGAAGATATTGGAAATACATGTATTAAGAAAAAAAGATATATGATTAAAAAAAAAAAAATGAAATATTCTTGGGAAGGGGGGGGGGGGGCAGGGGGTGGTTAATGGGTTGAAAATATAGTATAAAATTTTTTCAGTCAAATAAAAATGAAATCATTAACTTTAAAGTCCTTTTAAACTATACATTTTTTTAATGTATATTTTATAATGAAATGTACAACATGCATTTTCTTTGAATTTGCTGTACTAAAACATCAAGGACCACTCATTTTACATGTATACACTAGCTGATCCAGTGAAGTTGCTATACTACTAAGCTAGAATGTAGCTATGTTTAACATTTTAAATATTACATGTAATTATATATTTATCAAAAATAAAATTGTACATTTTAGGAGATAATGCATTGTAAACACTCAAGACTTTGAATAGTTAGATGATCTTCCATTTTAATAGTGTTTTTATTTTCTGAAATGTGTGAAACTTTTTCCAAACAGAGAGCAAATTTTCAAATGGAACTCTCAATATAAGGTAAATTTACAAAATGCTGAGAGACCAGCTTAATAAAGGGTAATATTATAATTAATAGTATTAGGTTTATACTGTCACTGTATTTGTTTTCTTCAAATGGAGGTGATAATTTATTGGTTGTCAATATTGTCTCAGTTATGATTTACACACTAATACTAGTCAAAGATCTATCTGCAGAGTAACTGAAGTAACAATTTATTTATAATTTTGCATTTGAATTTGTGTTTTTATGTGTATTGTTTTTTAAATGTACTGACTTTGATCTTGAGCTGATCATGACAATTTTTCCTATTTATGCCTTGCCAGAGAACCATTTCCTAAATTATCATTTCTAAATTAATTTTGTAATGACAGCAAAATGGCGAAGAAATTAACACTGCATGTCTATTGACTTGAATTAAACTCGACAGCTATTAGAGTTTTAATTAAGACCCACAAAATATGCATTAATTAAGCAGACTTCTTTAATTCTCCGTATATATATTTTGTTTCCTTTTTTAAAATAATTTTTTGGATCAACTAACTTGGTAAATACCTATTGAAGTATATAATTTCAAAGGTGCTTTTAAAATAAGTTTGATAGAATGTACGTGTTCCTTTTCTGATCTCTTGATAATATTTTTCTTCATTTTATTATCTTTTTTATTCAAGAGTAAACACTGAATTTACAAAATCATCTCTTTTTAAAATGATGCATTTAACATAGTTGAAGAAAAAGACTATACTTACATTAAATCAGAATTTCTTTCATTATTCCATAAATCTCAAATATTCTGAAGAATTCAAAGAAAATAAGTAATGAACAAATTTATTAGGATAAAAAAATTGATATTAAGGAGACATACATAGTGACCAGGCCCCGGGGCCTTAAAACATAGTTAAGCTCACTTTTGATCTCAATCTCACCTTTCCACTATAAATTCCTTTGGTAAAAATGAGACTGAGATCAAAGTGAGCTCGTTTAAGTTTTATGGCCCCAGAGCCAGGAGTCTTTAATTTTACTGCAGTATTTGCCAATCAGCATCAAGTAATGATGCAAATAAAAAAATCGGTAAAACCACAGCTACACATATACAATTTTAGCCACATTGTCATGGTTTAATATAAATTTTCAGACCTTCAAGTTACTTGTACTTTATGTTATAGAATATATGTATACATACCTGATAGTAAAAAATATTACCATACAGTATAAAAGGTAAATATTATTTATCTCCCTTATAAGCACTGTTTCCCCCACATAATCTATATATTTATCTTTACCTGATGACTACCTCTATATGTAGATGACCTGATATAAGTATATTATTAATTCTTTATACAAATTTTAACCGACTTTTGAAACTTTAAAGGTGATGTATGTATAAAACTGACTTTCAAGGAAGATAAACAGTGAGCAATCAGCTGAATTGAAAGGTCTAACTAACATCCCAATAATTGTGTCTCCTAAATTAAAACCCATAATATTTTGCTTTTCAGACATCAGTGTTTTATGAGGCTACCGAAGACTGTGATTTAAGTTTTCATTATGATGTTTTAAATAAGCAGAATGCCCATTATACATAATGAAATGACATTTATGGCATTGTATTTGCTGATGCATCTCTTAAGATACTAATTAAATTAAGCTCGTTTTGAAAAACTGTATCCCACTGTAAATAGGTAATGGCCCTTTGAACAGATTGCTAAATAAAAAGATATTTTACATAAAAATTATTGCAAACTTTTGAGTCAGTATAGGTGCATTTGTGTTTGTAAACTCAACTTAGCACATAAGGGTAATGTTATTTGACTTGACCTTTAAACTCTCTACTGTGCTCTACTGAGTTAAAAGCTCAAGTGAGCTTTTCTGATCACATTTTTCCTTCATCCACCTGTCTGTAAACTTTTCACTTTTACAACTTCATTTCAAGAACCGCTGGGTCATTTTCAACCAAATTGCCACAAAGCATCCTTGTGAAGGGGATTCAAGTTCCTCTAATTGAAGGGCCACATCTTCTTCCAAGGGGAGATAATTAAAAAATTAGTGAATTGGAGAAGATTTTCTCAAGAACAAAGCCTTGTTTTGTCATATTCATATGGAACATCCTCAGGTAGTGTACATTCAAGTTTGTTGAAATCATGGCCCCTGGGGGTAGGGTATGGTCACAGTAGGAAATCAAACTTTACATAGAAATGTATAGAAAAAATCTGCTGCTGAAGAACAGCAGGGTCATTGTGACTCAGGTGAGTGCTGTGGCCAACAGGCCTCTTATTTCTTCACTGTGAAAGTATGATTAGTTCTGCATACAGAATTTCACTTTTCTGGACAGAAGCTAGTTATTTTGCTGTTAAACTACCCTGCTTTAATAATTTGCATGCAACATTTGTTTAATATATATCATATGATACAATTTGTGTGATGACATAATTTTTTCTTTAAACATCATTCTTGCACTTGTTTTATTAAAAGCACTGTAATTTATTTATAGTGAACGGATATGCATTAGATGCATACATTAATGTTTATGGGTTGTAATGCTCTACCAAAGTAATATTTATTGTGTACAAATATATGTACTTATATGTGTAGAGAAAGTTGGGGGGAGTATTGTTATATTAATGCCCAAAGTTTAAATTCATGTGTTTGTCTGTTAATAAAAGATTGTCTAATAAAAAAAATAATTCAAATAAATTTCTGATATATAATCTGACAATAATAGTCTGAAAAAATATTCTAAACATTTTATGAAGACACATATGGACTTGCTAATTTTCATAACAATAATACTGTATTTTAAACACTATTTTTGATGTTTTAATATTTACCTATGATCATTTTTTGACATATCTATTTCACTTTATATATATATATATATACATCAGTTCTAATACAAGATGAAGTGTATAATGATGGGCATTTTAAATGTACTCATAGGGCAAGAATTAAGCATTTCATTGAATTTAAAAATTTGTTGCTTTTACAAGAATTCAGCATTAGATTGGATATGAAATTCTGTTACATTTAGTCTAAGAAATGTATAATGTATTGATCAACTAATTAAGGTCACAGTGCACATGAAATATTTTGATGTGAAAATAATTTGTAAATCTTTGTCATTGTTTTCTCATGTTGGTTTTGTTTAACAAAGTTGTTAAATTTCCCCTTAGAAGATGAGGTGCCTTAAACTTGTGTGATATTTCTTGTTAATAAATCACAGAAAACATCCAAATTCGTACATTTATTTCCAACTCTCTGCTGGTATATGAAATACACTATATGCCCTGAGAGGCAGCTAATACTCATTTACCCTCGAGTATGCATCCCAAAGATACATCTGGTCATGTGACTGTCAAAAGTCATCATCCCTATACATGCATCTTTCTTGCAAGTGCAACAGGAGAGGAGAAAAGACCAGACTGGGACTCAAACCCGGGCCCCCTGAATCTCCAGTCATGTGTTCTACCAATTGAGTTATCTGTCCACTGGCAATCAAACCCGTCTGACCACCACACAAGTTTGGTCAAGGTATATTAGGACTAGAACCTATTAATACTTGAAAATGAACCTGATCCAGAAACACATTTTTCAGAAAAGTATTTTTTTTTTTTTATTCGGATGCTAACTTTGGCTTATTTTAGTGATTTGGTAGTAGCAAGCTAAAATTTTAATTGCTAAATTTGCATTCTTGCATATCAGTACTAAATGCAAGAAAAAAAAATACTTTGATCAGTCTGTTTTAAAGCATCTCTTTCTGAACTCTTGCTTAAAATGGTATTCAACATACCAAAGACTCACCTAAAAGCTAGATTTAAAATTCAGGTACCTGAAGCACTCATCTGAACCACATTATGCTACTGGTTCGCAACTTCATGAAACATCATGTCCACCAAAAATGTTCTGCCAAAATTACTGGCTACCTTTTAGCAAGCAAGCAAAATGCTAAATTTTACATCCAATAGAAACCCACTGAACAGTAAAATTCACTTGCAGCTTCCAAAGGATGACAGATAGTATGCAACTCTAGATGCAATACATGTGCAAAACTGGTCATGGTAGGACCTACAGTTATCAGTACTTGGGAGTAGACCTGCTCCAAAACAAAATCTTCCTGATCATTCATCCAGAAAATATAGGTCACATGCAGAATTTGAATCTTGATTTATACTTTGCATTCTTTATTTTCATCATTTGTGCAAGTTTGATCAACATATGAATTAAAGATACTTGAAAGAATCAAACTCATTGGAATCATGGCTACTATGGAATAAAACTGCTTACAGATTTTAATCTAATCACTCATTCACAAAAATATAGGTCACTTGCATCATCTGAAACCTTATTGCACATTTCCAACCTAACAATCACCGTTTCATAGAACAGAAGTAAGTGATTTTAATTGAAATCATATTGCAAGGGAAGAGTTAATTTTGTCCTGGTAATATTATTCAAAATAACAAAACTAATCTTTTATAACAAAAAAACTTTAATTTCCAGTCAAATACTGACATTGCTTGTTTGACTGTCTGTACTTTCAACAGGACTGTGCAACTGAAAAGGAATTAAAAAAAATGTCATCAATGAAAAAGCTTAATCTTAAAAACATAATATTAAAAATATTAAGAAATTGTGTACCATGATTTCAAGTAATCAATATTCTCAAGACAGTAAATAGATATAGACTACTCTAAATACTGAAATATGAAGGAATAAGGGCAATAAACAACCAACTATTTTGCATCCTAGCTAAGATGAATTATAAAATAGATTACGGGTACATCATTCCACAAACTGTTTGAAGCACAACAAACAAATCTTTGGAATTCCAAAATTAATCTTCTATACTTTAATTAGAAACTTCAAGCATTATGCATAGATCAATTTTCTACTGAGTCTAGTGTACTGGTACTTGGGGCTAAATCAATATGTTTTTACCTGTAATTCTTTATTCATGACTTACAGTTTTTGCCAGATGAATCCAGTCCAACATCTGAGAGTATCTATCATCAGCTGATGGTTTTTTGTCAAGGTTCCAGTAATAGAATTTATCAAACGTGTGGGTAACGATGGCATTTCTCTCCTCCTCTTCTGAAAATGGACGCCTTGGTTCTTTCATTATGATACCTACAGAAAGAAGACAAAATAGGGATAACTGATGGTATCTTATTTTTCCTTTCCAGTGTTATATAAAAAGACAGTTTATCACTACAATTACTTTTTCAGAAAGTAGTTTTGAAACTACATACAATAGACTTAATTTCAATATTTAATGAGTTAGATTCTGGCTCTCCAAGCTGATGCTGAAGGAAATGAAGACTGATTAAAGGAAACAGAAATCTGAATTGCTATGAACTCATAGATTTATACACATTAACTCATATAAATACTGACACAGATGTATGGTGTATGATGCATGGTGAACTCATCCTAAGTTAAAAGTTAGTTCCACAAAAGGTTGATCTTGTGTATACCATAATTTTATTCAAGATCTGTCTTTTTTTGTTGTTGTTGTTGCAGACAAAAGTGAATTCAAGAGAACATTTCAGGGATAAAGAGAAGATATGATAAATAAATTATTTAAATTATTTTATGTGTTGGAAACTTAGTAGATAATATAGTGTAAACTGACCCAAGTAACCATTTGGAACATTTTCTACCTTTCCATTTAATGTGCGACCTCGAAAGCAAGCTGTATATGTGTCTACAAAAATAGAAAAAAAGTTAAACAAGGCAATATGATTCAAAGATCAAGGGAAAATCATGTCTTATTACATCTTCAACAGTGAAATACTGTGATATATTCCTCCTCTCTAGTTTGTTGTTAGACTGAATGTTAATTAAACCTTGCTGAAAAAATGTATCTTAGTATACTTGTGCACCAAGTCTCATAATAAATTGGACAAAAACTGTAGGAGTAGTTTTGAATGAGTTTCACAGAAATTTCTATTTTTCATAACAATGGCAACACCATTTGTACAATCAAAAACTGATAAACAAAATTATGTATCTTAGTATGGGCTACTGGTGTACCAAGTCTTACTGAAATCGGACCAAAACTGTTAGAGGAGTAGCATTTCATTTTTTTTAACGAACAGACGGATGGACGACAGTCAGATTAATAATGCATAAGCTCTTCTGGTCTCTAACCAGTAGAGCTACATAGGTAAAACCTTTGAAATAAAAAAGAAAATAGTATTTATTAAGAATGAAGATATTAAACACTAAAAGAGAGAGAATAGATTTTTGGTTAAAGAATACAAGAAGAAAATTAACAGATCAAGAGTATAGTTGAATCCACACTTTTCAAATGTTAAGATCCTTTGGCCACCATCTCTGGGGAAAAACCCAAAGAAATCTCACAATAGTCTTTGTAGTTTTCTGGTTTGTAACTGTCATTTGACAGGAAACTAGAAATATGTCCATAGGACGTAAATGCCCCGCCGAGGGTATATTAGTAATGCAACATGAAAATTTGTATTAGTGTATGAAATTTGATGAGAATATTTTGAGTAGTTTCTTTCAAATTGAAATCTAAAAAGTTTGATATACATGATCAATTCTCACCAAATTATGTATAAGTGCATATGCTTACACAAATACATCTTAAATGGTTTCTTTAAAACTAAGCAAAATGCAAATTTACGAAAAGTGAGGTCAAGGTCACAGGAAAGTTCAAGGTCAAACGTTTTGATGCAGTTGAATAGTTTTCACAAATATTAATTATTACAGCATATTAAGTTTGATAAAAATATTTTGAATGGTTTATTTAAAGCTGAGCTTAACACTTATTTAAAATAAAATAAGTTAAGGTCAAAGGAAAGGTCAAGGTCAAAAAATGTTGATGCAGTTGAAAAGCTTACATCAGTATGTATAAGCATATGAAGTTTGATAAAAATATTATGAAGGGCTTCTTTAAAACTGAGTTAAACATAAATTGATAAATGTGAGGTCAAGGTCAAATGAAAGGTCAAAGTCAAAAATGTTGATGCAGTTTAATTGCTTACATCAGTATGTATGAGCATACGTAGTTTGACACTAATTTAAGATTTCACAAATTTGATTTCAAGGTCAAAGGAAAGATCAAGGTCAAAAATGTTGATGCAGTTGAATAGCTTTCATCAGTATGTATCAGCATATGAAGTTTGATAAAAATATCTTGAATAGTTTCTTTAAAACTGAGCTAAACACTAATTTAAGAAAAGTAAGGTCAAGGTCAAAGGAAAGGTCAGGTCAAAAATGTTGATGCAGTTGAATAGCTCTCTCTGTATGTATCAACATGTGAAGTTTGATAAAAATATCTTGAATGGTTTCTTTAAAACTATGCTAAAACTATGCTAAACACTAATTTAAGAAAAGTGAGGTCAAGGTCAAAAATGTTGATGCAGTTGAATAGCTCTCATCAGTATGTATCAACATATGAAGTTTGATTACACTATCTTGAATGGTATCTTTAAAACTGGGCTAAACACTAATTTAGGAAAAGTGAGGTTAAGGTCAAAGGAAAGGTCAAGGTCATAAAATGTTGATGCAGTTGCATAGCTCTCATCAATATCTATCAGCATATGAAGTTTGATGAAAATATCTTGGATAGTTTCTTTGAAATTGAGCTTTGAACTGAGCTAAAAGCAAAGCGCGACGGAAGGATGGAAGGACGGAAGACGGACATGACAAACACTATATGCCCAGGCCATTTTCATGACGGGGCATAAAAAATCTTTGCATTTTGTGTATTGATTGCCCCAGGATGGGATTACCCATGTACTGAATAAAAACATTTAAACACAGTGGATTTATCAGAGCATCCTTATATGTTTGGTTGCAAAAAGAGGAAAAATATAATTTCTTTCCCTTTTGGTTGACCCTGCACAGGGACACAACTTTTGCAAAGTGTGGACTGGACTACATGTATTTGCTAAACACTTTTTTGTAAAACATAGGTGCATCTGCATGACTGAGGGTTACCAGTCATCTGTTACCCAGCTTGCTGCACATTGGACCATCTCATTCTTTTGAATTTTTCTTTGAATGTAGAAGTCGCAACAATAATTGAGAAATGAAACAGTTATACAGTATGGACTGATGGACAAGATATTTGAGTTACTTATGGTGTTCCATTGGGGCCACTTGCACCTTCACACTCTCACTTTTAGGGCGAAGATGGGAGAGTGCAAAGGCAAAAGTGCGTAATTGTGAAGGTGAAGGAGCAAAAATGCAAAGATGCAAAGGCCAGGGTGCAAAGGAGCAATACTAGTATCACACACCTCATACTTTCACCTTCGCAACTTCACACTTTTGCCTTCACATTTTACTTTTGTGGAGCTCTTTATCATTATGAGTTAATTTTAGTGGTCTAAATTCAGTGAATTTTTAGAGATACAGTGTGTAGGTTTATTACCCACACTCTTGCCTTAGCACATTTGCTTTCACAGGTATTTTTTCTCTTGGATGTTATTGGTACCCATGTGCTAGATTAGTGTGATGGAGCCAAAATAATTGGTAAGCAATGGTTTGAATTAACTTCAAACAATAGAGAGCTCCACAAAAGTAGAAGGCGAAAGCGAGAAGTTGCAAAGAAGAAAGTGAAATTTTGTGCTTTGCTGTTGCATCTTCGGAATTTTTCTCCTTTCCCCTTTGCAACTTCCCACTAAAGGCGAGAGTGCGAAGGTGTGAGTGGCTCCAACGGAACACCATAGTTACTGGTATTTACCTTTAAATTATGACAAAGGAAGCCTAAAGTTTCCTTTGCAGTACTTTTGATCCTGTCAACACGTATATCTTTACTGAGGTTTTTAAACTGTCATTCTTGGGGTACATTGCACAGTCTATCACATACACTGCAGTATGCAGTATATAGTTGTTTAAAAGTTCATACTTAGACAGATAGGCCTACTTGATAATATTGTCGATACCTTCCTTATCTTCTTCTTTGTACGTTTTGATAGAGGTATTGAAATAGCGTCTTACTTCAGCCTCGCCATCGTACTTTATTTCGCACGGAAAGAAGTGCACTGACGAGTCTTTCTTCGCAGATTCCACAGTTACTTTATCCAGGTTCATCTTTCCGCGGGATAAGTTATGGCCCGTTCAGTACCAACTCTGCATCTAAATCTCACCAGCAATAAAAATTCGTTTAACATCCACTCACTTCTAAACAACTTTTTAATTTGAAAATGATAAATTTCCATAATTTATTATTAATATTATCATTCACATCATATATCTTAATTTTCCTGCACTTACGCCCTTTACAAAAACTTTGTAAACTTGCAGACTAAACTAAACGTGCTAAACGCACCATAATTTACTTCCGGTTGTCAACAAACTAGCATGGGGAATGTCAGCTAATATACCATTTACAGTATTTGATTTAGCATGAGAAAAAAACGATATGACGGAAATAAATTTGGACTTCCACGAGTAGTTAAAGCTGGGGCACTTTTATTTACAGGATTTCTCGCGTGGCATTACGCTGGGTTCACGATTTACAACTTTGCAAGTTCTAAGGGTCAAGAGAAGTTAAGGAAGGAAGGTGTCCCCGAAGATGAAATAAGTAGAAGTAAGTGTCACTGTTCCTCAATATTAAAGCTTTATTCTCTACATAGCAATTATATATATTTTTGCACGGCACCGTTAAACGACCATTCAGTCTAATTGTAGCTATTCTTTTTAGAGTAAATTCGGAATAGCTATTTTTCAAAGAAAATTAAAATTAACACAGAAAACTTGGTCGTCTATTTGATTCTTAGCCAGGGGGAAGGAGATCTCAAAATTGTTTATTACAGCAGTCAGGTTAGGTGTTATATACAGATGTTGAAGAAAAAATCCTCGTTTTAATATCCCAAATTTTAAATGAAGTTGAATATATTGTTATTCAGTATTCCTCTGACTCTTACCCCCACTTTTAAATTTTGACATGAGCAAGAGAGAGTCAAAGTGGTTTCCTTACTGAAAATCCGGATTTCCTACAATGGGTTTTTCACAACCAGTGCCCTTTTCTAACAGGTTTGTGCCTCTGAATGGATTTGAACCTGGGACCTTGGGCATGCCAGTCCAGTGCTTTTCTGATAGAGCTAAAGCGTTAACTCACGAGCCCATGCTAGTAGGATGTCATGTATCTTACACTATCACATACATGTACAAGTGGTCCAATGTGTGCCTTTCAATTTGATTTCTGGTCTGACTGCAATGTTTTTAGCATAGAAATCAGATGCTACGTACCAATCAATGCTACCAAAATGAAACTAAGACACTGGCCTGACTGGGGATTGAACATGAGAACTCTGGCATGGCAGTCCAGTGCTCTAACAACACAACTAAAGGGTTAACCCACTAGCCCAAGCTAGCTGGATGCCATTTATCTTACACTACCACATTTTCTTATCCTCCGAATATCAAATATTAGAGCTAAAAAAAATTACACATTTTGATTTTTCAGGCTACAAGTTCTGCAAATTTTGAATACTATGCAAAGATATTAATGTATAAAAAAAAAATACTTACTTTAGAGTATCCATAACATTTATCTCCAATTATTTTTTTCTGCAAGTTTTAGGTAACATTTTAAATCAATGGCATAAAAAAATCCAGATTTTGATGAATATTATGTATATCATATCTCAGGCTCTCTATCTGGATAAAAGAATTATTTTTCAAATAAACTGAATGGGAATAAATCAAAATTGAGAGAATTGTGTTTATCTTTTAATTATACAATGCTTGTATGATTAACTATTTATAGATCTGAAAATCTGATGAAAATCCATTTGCAAAGAATGAAGAATTCAAAATCAAAGTTACTAGAATAATAATAAGAGTATTTGTAATTAAAAAAAGTTTGATTGGTAAAAAAAAAGTTAGCTTCACACTAAATGCTTGTGAAAGTGTCCAGGGTAAGAAGTGGAGCTTTAAGCCCCACAGTATTTGTACTGATGTAAGTTTGATTTTCAAGTCAACCAACAGTGAAATCACTAATTTTTGTGGGGGTTAGATTGTTTTTTTCATGGTATGAAGAGAATCTTGAATTCATAACTCCCATGAAATGTTAAAATTAAGCACTACAGTACAGTGTTTCTTCTTTAACCACAAATTCAAATCCCCTTGAACCATTGATTTTTTTTAAACCATGAAAATTTGACCCCTCGAAAATAAGCGATTTTACAGGATCTGGATAATTAATTAAAATATCTCATAGAATTTTGTTTTGTATAACTATATATTTTCAGAAAGTGGATACCAAAGAGTAATGCACAAGGAGGGTGGAAGGGTTATAAAGTTTCACTACAGAACTGTGATAGGTGAAAAAAATATAAAAAATGAAAATCCAGAACATCAGGTTGGTACAAGATACTGCATAAACTGAAACAAACAAATTCATATTGATGCTTAAATTTAATATTCAAGAGTTTAAATATATCTCAATATAGTGGAATTATACTAGAGACCCACATCATATTGCAAGATTTCTACAACACCTCATTGAGCACTTTAAATCTGTGTATGGCTGAAATATAAAGGAAAATGAATGAAATGAAACCGTTCAAATTCTCTCAACAGAATCTTGTTTTTTCTTTGTGAACATTTTTGTCAGTTGCATATTGATAACAATTGGGAAAAGAAAGACAAGTTAGAGATGGGTCATTCTAACTTTTTTTAACTTATGGACATTTTTTTTTTCCTTGCAGGAGTGAAAATTCATACCGGTACTTTTAACAGGAAGGGAAAATGGATATGTTTTTTTCATAATAGACACACTGAACAGTGTTTTACAGAAATCTGCTATGTGTATGTGATCATTTTGAAACATTGCTGCATAAAAAGGACACTTTTGTGCATATTTTTTGCAAGATGGAGTGTTTTTATCTCAGGATGTCAAAATAAATTAATGTCATTAAGACTTCTTTGGGGTCATATTGATGAGTTAGATTTCTGCTCATTTACTAAGTGATGATTTTTTTTTTAATTTAATTATAATGAATGGTAGCTGCAGATCTGTAGCTTGCTGATCTGAAAAAAATTGTATGTATGACCAGAGAGCTACAGTGCCACCCATTGAAAAAAGTGTATATTTATTGCACACAAAAAGCGTGCCATTTCTCGTTTTATTTCCCCATATATTTAAACTGCCATCCCAAAATATTACTGACCCTGTTTTTGAACATATTTGTTTACTAATTCCGCAACAAAACATTCCTTATAACTGTTGTTTATAGCCCTCCTGGGCCTGATATTGGCACCATAGAAATTAATTCGCCTGTTTATTTTGGCATTTTGGTTGGCAAGACAATTCAGTCCAGCACATTTTGTGCAAATGTCAACTACGAGAGAGTTTGATAGACGTCTAAGAAATTTTTTTTGAGCTTTTGTGCAGTTGAGGTAAGAATTTGAAGAAATAAATACAGAACCTAGCACAACTTTTTGTGTGCTATTAATAATTATACAGTTTTCTATGGGTGGCACTGTAGCTCTCTGGTCTGTCAATATTTTTTTTTCACAGCTCTGCAGCTAATATGAATGGTTCTTTTCTCCTCCACAATGGATGCATTACCATTGATAATTTTTTCTCAGAGAGAGAGAGAGAATTATCTGGTATGAAATCAGTCTACTTATAACCATGTTCTTTTAGACCCAGAGAGATAAGATGTCTGAAAGATGGATTTAACACTTTAAAGTAAAGTTATAATTTCATTGATAATGTTGACTTTCAGTTTATCACTTGCATGCCGTCAAACAAATTAGCATGCTCTACAAATGGCTTCACACTAAATTAAAGTCATAGTTTGTAAGTAAAGGTGAAGCATTACAGCATTTCCTAAGACAAGTATGTCAGGTCTACAGCACTTCATGATTTGTCAGGAACACACACGTCCAAACTCTAAGTGAAATTGTCCAAGGAAAGTAGGCAGATCATTACATGTACAACAGTTTCTAATATCAGTATGTTAGCCCTGCCAGAACCTCATTATTTGTCAGCAACACATTAAAGTTCAAACTATCAATGTAGTTGTCCTAGGAATAGTGATTGGAGCCAGTTTACCAATGGAACTAGACTGTGAACAAGTTCTTTGTAAATGACTATAATTCTGTGTCTCCTAATAAGTGAAGACTGCTGTCTAGTCATTGTAAAGGTATCAAGTCCCTTGTACAGTAAAACACACTTATAGCAATCATGCTTATAATGAATTGATGTTTGTAGCGAATGATTTTCATTCCCCTTGACATTAAAATATATTAAACAATTAACGGATATAACGAGTTACGCTTATAATGAAGCAAAATTGTCCACCCCTGGAACTTCATTATAGGCGTTTTTTCTGTATATTGTTAACCATTACCGTAGATGAAGATATATATATATGTTAGGAATTTGATTCAAGGACACATCATCACAATCGGAAAGGGATTGTCAAGAGTGGATTGGAGTAGTGGAAAAAAAATTTTTGTCCATAAAATAATAAACAAACTCGAGTTTAAAGTAGTTTTGGACAAAAGAATAAATATTTCATTCCACAGTTCCCCCTTGGATTAGAAGAGAAAAGATTGCATACCATTTTAATTATAAATTGATCCGCTTGGAATACATTACGGTAAGTACAATGACTCATCCTGAAACAGTTATGTGGCTGACTGACCTGATCATTACGCTGCATTGACAAACATATGTATGGTAATGGCAATTTAATTTCATAACAGTAAAAAATAACAGATAAACATATACATATATTGTTTTACAGTGGCAATATAAAGTATGGCTGTAGAGGCATTAAAGAAATGAAAGATTATGGGTCTAAACAACAAACAACTAGTGCTAATTGTAACAGTAACCGTTACAGATGTTCCCCAAACGGCTCCCCAATCCCTTATGATGCCCCATTCCCTACAAGCTTGAATAAATTAGACAATACTTTTGTAATATTGATGGACACTTTATTTTTAAGGGTATTTCATTGGAAAACTACTCCGATATAGCCATATGGGTATTAGCCAATCAAATTTCAGCGCATGTGCTTGCACATGTTTTCTACATTTTTCACATTAATTTTCTTATAGTGTCTCACAATACATACATTTGTGTTAAATATTAAAGAATTTCACTACAAAATAAGAGAGATGTAACTCTCTAAGTATTAGCCAATCAGAATTCAGCATACGCGCATGCCTGGCCTTGCATTCAATTTTGATAGTATCATATTAAGTAATGTAGGAGCTCTATGTGCCTATCCATGTCGTAAATTTCATCCTGTTTTGTTGAAAACCAAGGGAGTTATAGACATTTAAAGTTTCAACCAATCAGATTGCAGCACACCTGCATGCGCGTGTTTTCAAGAAATTTCCTATAAAACATGTTGTAGCACCTTATAATATATACTTATATTCTAAATTTCAAAGTATTTTGTCAAAAAACAAGGAAATTATTGAGATTTTTGTATCAGCCAATCAGAGAAGAGCGCACGTGCATGCGCGTGAGTTCATGCTAATTTGACCATGTTATCTTGTCTAGACTACTAATATATCTTTACATTTTGAGTTTCAAAGCAATTCATTAAGAAATATAAAAGTTACGGCTTCATCAAGTATATCAGTCATTTCACTCATTGCACGCGCGCGCACGTGCATGCAAGTGCATGCAAAATGACCTTCGTTCCGAACACCTAAACAACATGCCTATTAACCCTAAAAAGGTTTCATGTCAATTGGATGAGTGGTTCTATGAGAACACTCCTGGACAAAAAAGTACCGGAGAAGAAAGTAGAAAAAAAGAATAATAATAATAATAATAAGAAACAGAGTAAAAACATGTTCCCAAACTTCGTTTGGGGAACATAATTAATCCAGACCAGAAGTGGAGCATATATATATATATATAAAGTGTTGAAATTGGAATGAAATCAGAGGAAAAAAATTGTACATGTATCATAAAAATATACTGCTAAATGGTCATTAATTATTATAAAACATATATCTACGTTATGTTGCAAATTGTACTATTTCATCATTGAGTTACTAGTACACTAGATAAAATAAATACTGCAAACAATGATACATTATATAGATATGTGACACAAGTCTAGTTCTTTTCCTTTTGATTCAATATGACCTGTAAACCCAAAACAAACCAACCACAGGATATGTTTTTCTTTTTTTTTAAGATATAACATTTTAAATCCAAGTGCAGATAAAATAGAAAAATATATTTTATTTGATACTTATAATGCATGTAGAAATTAATATTGCCAAGTCAGTGATAAAAAAAATTTATTTTTTCCCTATAACCTTTATGAAAGACTTCATTATATTACATCCATGAATTAATGGATAAAAAGATCTGTTCTTGTTGCTAGGTGATAACATATGTATAATCATTATCTTTATGAACATGATAAATTTCAATTTGCCTATACGTAAAGTGTACCAAAAACTCGAAATAAAAGAAAGCAAAACAAATATATCACACAAGGAATGCAGGAATGAGATGATTAATCTATATATTTTTTCCAAATAAATTCTGAGAGCAATATTCACTGCAATGCAGCACTATGAATTTTAAGTATAAATATTAACTGTTAACATGTATGGTTTAAAGCTCTATTTCCTCTGGCCGATGACTAGAAATAACTGAAATCCCCAAGATACACTTAACACTTTAAATGCCTCCATTAAAAAGTAATAATAACAAACAGTTGAACATGATACCATACAAATATTTACAGGTAAACACTAAAAAAGATGCACAACTTTGTTTCTACCAAACAATAAACATGAAATAAAAAAAATCATTCAGGTATATTCCCATCTTGGGTTTAGCTGTAAACATCAGCAAATTAAATGATATACAGCAAAACCTGGTTACGACAAACATGCTTGTAATGAATTCAAGCTTACAGTTAAGTGATTTTGATTCTCTGTAATTTTAAAATATGAATTTATAAATGTATTTAACAATCAAATTATGTTTGTAATGAATCAAAATTATAAGTCCCTGGCCCTTCACTGCAAGCGTTTTCACTGCACTTTAATTGGTACTCTAAGATATTTTAAACGGGTGAAAAAGAAGAAAAGAATTGTCTTAATCAGACATTTTTTTAAAATAATGAAATAAAACTGGAAGCTCTATTGACATGTACACATCCCTTAAAAAATTATTTTTCTCAAACATGATCAAAATGGATTTTACTCAATTAAAAATTGTATATAACTGAATATACATGTATATAATATATACAGTAAAACTTGTCCGATCCGGCCACCACTGGTTCCAAAAAAAATAGCCAGATTAGACAACATTCTGGATTAGACAACATTTTAAACACCTGAAATTACTGAAAGGGACTTTATGTTTACATCGTATTAGGCAAGATTTCCAAATACACAACATCTGGATTAGATAAGTTTCACTGTATAATGCATCATCTAAAATATTATATGGTAAAATTGTCTGATGTCCAGGGAATACAAATGAATTCTTAGATATATTGTATATGTTGAAATTTTCACTTGGTAGATTATTTACTCAAATACCCATTTACTCTAGCTACAGAAGGAGGAGCTTCTGCAAAAAATATGTTTATGTATCGATTCCTGTCTACTGAGTACCTTAGTGAAATATTTAAGTTGAGAAGATATAACCACACAATGGCCGTAAGATTTATTCCATGGATTTGCATAAATAATACCATATGGAAATGTCAATGCTGACAGCATAGTGTTGATTTAATTCTACAATGCTGACAGCATAGTGTTGATTTAATTCTACAATGCTGACAGTATAGTGTTGATTTAATTCTACAATGCTGACAGCATAGTGTTGATTTCTACAATAACTCCCACCCGTCGTCACTGGAGATACTGGTAGAGCTTCTCTTTGGCAGCAGTTTATCCGGATCAGAGGCACTGTTCTTATTTAAAAACTTGGTGAACCTTCTGTGTAGCTGGCCTTCCTGACTCACTGCCCACATCTGATCAGAATGGCTTACTAAAATATATAAATGAATAAGGATTTTTTTTTTTTTTTTAAATAAAAAAAAAAATTAAAAAAAAAACATCCTGCTTGAAAACTGCTTAATGCTTCTGGAAACACAAACCCCTCAGTCGTCAAATATATTCATACTTGTTCAATGGTAAGCAGCTGTGATTTGTGTTTTTGATAGTTAAGTTTCTCCAGTACTAACAAAATCACCTGATTGTGAAAACCTTATCTCAAAATTTCGCTTGACTGGATATATGGACTGATGCCTTCACTTGGTCAAGGCAAGCCATATCACAGCTGAGATTAGTGGAATCCAAACAATAACACTTACCTTTATCTCATAATATTTCAAAGGTGTTGAACTAGGGTATCTCAAACATTGATACCAGTATCTCAAATACCATAGATATGTCAAAGTGAGTTGGAAGTCAAAACTGCTTTTTCTTTATATTTTAACCTCAATATCTTGATTCTTTGAAATATCAAAGTTTTTTCTTGGCCCCATTAAGTTTGAATTAGTGTGGTTTGACTGTACATGCCCTAATATAAGCATAATTCATGTTTAATATATATCATAATAGGGTAAGACAATGGACTAACGAATAATAAAATTTACTAATGTAACATCTATCATACTGAATACTTTACCTGATATCTGATCAAACACTCCTGGGACTTTTCTCCAGTAATCCCCTGTGGGATTTTTTGTGGAAATGCCAAAGCGACACAGGATTTCTCCATTGGGATTTAATGCCCACACACACTTTTTTGATACTGTCAAATGAGTGGCTAAAGTTCCTGTGTAAAACACAATAACTTTATGGTTTTCATTGTGAAGAAATAAAATAATATTGGCTCAAGTTCCTGTGTAAAAATACAATAAACTGGTTGCTGGTTTTTGTATTGAAGAAAGAATTATTTTACTATAGTAGATCAATTTCTATTTCTTTGAACTTTATTTTTCGCATAAATATGTGAATCTGTTTGCTCTCAAAAATTTTATTCTCACATATACATGTATTTATAATGTTGAGGATTATATACAACAATAACCGTAGGTCACGAAAATTTTGTCTTGCTGATAAATACCAAATAGCTATCTCGCATAAATAAGGTGTCACGAAAATATAGCGATCTATAATATTGACTGACTTAAAGCCCACAGAGGTATAATAAACTTCTCTATACCTGGGACATGGATCCAGTCCTCTCCTATTGGCATGTCTTCTGTAACACCCTTTCTAGCGTAAACTTGACGACGGTTATCAATTGCCCACACCTACAAATTATGATAAAAATTTTTAACTTTGCTTTTATAGGTTTATACAAGTACAGCTGTGTATGTGTAATAAACTCTGCATTTCCAAGTGAAATTATAAAACTTTATTTAAAGTATATGTTGGTTCTAATAGAAGTTGCATTGTTTTTGTGATCTCTGCACTGTGATGGAAAACCATATGGCTACCAACCATGAAATCTTTGGGTCCTGTTGCAATGTTTGTAAATACTGTAGATGTCTGCCTGCCCATGTCTACAGGGAGCCAGGCAGCATTGAGGGAGTGAGAGGTCGGGGCCTTGACCCCAATCCTCTGGTACACAACCCCCTGAGTGTCCACTGCCCAAACATTGACCGTTCCACAGCTAATTGACGTCAAAACTGTATCACCTACATGTATAAACAAAAGGAATAAAGAGATTGTGAACTCTGCATTTAACATATAACATCTAACAAAGAAATAACCAATTATTTCTACAATCATAACTAATTCACACTCACAAAGAAGTGGGAACAAATTTATAATTCTGAACATTTTATTAAAATATTTTTCTTTCTACCAGGCAGCCAGCATTTTCTCTCATATGTTAACAATACTGTAAACCAACTTTTTTGCAAGCGAGAAATATCTGTGAAATTCACAACCTTCTTTTACTCCCAAATATTTCTTGTCCCAATCAAATTATTCACCTGTGTATTTATGTAGAATGTTGCCTCAGTCACGAAAATTAGTATTTACAAATGGATTCCAAAATAAAGAGTGGCTAATAAAAGATGTCACAAATAATAGCTGGTTTACAGTACTTTCATCACAAACTTTTAACATCTAATTTGTTTATGCTCATTTATGGGCTGTATCTTTTTCTGAAATCTATGGCATCTACCACCTATCTAGTAAAATGACAATTTCTTGTCAATTCCACTGATAACAGCTATTTACAGTGAAACCTGTCTAATCCGACATGCACTGGGAGACGAATTTTGAAATAGGCAGGGTGTCGGATTACACAGTGTTAAAAAAACATGGAAAATAGTAAAATGGGAACGGAATTTAATGTCAGATTTCACATTGTGATGGATTGCACAGGTGTCGGATTAGACAGTTTTCACTGTATTTACAAACAATGTAAATTACATACCTAGTTGAGTAAGGTCCAGTTTGCACCATCCTGATCCTTGTGGATTACTGGGTCTAATCCCACTACGTATAAATATCTGATTGTCCTCAGTAAGAACCCACACAGCATCCCGACAGACACATAGACAAAGTACTCCTTTTCTGTAGGAAGGAGATTCCACCATGCTACATTTCTCCAGGTTTGAAGAAAAAGTGTAGATGTCTCCATTGGGTTGACTAGCCCAAATAAGTCCTGTGCAATTGATGAAAAAAATTAATGTATGCACTATAGATTTTCATACTGATTTCAGCTGAGTTTAACTACTGGATATTTTCTTCTTCTGTTAGTATAATAAGAGGTACAAAATTTATATATCTGTAACTTTTCACAATTTTTTCCTCTCAATATTGGTTTATCATACAAGAAAAATATGTACATGACAATCAATAAAGGATCAAGTGAAATAGTGACAAAAACTACAAGTCTAGGATGAGATTGTTAGGTTTGTGGTCAATTTCTAACCTGAACAACTTGTTATTGAGAGTCCTTACCTTCATTGCTAGCCTGAGCAGTTACTGTTTTCCAAATGACAGAGCAAACAATACCAGGGATCTCTGCAACTTCCCATGCATGTCCTGTATGATAAAAGAAGTTATGATGTTGATATTTTATGAATCTTGTGTGTATTTCTTGAAGAAAACAGTAATCTACCAATAACTTTCACTGACATGTGACAATGATCATATTTAAAAAAAAATCTACAAACTTCCATTTCCTGAAGTACTAAGTGTCCATTATTATTTTTAGGAAAGGGGGGGGGGGGGTCATTACCTTGAATAACTCCTCTACAGATCTGGATCATGTTTTTGAATTCTGGACACAACCACACCCCTGCTCTACCAGCTGTGATAAGTCCACCTGTCTGGGAGCTGATTAAAGAAGCAAGCTTCTGAGGATCAAATTTCTCAGCCAAGGAACGTAGAGCATCTATTCCAGACACATCTTTTACAACTATTTCACTGACTGGAACCTGGATTTATGAAAGTATGGTTGACACTTTTAGCTGGACCTGTACATCTATTATATGCATTCAGACTCTGTTTTCAACATTGATTTATCTTTGTTGTGTTTGTTGTACATGTATGACAAAAATGACAAATACTGAGTAGATACACAGGTACATGTAAAACAGCTAATCCATTTAAATAACAGGACAGGAAATTGCAGTACTTTCACGATGAATTATTAGTAGAATTTTTTTTATAGAAAATACAAAAAAACAGAATCAAAGCTAGATACGGTAACAAAACAAAGAAAATATTTTTACCAATTATTAGATATTTTTTGGAAGGGTAATTGATTGTAGTTACCTCCCACCAGCTCCCATCACCAGTTGGAGTTTCCATGGTAACACCAGTGGAAAACCATATTCTACCTAGGACATCTAATGCCCACAAAACTCCACCCACTCCAAAAGCAATGGCACTGAACAACATTTCCTGACTACACTTGCTGTCAAAGAAAAATTTTTTTACAATGCAGAGATTATTTGCAATAAATGCATGAAACACTAAACTGCTACAACACAACCCCTTTTTGTACTGTAAAAATTGTACCATTTAATAATGTTCCACTCTTTTCCTTCCAAGCATTCTTTATTTATCCCATCCCTATACACCAGCTGGCACTGGTCAGTCAACCCCAGGACCACTCCCTTGTAACAGGCAATCTGGGTTAATTTGAAGTCACAAGGAATCTTTATTGCTTTAAAACATGGTCTCTCTCTGGACAGGCCCTTCTGCATCACAACATCACCATTTGTTTTCAGGTACCTGAGAAAAATTCAATGAAAAAGGGCAAATAAGAAGAAGAAGGCCAAAGGGAACATTCTCTTAAATGAAAATCTATTACAAGTATATTGTATTATTCCAGCTTGACAGTTTAATTTTTCTTTTTTTAAATGACTGCATCACTTTGACTGAAAACAAAATATTTATTAACAACTATAATTTACCAAGAAAAATGAGGCAAAGTATCAAACGAATCTTTAAAAAAAATGTGTATATATTTAAGAAATAAAGAACAAGTTTAAAAACACTGGGAAATGAGGTTGGTTGGTTACATGATCAAATCCAGTGAAACCCAAAGGGGTTCTCAGAAAAGTTGAAACTTTTCCCTATGAATTCCTATGTAAAACTGAATCATTATTGTGGCCCCACTTACCCCCCAGTTCATGATTTGAACACTACCTGTGGATGCTTCCATATCAGTATGACTAATCATGCCTATGCACTTCTTTAAAGACTTTTTTCCTATACATGTATATTCCTTTGTAAAACTTTGATTGCCTATTGTGGCCCCCATCTCTTGGGGTCATGATTTGAAAAAAAAACATGAATCTACCATATGCATTGAAGCTTTCAAATATGTTTCAACTTTTCAAGCCCAGGAGTTCTTGAGAAAGAAGATTTTTTAAAGACTTTTTCCCTTATATATTCCTATGTAAAAGTTTGATCACTATTGTGGCCCCAAACTACCAGTACCCCCTGGGGGTCATGATTTGAACAAACTTTAATCTACACTACCTGAGGATGCTTCCATATTAAATATTACTAATCATGCCTTTGCTGTTCTTGAGATTTTTAAAGATATTTTTACTATATATATTCCTATGTAATACTTTAATCATCCATTGTGGCCCAATCATATACCTGGGGGTCATGATTTGAATGAACTCAAATCTACACTATGTAATGAAGCTTTCACATAACTTTTCTGGCCCAGTGGTCCTTGAGAAAACTTTTGAAAAGTTGCCATTAAATTTTCACTATTCTTAATTATCTCCCCTTCAAAGAGGCATGGCCCTTCCTTTGAACAAACTTGAATTCCATTAACCCAAGGATGCTTTGTGGCAATTTTGCTTAGTAGTTCTGGAGAAGATGAAATTGTGAAAAGTTAAGACAATGACGGGCAAATTTTGATCAGAAAAGTTCAATTGAGCCTTTGGCTCAAAAGAGCTTAAAAGTAAATTAAATTTAAAATTAAAATTGTACTATAATTATATGTAATTAGAAATGAGCTACTCTTAGTTACACCTGTATAGCAGAAACTCTCCTCGACTTCAATGAGGTGATCTAAAGCATAATACAAGATTCTCACCAAGCCACAGTCTCATCCACTGATATATATTGCACCTCCCTAACTGCCTCTATCCACTTCAGACCTTCTGGATGTTTGGCTGTTAACTTAGTTCCAGCATATACAGTGTCTTTATACAGCCTCCAGACAATGCTCCCAGACCGTGACACAGCTATCATCTTGGCATAGCCATTTGCCTTCTGCCACTTTAGACCTGGATTAGTCAGACTGCAGTGCCACAAATTAGAACTTCTATCTACATGCCAAATGTGTGTGTCAGTCAAGCACAAACAGGACAAATTGCCGGGAGTGAATATTTCTGACCAGTTGTTGATCACTTTGTATGAAGGCTCATCCATCTCAACCTTTTCTGAGCAGACTATCTCATTTTCTTCTTGCTCTTCTGTGGTTGATGGCATGAGTGGATGCTCCGTGACATCCTTCTGTGAAGTCATATTGGTATTTGATGTAAACATTTTGTAGAAATCATCTGGCTCTGGGGATGAAAAGAGACTTGGGTCTTTTTGTGCTGGTGAATTTAGAAGAGAATTTTCTGAGGAGCTATTAGAGACATGTGATGCTTTATTTAACTTTTCTACACTGGGATCCTTATCACTTAATAAAATCTTCTCTGCTTCTGTTACAGAAGTGGCGATTTGAGATAATGCTGTGTTTAACACAGTTTCATTGGGTTTCACAGATGCATCAGGTTTTTGTATATCCTTTAGATCTGAAAATTGTTTTTCTTTCTTTGGAGCTAATGCCTGTTCAGTACATTTTGGTATCTCTTTCAATTCAGTTGAAGTCTCCTCTTTTCTTAACTCTACATCCTGCTCATGAGTGCCTGTTTTGTTATCCAAACTAGTTATTTCTTTTTCAAATTCTTCTAAACTTTTAGACAAGGAATCACAAGATGAATTTCTCAACCCATGCAAAGGGAGAACTAGATGTGACTTTTCTTCACTGTGTGACCTTTTTGTACTTGGTGCTGGTGATGACTCCCTACTTCGCACTTTTTTCACATGACCTTCTGCATCAACTACAGTCATGAATTTAGGTTTCTCCTGAAGTTCCTCTGTGAAGTATGGCCCTTCACTGATGTCACTTTTAATGGAGATTGTATCGCTACTTCTGAGAGAAATGTTGTCTTCTGTGTTCTCCTGGTCCAAGACAGCACTAAGATAAGGGGAATGTGTAGAGTCTCTTTCTCCTTTCAACCCTGAAAAAACATACTTTTTAGTTCATGATATAATTCTGAATTTATTGTCAGTTAAATCTCTAAAATTACCACACAAAATAGACAGACAGCAGGTTTCTGCAACAAAAGAGCACTTGTTTTGAAGTACATTCATTTATATATAATCTAAACTATGAACTGGATTACAAACTTTTATAATTAACAAGGACTATACTCAGTATGTATTAATACACGTGCAACTATTTTCAAATAATAAAACTGCAACAAATTTTACTTAAAATTTAATTCATATAAAAAATGAAACCTTTTTTCTTTTTCTTGTGTCTTTTAGGCTTAGAATTGAACACTATGTCATCATCCCCGACTGCTGATGATAACTTCTCCTCTGTAACTGTTGCACTTGAATACACAGAGTCATTTTTAGCACTGCCATCTTGAGTGACATGAACTTTGACCCCTGATGGCCCCCTAGGTATCAATGTATCTGTTGATTCAATAGATGGTTTGTCATGAGAATTATCAAAATGTGAATCAGATGAACTTGGGACTGAATCAGTCTCTAAATCCTCCTTCAGAAAAGGATTAAAGCGGGTGGTCGGGGAAACAAGTTTTCTTTCAGCTAAATTGTCATCTGAGTCCTTTTTACTTGAGAGAATGTTATCACTGAAAATTTCTACAGTCAGTAAATCTGGGGTCTCCAGTTTCACAACTGGAGGCAGTTTTTGGTGGAGCTCTGTCTCGCGTTTTATCAGTGGAGGAAGATCCTGAGGAGGCTGAGCATGAGGGTGATCTCGATGATCAATCTCATGCTCAGTTATCTCAACAGAGTCCTCCAAATGATCCATTGATGACAGAAGATGTTCAACTCCTGATTTAATTGAGCCCCCAGTTGACTCTAAGGTTGATTTCAGTTTGGTCTGGATGAAGTCTAATGGTGAATTGGATTGCTGACTAGACTGTTCAGAGTTGTTTACATGCAGTGTAGCCTCTAATGGTGGTGCAGACTGTCGCATTAAAGCATATTTTTCCTTCTCATGCAAAAGTTTATGATATAGAGATTCTGAAATAGAATAGAAAAAAGAAGTCTGCTCACAGTTTGCATACAAAAGTTTTGATAATTAAGGTCTTTATCATTTGGGAAAAGCCCTGCTCCAAAAACTTCAACCAATCATATAGAAAACATTTGTGAATTTGCAGCACCTGGAACCTAACTGTACATCTACTGTATTAAACATGTATGTGTTCTAAAATATTCTTATATCCTTTCTGTAACAAATAGGAATCTAATCATTTCAGTCCTCTATAAACCCCAAGGCCAAAATTACAGTGACTTATAAGAAAGTTAAAGAAGTTTGGTCCAAGAGTTTGATGACACCCACTCCCCCCTGAGATTCCCCCTCACTTTACAAATCACTTTAACAAGTTTGTTTCTAGCATGAAAATGTTATAAAAAGATGACAGCAATGATGGACAAAGGTAACAACAATAAAACCTTAACTTTCTTCAGTAAATGCAGATACAATTTAAAGAAATGGCAATCAAAGCAGTCTTCAAACAAATGTTAATAAAAAAAGAAATGTAATGATCGTATAAATCTGTCAGAATGTCCTTTCAGCATATGCTTCATTATCACAAGTCAATAAGCATAATATTCAAATTTTGCTGTGCAGCTATAAAGAGCTATATATCTGATAAGTGAAACGTAGAAACAATTCATTGCTTTATAACCCTTAACAATACATGCATATAATTATGTATATTTACATTTCCAAATATTTTTCCTTAAGATTCTTTGCAAATTAGAAAAAGTTCATGTTCGCGTGAACTGCCGTGGGATGAGTAAGAATATTTCCATTGTGATGTGATTGAAGTAAAAAAATAGTGCTTCATGAAATATGCTGACGTGAAGTGTCGTAGTTCATGTCCTCATGAATTCTCAAAAATAAAATTCATCTCTTAAATAAATCACATCAAATGTACTTGCACAGTTACTGACAAATCCCACTTTTTAGAATTAATAACAGCCATGTTTACACTTACCTCCCTTCTTTTCTGGATATACAGCTACTCGGACAAGATTCCTTTCATTATTCTTCCTCAGAATAAAAATTTCATCTTCACTGACAGCAACATCTACCACTGCCCCCAGGGCCCGCTGACTACCCACAACAGAATTGTCCTCTGGACTCAGCACATAAAGGGAGGTCTCATTCCAGGTCACAAGGTACTTCTCCATATACAATAACAGTGGCCCAAACTGATGGTCCGACACTCTGCTAGAAGGGATTCCATTCTTGTACAACAACTGGATTTCTGAGTGAGTAGAATTGAGAAGTTCTTTGAAAAGATAAGTATTGCTGACTGTTCCATTCATGTCAGCTTTCCAGATTCTGGCACCAGGTCGACAAGCATAAAGTTGAGCATCCTCTGGTTTGCACATGGCTGGGATGAAACAAGCCCCAAATGGGCCAGCACTAAAATTATATGCAAATTTTCTAAATTCAAAATCAAAATCCCACAGATTTTTTTCTAACATTCAATAACAAATTTTCTTGGGTGCATTTTTTTTTGTCTTTCATTACATGTAATACTGGTAGTGGTCTTCATTTTTTTTCAATAAAATACTCATTATCATAAATTATCTACCACGTACAAAACAAAATTTTTTTTTCCTTATTATTTTCTCCAATGCATCTGGCTAACATGAATCTAACAAAATAGAACTCTTTAAGTAATACTTTTGATGATGAATTCATACACTTTTCTTTCTTTCTGTCCTACTTGGACCTTAGTTTCATCTGTTCTGTATATAAGGGTCCTCTGTTTTGTAGAGACCAGAAGAGACTTGTGTCCATGATCCAGCTGTACAATACTGGACCCTACCTCTGTCAACAGAACAGCTGACTTGCACTGTCCCTGTAAAACATTAAATCCCACCTTAATAACAATATCTGACTTAAATACAAACTGCATTTCTGAATATTAACTTTTATCATATACATGTACTTAGTAGTAAATACACGGATTCTACACTCTGCGATACGGGTGAAGTCACAATACCCCATATCAAGGACTGGTCCAAAAATCCATATCACGTATCGGACCAGTGTGCAAAAATCCATATCAAACCAGAAGTAACTTTTTTATAAAATTTAAAAGTTAATTAACTTGACTTTATTTAAATAAACATGTAAAATAATTCTTTACTAACATTTGTGGACTTAATTTGTTTTCAAAGACCTAAAATTGGCACTATTAGGTTTTAAAGAAAAAGGTTTTAAGCATGCACGAAACATTCTTCAATGACTCTATGTGAACTCACATATTAAGTGTTTTAAATATATGATAAATAGAATACTACATACTGAAATCCATATCATATGTCATATATCATCCCTCAGGCTGATATGGGGCCACTCTGGCTGATATAACATATGATATGAATTTTTAGTTGTAATATTCTCTATGTAATGAACAGCAATATTTCCCCGGAATATGACTGATGTGAATCAGAAAATTATTATATACCTGGTATGCATCAAATTCAGTGCAGACAACCAAGCCTTGCATATCTCCACTAAAAAGCTTCATTCCATTCAAACTCCATCTTGTACAAGTAACCTGGGCCTTGTGTAAGCCTTGTACAAAAAACTGCTGAAGCTGACAAGAAGATATTTAAATCAATTTACTATCTTCACATAAATAACAAAAATGATCACAGAGTGAAACCCCCAATTGTTTGAGAGCTAATGATAGAACTTGAGATCTGCTACTTCTTTCAATCAATGAGGAAGCTACTTTACCTTCTTGTTCTGACCTGGAATATGGGAAGGGAGCTGGAAAATATAAATATCCCCCTTCTCTGTTCCCACAGCAACCTGGTTTTCAAGGCCACTGTGTAGGGCAATTGTGGTTAAAACATCACTATTAGACTGTATACCGAAAACAAGAAAGAAGAAAATAAAAACACACACAAGGAAAAAACATTTAATTTTACTTAATACAATTACTCTATACTCCACTATTAATCAACAAATCCTTATTTTTCTTCATCTTAATAATTTAATAAGCCATTTAAAGAATTCTTATTGTCAAAAATATGGTCTATTTAAATCTATGTAAAATCAGGAAATAAAATTTAAATTCAAAAATAACTAACAGACTTACATGCGTTTTTAGTCTCTCTATCAATTCTTTTTTCCTGTCAAACAAATACACTACTCCAACATTTGTACCAAGGGCAATGTAGTCTGGATTGACATCCACACACTTTAAAATTAGGTCACAGTTAGAGAGAAATCCTTTTTGGGCCCTACGTGGAATCTGGGACAGGAGATAATCTAGAGAGCGGTGCTCCTTTGGAATGGAATGTTTAGAACATTCTTCAGTTGCTGAATCTTCAGTTTGTGCACTTTCAGCCATAGTGCTGTAGATCTAGTGCAACTCCATTTTGTTATTAACCACTAAAGTGAAAGTAAAATACATTTTATATGGTGTCTAACTCAACACAAAAGGAAATCGTACTGTCAAAATTTTCATTGTCCTGAATGATTTTAATTAAATATTTCTATAAGAGAGCATAGTCAATAAACAAATTCTATGAATATCCAAAGTCCCCTTTCCTTACTGAAGCTGTAAAATGATACTTAACACTGAATTACATAAATACATGTATGTAACTGTGTTAGGTAAGATTCAAACTGTGATTAGTACAGAAGATACATTTTCATTATCAAATAAAGATGGGGGTATGTTAAAAAATTTAAAGGTATAACAAACAATCAGCATTGACCAGATTTAAGGGCAGACTGCTTTTTGCTGAACCATTGAAGCAAACTGTTGCCTATGGCCTAATGTCTCAGGTATGATAGTTTAGTTCCTGGGTCTTATACAAAAGGAAAGTTGCTCTTAAACCCAGTTATTCAACATGTCTGAGATTTCAAGCAACAGTCTGAAAAAAATCCCTCTTTTTCGGCAAATTGGGAATTCCAACAGGGTAATTGCTCAGCAATTGTTAGTTGCTCAAATGAATATGTTTTTATTTATGTAGTAATTTACCATTATCATCTGCATATGGTGTTTATGTCTCCCAGTTGATAATTCGACACACATAGAGCATGTTCCACAAACAATTTCTTAACTGATGCAGGGTACTGTCACATAATTACCAGGGTGTTTAATAAATAAGTTGATGATACAAGGGTATCAACAATCTTGTTTGAAGTCAACATTTTGTAAATTCTGTATCAATACAATGACCTTGTTTGCAAATACAGTCTGTTGTCAGGTCAAATGTTGATTTTTTCATAGAAATTATTAGGCCATTATTTTTACACTGCATTGTCTGCTTATGACAGAGATTTTAGTGCACTCAATTTTTATACAGTGGAGCCTCATTTATCCGGACGCTTTGGTTCCCAGTCAATTAGTCCAGATAAGTGAAGCGTCCGGATACCTGAATTGTCTCGATTTTAGTTATATGGCCTTTCATGCCATTTTCAATAGTAAAGAATGTTGCTTTACATCAATATGTTTTATTGTTTAAATACTTTAATATAAGTTACATATAGTACTACTCAATACTTGTTTAAATAAATAAAAAAGTACATGTGTCATTGGAAAAAAAAATATGTTTATAGGTCGCATTAATTAATTCTACTTCCCAGTGTCTAATGAATCAACCCGATAGAGTCTTATTTAATATCAACGCCCATCAATGGTAAATGTGACATAATGTATACGAACGCTAATCGTAATCATCCAAAGCGAGATTGTATTAACGATTGTGTAATTTTGAAAGTGATTTCATAAATGTCATCAAATCATAGAATGCGTTTTGCACACAAAATACTGTGCATAAAAAACTCCGATGTCATGTCTATAAACACATAAAACCATGTTACGACAGTATTCTAACAGTAAAAGAAATTTATTTGCCGACTACGAAAAAAATTATCCTAGACTTATAAAATTATTTCCCTTAATTAATATGTATCATGTTAGAGAAGTGAGAGTCTCATGCGTACCTATTGACCTACAATTAACCTTGCCGCAAGCCATTGATAACAGGTCGCAGATGATCATCTTTTAAAACAAACAGCCAGACCAGTGTTTTTACAACAATTAACACCCAGATCAAGAAATCTAAGCAGACTTGACAGACCAGTTAAAAATTATCGTCTGGATAAATGAACCAAAATATAACGTAAAAATGCATTTTGTGTTGAAAAAAGACCGTCCTGATACGGAAAGCGGAATTCCGGTTAAACGAGACAAAATAACGTTAAAAAATTTCGTTCCCATGAAAAATCTTCCGGGAACTGAAGCGTCCGGATATCTGGCATCCGGATATCTGAAGGTCCACTGTAGACTGTTTCAGGATAACTGCAGTACTGCTCTTTTGCAGGGCAAAATGTTATATTTTGGTGAAATATGACGTAAAAGCGATTGTTTAATATGTCACTTAATTAACTGTCATCAAAAACTTCACCAAATGTTATTAATTTGCCCTGTAAAAGAGTAGTACAGCAGTTATGGTGAAAGGGCCAATTGTTTAAATGGCCTTTTGACTTATGTTTGTTTATTATCTTCAAATTTCATTTAGCAAAGTCACAAACACTTCTTAGTTTTTGTTCGAATTTATACACACGGAACAGGGAACAGGCAACTCCTCTCATACAGATTTTACCTAGATTCTACATTAAAGGAGAAGGCTGAAAATATTTCCTGAACCCCATTTGACTGGCTTGTTATTTATGACGTATGACACAGTGACACATTCACATGTACAGCGAACGAATGTAAACATAATCTATGTTTTTACTCCTTAACTGGCTTAAAAGTCACAGAAGTTATTAAGTAGCCAAGTTGTAGGAGAAAGTTGTATACAAACCCTATCATTGTCCTTTATTGGGATTGCTTCCTAGCCTTGTGAATGAATAGTATATTACAGTGTGCTAGTCAGGGATATGTTTGCTGACGTCTCGTGACGAAGCCATGGAATGGGGTAAATAAGGATTCTGTAAACAAACATAAACATAAACAAACTGCTTAATGTTCGTTTTTCTTTTTCCTTATCGATCAGAGTGATTTTGTTTTAAAAACACATATTATACTAGTGACTCAGGATTTATGATACATTTTGTCACAAAACTCTCGAACTTTGATATTTTCCTGATTTTACCATGTTCCCTCTGTGCCTACTTTCGGTTTGACTTTTTGGTAGTCTTGCAACAGTGTAAGAGGTTATATTACAATAGGAATATGATGTTCGAATCATAGATTTTGCATAAGAGGTTTAACTATATTACATCGTTCCTTTTAAGTTTTATATAGGTACATACATACATTTGTAGTTTCATTTAAAGTCCTTGTGATCATGTGATTTTCATACAATAATCATTCTATTCAACAGATACTTTTAAATTCTAAAAAAGGTGGGTCAACAATATGACATATCTATATCTATATATATATATATATATATATATATATATATATATATATATATATATATATATATATATATTGACTGGAAATGTAAACGGGTAGGAAGGTTGGGCCGGGGAATTGATGGAGAGATAGAGGTATTCCAGGATGGAAAAATATGAATTTGGAAATGTTGCAGAAAATTGGAACATATAGTCATTTCTTTCAAAATTCAAGTCATTTGCTTATGGACCTAAACATTATACAACAAAGATCTCGATATATTTTGATGTAGCCCAATGAATACACAGTTTTCACTTTCTACATCTGGAACAGTTCTCAAGTTTACCAGACATTAGTATGAAAACCCAGAGAACTGACTTCAGATGACACGCCATGACAGATATGGTGACTTCATAAATGTGGAGTTAAAAATTATGCATGATTTTCATGGTTGTCCCTAAGATCTGGGGGCCAGGGAAATTCCCCTCCTATGATGATGTTATACCTCGGTTACTCTGATATTCCCCCTCAACCCCCTGTTAGGGGAGGAATCCCAGACTCCCTTCTACTTTTTTAATGCCCCCCTGCTATTTCGATTCTTAGGACAACCCTGATTTTATAGAAACAAATTAAATGACAAGTTATTATTTCAGGTTAATAAAAAGAGTAAAAATGCTCGATTACCTGTTCTACTTCTTCCTTGGAGTTCTGGCTGTATATTCAGTGCTTTTTATTCTGATTGTGATTGGTGACTGTGACCTTTACTTACAATTTGCAGAGAAATTTGGAAAGAAACCAAGTAAGTTTAGCATATATAAAAGTAGAGAGTATTTCTATTTTATATTCAGGCTTTGAGAAATATAAGCTATGCATGTATTTAGTGGACTTGGCTTGATTGATTGATTGCCATAGGACCTTTGACAGCATAGCTTGAACTGACAGGCATAAAACCTACTGGGGGAGATTCTTGTTTAATGTATACGGGCAACAACATTTAGGGAGAAAAGTATGCAACTTGATTTGGTCAGCTTCAGTTTCCTTCTAGCTTACTTGTTAGAGCATATACACACCGGGCAGGATGACCCCTATACATGTACTAGTATTTTGACCCTCTGCTTCGATGCTTTTTCTATCATGGTTTTTCATGAAATAAGACATTCTCATACATGTTTTAGATGTACTGAAGGAAAAGGTTGTGTGGATAACTGGTGCTTCTAGTGGCATTGGTGAATATTTGGCATATGAGCTAGCAAAAGCTGGTTGTAAGTTGTGCCTGTCAGCTCGCAGAGAAAAAGAGCTTGCACGAGTCAAGAAGGAGTGCCTGTGTAAGTCTTTACAGATAATTGTATGTGATATATAATGTGACAAACTAGTATTTTTACATCTTATCCTAAGGGTTACGTAATGGAAAGGAGAAAAATCTGATTACTAAGAGTTGAATATTATCTTTAAAGTAAATAAATCTGAAAATATTGATTCACAATTTGACAGTAGAATTTAAAATGTTTAAAATCTGTATTTGGATATATGGCTGTCAGACAGGTTTGATGGCCGGTGGCCAGATAGGTCAGTAAGTAGTGCACCTGACTAGTGATTCAGGGGGGCCCGGGTTTGAATCCCAGTGTGGTCAATCACATTTTCTCCTTTCCTGTTACACTTGGTACTGTGCCATGCCTTGGAAAAGACAGGTGAAAAACCTGGTAGGGAAAAGCCTGGGTTGGTGTCTTTAGGGGAGAAGACCTTTAAGGAGGGAGGAATGTGGTGGTCAGACGGGTTCAATCACAGGTGGCCAGATAGACACAGTTGGTAGAGCACCTGACTAGTGATTCAGGGGGCCCAGGTTCAAATCCTGGTCTGGTCTGTTGTGTTTTTCTCCTTTCCTGTTACAAATATAAAGACTAATGAATATTTTTCAGATTAATTATATATATTGTCCCCCGCTTTCACTGAAAGTGGGGGATATTAATTTGGGTCTGTCTGTCTGTCCGTCCGTCAGTAATTCTGTCTGTCTGTAACACTTTCGTTTCCACACGATATCTCGAGAACCCTTTGAGCTTTTGCAATGAAATTTTGCATAGCAACTCCCTATGGCCTAAAGAAGAACCCTATTGATTTTGAGGTCAAAAAGTCAAAGGTCAAGGTCATAAATTCATAAATTCTGTCTGTTTTAACACGTTCGTTTCCGCACGATATCTCGAGAATTCTTTGAGCTTTTGCGATGAAATTTTACATAACAACTCCCTGTGGCCTAAGGAAGACCCCTATTGATTTTGAGGTCAAAAGGTCAAAGTTCAACATCGTAAATTTATCCATTCTGTCTGTGTGTAACACTTTCATTTTCCAGGCAATATCTCAAGAAGCTTTTGAGCTTTTGCAATGAAATTTTATACAATAACTCCCTAGGGCCTCTCTCACCCCTCTCAAAGTGTCCTGCCCCATTTTTTTTAATTACTATTTATTGTATTAAAAGTCGCTTGGCACTATTTTTAGCACAGGGGCATGTGGAGAGTTATTACTTATAATACAGGTTGTTGGCAGACTTTATATTCTTATTACATCGATTAGAACCGTTTAGTAAAGGCTAAATTAGACACAATGTATTGTGTAAAAATTTGACAATATCAAACGTGAATATAAACATTATATGTGACCTTATGTTTGCATTTAATTTGCTCTACAATCAAGTGCCTCTGTGGTCTAGGGGTATGATCACGCTTAACATGTGAGAGGTCCCGGGTTCAAATCCCATACACATTTTTTTTGATTTACTAAATGATAGTATTCAGCATGTGAAATGAAAAAGTTATGACGTCTGGCTTGTACAAACTCATAAAATCATCATAACAGTGTGATAAATATTTTATATAAAAAGAATCTTCTATACACATATTAAAGAATAAGCAATCAAATCTTTATATCCATATTGGCATTTTTTATTTGCTTCAATATACATGTATACATTTAATAATTCTACAAATCCAGGGGGAGGGGAGTCCCCCCCCCCCCCCGAACTGCGCATGCTCTTCTTTTTTTCCCTAAACGGGGGACACAAATTCTTTGAATTAGCTTTGCATAATTTTGTATTCTTCTGTAAGTGTTTTACTTATACCAGTGCATGGAAAAGTCAAGGATGAGGACATATTGGTGCTGCCTCTGGATGCACTAAAATTTGAGACACATTCACAAGCTACTCAACATGTGTTAAAACATTTCAGTAAGGTAATTATGGTGTATTTCAAACTTTATAACAAGCTTAAAGGGACTTTATTGATAGAAAATAAGAATTAATTTTCCAGGATTGCAAATGGTTTTTTTTTTATTTTCACCACTAAAAATACATTGGTTTCTTATTAAGTAAAGTAATTGATGATTTATTCACATTTTTTTAGATTGACATTCTGGTGAACAATGCTGGCCGCTCACAGCGTGCTCTGTTTGAGGAGACATCCATAGAAACTGATAGGGAAGTTTTAGAACTGAATGTTTTAGGAGTTCTCTCCCTTACAAAGCAGGTGCTCCCACATATGTTGGAGAGAAAGGAGGGCCATATTGTTGTCATGAGCAGTATTGCAGGAAAACTCAGTATGTCTTCTAGATTTTGTCAGTTAATTACTGTTCAGTAACAATTATTTCAAGAGGAGGGCCAAAGTAAAATTTTTCCTCTGTTACTGGTTATTTAAAGCTCTAACTGACACCCTAGCTGCTTCACTCGTTTGCTTTTCATCTTATATTCGTTTTTTTTTTTTCCTGCTGAAACTGAAGCAATTCATTTTCTGAAACTTAAATTTTGCCACAGTAATTTTTTCAGAATTTAAACAGCCAGAAAATCATTTCCATGGATTATTTCATGTTTATTTTAAATAAATGGGTTTTTTTTTTTTGTTTCAGGTGCTCCAATATCTGCGTCTTACACAGGAAGTAAACATGCAATTCAGGTACCTATCACAGCTGTATACATGAAATTCTGCTTTAACAAAAATTTCTCAGTACACAAAACAGAGAGTGTATTTATAAGCCTTAAAAAAACTATTAAAAAAATTCAATTTGGTAAACGATTTGTTCATTAAATTTTGAAATATTGAAAGTAAAGCAATTGATTCTATTAATTACACACACTAACTTCAAAAACTTTAAAACTTTTTTAATAGGAAAAATTGTTATTGAATACTTTGTTCCTGCTTTGTTCCTGCTTTTGATTCTCTAATTAGAACTGACACAAAATGAAACCAGTTCAAATTAAATAATATTTGAACCAGTGATGTGAGACATTTAAATTATGATTTAAATTATGTTAGCAGAATGTACTGTCTTTGTTGTAGGGCTGGTTTTCTTCTCTGGCCATTGAGACATTTGACCGGAATGTAGCAGTCACTCTTCTCTGTCCTGGTCCTGTGTTCTCTAATATACTGGACACAGCATTTACTGGAAAACCTGGAGAGGTGAACAACAAATAATCTCAAAATATAAACAAAAGAAGAAAGAAAACATTGACAAAACAATGTTAATTATCATACCGAGCATACTACTATGTCTTTAATATGAATGTCCAGTAAAAACTGCTTACAATGAACTCATGCAGATGTAAAGAAATCTCACTTATAAAAAAGTTGTATCTTTTTCACCATCCCCCACATAATAACACTTTCTGATATGGATATAAATAATTTTTTAAGGAACTAAGCATTCATGTCCCGAGGACTTCCTTGTTGGCAAGTTTTATTGTATATCAGTGTGTTTATTATTCCAGATATTTTTATCAAGAATACCTCAAAAGTTAGAAAATTTAAAATTGGTTTAAAATATATATATATATATATATATATATATATATATATATATATATATATATATATATATATATATATATATATATATATATATATATATATATATATATATATGGATATTTAATTTTAAATCTGTTATAATAACAGCTAGATTACGTTTTTTTTTATATTACATGATTTCTGTCTGAAACCAATGTAATACATTGTATGTGAACTTGAGTATGATTTAATTAACAAAACCATAAATTGTTATTTTTAGGAATTAAAAGAAAAGATGAATTCTACTGATAAGAGAATGTCTACTGCTCGTTGTGCAGAGTTATGTGCCATTGCCATCGCTAACCGCCTGTCTGAGGCCTGGATTTCCCTGAATCCTGTGTTGTTGTTTACCTATGGTTTCCAGTATTTCCCAAATTTTTCTAGAGTGTGAGTCTCTCTCTCTCTCTAACAAAATGACATAATTTATATAAAAACCATTTGGGACAGTCAAATTACTTTGCTGTGGCTGTATATTGTGTGACAGGCAAAAATAACACACATTTATACTTCTGGAAATATAAATTACTGGTACATTGTCCTTGACCATACCATGTTGCAGTTTGATCTTTAATTATTTTTAATTGTTCCATATTTCATTGAAAAAATTGGGTTTTTTTGCTTTCACCTGGGCGAACTGAAAACAAATTACCCCGGTATCTGAAATAAAAGTTTCTTCTTGATGATCTTTTGGGGTCAAAAATATAATCTGAATTTGTTTATTACCTGCATTAAAAAAAAAAGAACTCTAAAGTTAAGAGAGGTCTTTATGATGGATTATAGATTATGGGTTGTCATGTTATCAAAAATACCATCAGAAATCACATTTCAACATCTGTTATTTTCAGAGGAAAATCTTTTTACTTTAAGGAGAAAAATTTTCTACCTACATAAAGTTTAAATCTTTAGTGAGGAGAGATCAAACCAAGATATTTTTAAAAATGTTTTCTTATTTGCACATAATATACTGGATACTAAATGTATTCTGTTCCACTTTTTTTCAATTGTCTAAAAATGCTACTAAAGATTATTTGAACTTATTATATTTTGAGGATGGCTGCTGTTATAGCAGATTAATGTATAATCCTGTAAATCTTTGTTGATTGTTTTTACAGACTAGGCAAAAGAATGGGACTGAAAATGTTAAAGAAGATACGTGAAGGGAATATGAATTAGGTGATTCACTAACAATACTCATACAAAATGCATTCATATTGTTAGTTGATTCTGATGTAATACTTTATTTGGGAAATAAATTGTTTTAACAATTCTTTTATGACCTGATTGATACTTTAATTATGTAAGGCAAGCATAATTCTTTTGTCTGTAAAGACAAATACAGTTGAACTTCGGTATCTCGAACACTGATATCTCGAATATCGTGGATATGTCAAAGTGATTTGGAAGTCCCAACCCCTTTTTCTTTAAGTATTTTACCCTGGATATCTCGAATCCTCGGATATCTCGTAGTTTTTTTCTCGGTCCATTGAGTTCGAGATAATAAGGTTTGACTGTACTTCATGTGTATAACATTTGATTGTTTGCAAATTTTCAAAAACATTGGCAGGTGCAACTTTTTAATTACGCTGTGATGTAAAGAAGAGCAGAAATATGTAGTCCTCTGTTTGAATAAATATAAAAAGTTTATAAAAGATATTTTATATGATCCGATTTTTTTATTGCTGGTTTTTGGCAGAGATAAAATTTTGGCCTATATTGGTGATTTATGAAAATTTACCAAAATAAAAATTGCTAAAATTAAGTACTTTGGTATATACTATTGTACAGGGTTTACAAGCATGATGGGAGGATCTTCGGCGGTGTGCGTGAGGATGTGGATTGATGGGGAATGTGCACAACAGCTTACATGCCCGTAGAACGCGGGGGGGGGGGTTACACTTTTATTTGAGTATAGTATTTTGCTACAGTAAATTTTCTTTTAGGTGCTGGCTGTCCCCCCCCCCCCCCCCACAACTCTTTGATTTTTGATGTTGTAAGGTCGAGCACTGGCAAATCCCAGGATTTTTTTTTTTTATCAGATTTTTGAAGCCGTTGCTACGGGCCTGGCTTAATAAAAATTTGATGAAAGTATTGTTACTTTCATACTTGAGTACATTTTTGTTTTGCCAAAGCTGATCAAAAATAACAAAGCATTCGAACAAGTAAAATATTACTCACTAAAATTATATCCGTCAAATTTAATACCCTAATCCTCTAAATTTGAGACCACCCCCCCCCCCCCCCCGCAAAAAAAAAAAAAACGGTACACCTCGGCCGATTCGTACCTGAAGGCGACGGAATCATCCGAGGTTTGCCGAATGTAAAAAAAGACTTCAACACTGTACATCTACGTATGCTTGAAAAAGTGAATTTTTTTTTATTTCAAATTCTATTATTTTTTAAGTTTTGTTATACTGAACGTTCTTCATTTATAAAAGTTGGACATGAGTAATGAAATTCAGATTAAACCTGTAACTCATCAAATGCAACAGTATTTAGTCTCTATCTGTAGGTACTTAAAGGAGTAAAATTTTGAAAACATTACCCTAAAGAATTCAGCTCAGTATCTGATACAAAACAAAGTGTGTAGGTTTTAGATGTACAATTTTCATTCATTTTTAAAAATTCAAACATTTTGGAAGGTATATGTCAACTTTTAAAAGAGAGTCATGAAACTGAAAATTGATTTGTAAGACATTACAGTGTTCTGCGCACATGAAAATGGGAAGGAGAAGAAAAAAAAACTCCGTACAACCGTTTAATTTCAAGGGGGGGGGGGGGGCACATGGAAGAGAAAAACGGCAAGGAACTGATTTTACAAATCGAATTTGAGTTTTGGTCTTTAGATGGAGTTACTGCCTTTGGTATGAATCTGAGGTTTGTCGTGGCATTGTGATGTTTTCTTTGGTTTGTTTTGAAATATTTTTTTTTAATCTTGGCTTATGTCAAGATATTCGTTTATACAAATATCAAGTAAATTAATTTATTCATCTCAAAAAAAGTTTTAAACAAGTTAGTTAACTTGGAGTGAAGTTTCTCTGTGAATGTGGTGAAAACCAATCAGATAACTTCAAAGAAGAATCCTGCCTAGACCAGAATTCGAAAATTTCAAAACTGCATTGTCATCCTCTGGCTATGTATTTTATTATTTTCCACCCACCTGGCTACAATAAAAAAAATCTGCTTATTGTCCCACTGATATATAAATTATGGATGTGCACTTTTCCGAAAAATGAATTATTTTTCAATGGCTTATATACTCTCATTCAAATGGAAATCAAGAATTAGTGTGTCCTTTATGTATAGTCGTGTGCTAATTTTATTAGCGACACTTAAGGACTGGTGATACAAACATTTTTTTTCTTTGGAGGAGACTTAATATCATGTCACAGTTTTAGAAAAGTGGATAATTCTTTGAATTTTTACTCCTTAAACCTGGAGAATGAAATACCTTCCATATTTCCCCCCAAAAAGTACACAACTAGAGTAATCATGGTAAAATTGTTTAATCTTCATTCAATAACCCTCTTTTTTTTCAAAGATACTTCTAAAGGAGCACAGAGTGAACTGATATTTCATTTACTCAATAACCTGTTGTATTTTCTTGCACTTAAAACAATAAAATATCAAATATATGAAGTATCAACTAATATTTTCCAAGTGTCATTTCTTTTATGCAAGAAAATTTAAGTTATTGAGTAAATGTAATATCAGTTCACTCTGTGTTCCTTTAGAAACATTTTTGAAAAAAAAGAGGGTAAATGAATGAAGATTAAACTAACAATTTTACCATGAATACTGTAGTTGTGTACTTTTGTGAGAAATATGGAAGGACATGATATTAAAAGTCTCCTCCAAAGAAAAAAATTGTTAGTATCATCTGTCCTTAAACCTTAAATAGTGTCTTTTGGAATTTTTGGCTAATCTTTGTTTAAAAACCTTTCGAAAGGTATAAAACTTTGATGTACATTCATATGAAAGATTTATTTCTTTTTTTCTTCCTAAGACACAAGGGAGTCATGTAAGTACATTATAAATCTCTTAGTTTACCTCGCCTTCGATTGCATGCGACTGTCAAGGTACAGTGTTATTATAAAATTCCTCATAATTATTAAATCGACTTCAAAATAAGTCTTTGTTGTTGTAATGAAATAAAATTTTATTGTCGTTGTAAATAAATCTTTGTGATCTACGCAATCCATTACCCCGTTGTCCTTGATATATTTCTTGATTTGGGGTGGTATGAAAAATCTTCCAATTCATTGCATTCTGAATGTAGGTAGCATCATATATTCTCCAAACATAAACAACATCAATAAGCCGGATTTCATCTGTGTCATTTTAATTGAAAGTTTTATCTATTTTCAGCATTGGAAATTCGATCTCTTCCTAGACCTGGCATGAGAACATTTTGATGTACATTCAATAAAATATAATGTAGACAAAGCGAAAATGAATGTGTTTTTATGACTGTTTGAATACGTTATGAGGCGAGTCGTGTGTTTTGACATTTAATGATAAATCCTCTATCAATATTTTGCCCATTAAATTTCTACCCCTCTGTGGGTCTATAGAAATATGATGCTTTTTTCCTTTCTGTAATGACTTGCTATTTTGCATCCGTGCTTTAGTTTTTATCAATCAAGTATTAATTACATCATCGATTGCGAGAACTCTAACGAGAGAAAGAAGAAGAAAGAAAGAGGCGTGTGTGTATCAAACTCTTATGAAAGTAATTAAATACATTTCCTCTCAGAACTGTTAATTAGAAGTAAAATTATTATATACCTAAAACTTCATATGCTAGTATCATGATTTTTTTCCCCTATTATACTTCACAGAAACTAGCTCAAGCACATTTAAGCACGAGAGCGGTATAACAATATTTTAAAAACCTTGTAGACCTTTACTTTTTTGGATTTGCAATAGTTGCAGAAACAGAATTCTTAGGATTTGGAAACGCTTTTTCATATAAAGACTATTTTTGAACCCACTTTCATGATCATCATTCGTGAGTACATGATCCTCGTCTTCTATGTACTAAATCTATCGTCGCCTCTATACACGAATAATCAATTCTCGAGTGTATTTTTGTGACACCGTGTGTCTTCCTTGAAGAATTCTATTTTTGTCATTTAGTTATATATTTTACATGATTAATGCAATTTTAATTTGCTTGTGATACTAATGAATCTGCTAAATGAAACCTTAAACCCCCAAACGACGAGGTTTAATTAAACTTTTTGAATATACAGAGTGTGTTAATTTGCGGAGGTAGAATTCTAATTCTAAATGTCACAGAATTTTTTATTTTGAATGCTTGATGTTATATTTTTGGAAGGGACCAAGGAACAGAATTTTTAGATGGTTCAGATAAATTCATTTTACCTGTTTATTAGATTTTCACACTTGTGTGATGAAATCGCACACAGAGATGTATAGACAAATCACTGATACTATGTCACATACTCAATTTACCTGAAAAGCTTTCTGAAATTTTTGTATAATTATATTTCAGTTTATATACAATTCTTTTGCGCAATTGGAAAGAGAGAAGGGGGAGGGGTTCCATCTTTTAAAATACCCAGAAACAAAAGACATGCAGAGTAAATGAAATTGCAATTTACATACCGAGTCTCTGTACAATTTGAGAAAGTTATACAACTTTATCAACTTTTTGCAGAAAGAGATTTGTCCAAAATAGAAATAAGCTCAAATCTTTATTAGAAATACAATGTAGCTCCTACTTTACTGATTTCGCATCAGGTGTTTCTCTTCTTTTAGAATAGGCAATTACTGAGTAACAATTTGACAATTTATTATCATATATGTATGTCTTAATTTTGATCTTATAAATTTAATTTTCATAGAGAAGTCGATGAGAAGCATTTCTCATCAAAGTAAATATATATATATATATATAATATATATATATATATATATATATATATATATATATATATATATATATATATATATATATATATATATATATATATATATATATATACATATATATATATATATATATATATATATATATATATATATATATATATATATATATATATATATATATATATATATATATATTAACAACTTTGTTAATCCGCAATATGTAAAACCAACTGATATACCAACAAGACAATAGTCCTTGTCTGAGTTACAGGAAGTCTTACTAGTACAATGTATATACATGTAATTACGTCAGGCCTATATCATACGACTATTGACACTATCTAATCTACCCACATTAATAAGATATATGTTG